TTTTATTTTCTAAATAATAAAAGGCATTAAAAAAGTTATCTTGTTTTATTGTGCATGATTTCCCAATGCTTTTTGGGAGCTATTTTAACTACACTCTTATTCATCAATTGTTTTTTTAAAAGTAGGCTGCTTTTAATACATACATGATTTCTACACCAAATACTGTAATGCCATCAGTAGCCCATTGGGAGTAATATTTTGTCAGTATGTGATTGTAAACCATCATGCTTTGGATCTGATGCACACGCAAAAAGCATGAAGATAATTAAGAAATTTCATATTGACTAAAAACCATGGGGCGCCAGTTTCTTTCAAACGACTCTGCAATAGACCCTCCTCGAACCCCACAGTTTTTCCCAAGGCCTGCTCAGTGTGAAGCGGGAAGTGGCAGGTTTGACAGCATAATCCCTGAACTGTTTTTATAACCTGTTGCTTACATGTGGATCAGGTGAGGAAGGAAACAACACAAAAGTTACACAAGGGACATTATTCTGCGTAACAATCTGGGGTGCCATCTTTCCTTCAAAAGTTGGGCATTTGCAAGTGCTGCTCGTTCCTTTAAAGTTGTTCCAAACTATATTTGATTGGGTCTATATTGCTCCTCTTGGATGATTGGAGGATGACTTGGATGATAAGATTTTCATTGTCCATTAAAGTGTCATTCTCTGGAGTCCTGGGTGACCCTTTGATTTTTCACTCTGTGGTAAAAAACTGACACGGGTCAAAACAACTCGCTTACATTTCACAATGAAAGTGTGATTTTGTCCTGGGATTCAATTCCATAATATTATAATCATCACTGGACATTTTCAAACGTACATACTGGCTCTTTAAACGATTTCTGTATTTTTGTTTTTGCTTTCATCAGCATATCCTGGCTTGAGTTGCCTCTGCCAACAGAAGCTTAATTAAAAAGGGCGTGGAGAAGCTTTCGAAACAATATCTAAGCCTTTGTGTACATTCTTTTTATTGGGGCACCTTTTTCGGGGCGTGCAGACACAAGACTTGAGGTGGTGATAGCTTTGATAGGCTGCCAGGATTTCTCTCTCTCCCCGCGGACTCTACTTGCCCTGACACATCTCCCGTGGATGCTCTCACCTGCCCCCCTGTAAAAGTTCAGACATACCACAAAAGTGACTTCAGTTGTACAACATTTTAGCACAATGTTTATGAGGCTGATCTGTGTTGTGTTTTTGTATAGGAGGGTTACTAAGGGTGGGTGTCTAATCAGAATGGGTGGAGAGAATGGAGAATACAGCTGCTGTCCATGGAGGCTTGAGCACATTAAGGCCAGCTGAAAGAAAAGACGTCAGAAAGGGAAGAAAGACATGCAAAAATGGTCAACAGAAAACGACAAATACACCATGATTTGTTGCCATTTTCAGAAATAATGTCATACAGCTAAAGTAATACTGTATTTCCGTGTCCAAAATAAAACTAAACAAAATGATCAGGTATGTGTGATGGTGTTTGAGGATTTACTCTGTGGAGTTACTGTGGACACAAAAGATTTTATGGATCCTGGATCTTGACGCCCGGTTGATGTTTGTATATATTTCAGAATTTAGACCAGATCCAGACCCAACTAAAGGAGACTAAACTATGAGGACTAAAATGCATAAACAACATCCATAAACATGACTGAATAAGACCTGGATTAAACAAGGACTATACATAAGGCTAGCCAAACTCATTTGAAAAGTTGTTGTGTTGGTTCTACTCAAGGCACAAATGTTTTGCGTTGTTATACATCACAGAGACAGCACTCAATATTTATTATAGCACATGCATACGTGGATGTTATCTCTATATAATTCAGCTTCGTGTTTGTCTGCACTATCTCGCTTGTTATACGGTTCAGCCAAATGTATGTTTATGATATGAAGGTCTTGTGAAGGGCTTTCACCATTGAAAACTATCCAATGTTTTAGTTTGAAATGCTTGTACGGATGGAAGAAAGTGGTCACAGATTGATCTCGATGAAGGAGTTTTAATGTACATGACATTAAAACTCAATATTTCCACCAATTTAATATCATATTTAAATGATAAAAAGGACAATGGTCTCTCTGTGTGTGAATTTGAGGTCATATGCAACCGTTTTAGGGAGCATGCTGTTTGTGCATGTGGATGGCTCTGATTGCCACTGACAAATTTGTCCCCAGGGGGCCATCTTTATTCTCACTTCGGAAGTCTGCAGTCGCCATACAATATGTCTATAAATAAACAGAGCGATAAATTCCTTCCTACTGAAAAACATAAAGATATGATAATGCCTTCCTGCTGTGACTACAAGAAAATTCCATGCTACATCTCTGAGTGGTACAGTTTGTTATCTTTAATTAGCGTGGAAGAGAAAATGTGAACCAAAAAGAGCTGTAAGAAGTAACATTGTGGGTAACTACAGAAGAAATGGATTGAGAATACTCATTTTGAATAACAGTGTTCTGCTACTTTAAAACATTGTGGTATGTGATCGTGCTAATCTTGTATTAAGTCTCATGTTTTATCTGTTTCTGATTTTACTCTGAATTTAATGAACACTATGTTCATTAAATTCACAAGAAAGTACTAAAACTCCAAGCATTTAGAACATTACTCAAAATTAACCTGAACCTCCACAACACTAGTAGTAGTAGTAGTAGTAATCGGTGGCACAGTGGCTGAGTGGATAGCACTCTCGCCTCTCAGCAAGAAGGTCCTGGGTTCGAATCCCGGTTGGACCAGGGCCTTTCTGAGTGGAGTTTGCATGTTCTCCCCGTGTCTGCGTAGGTTTCCTCCGGGTGCTCCGGTTTCCCCTACCACTAAAAATATGTACAATAGGTCTGGCATGTGCCTCCTGTACTGGCACCCCAACTCGCAAAAATAACAATTGTAAACCGCTTTGAGACACCGATGTGCAGTGAAAAGGCGGTATATAAATAAAGATTACTACTACTACTACTACAACACTACTAATGAGATATGACTTTTGACAATGTTAAGCATGTGTATTCTGAAGGTAAGACCCACAATCATATTCTAATTTTGAGTAATCATAATTAGCAGAAAAGCAAATAAATATTATTGTGTTGCTAATTTCTGGCAATCCTAAATCACCCCCATTCCAGGTTCCACTTGACTTGACTTGATAAAGCTCTCTATATTTATCATCTGTAATTAGACTGTAGCACTGCTGTAAATAGGCACTTGTTTATGATGCACTTGAGTCTGTCCACACTGCTCTATAAACAGGAAGAGTCACTCAGGCAGACTTGAAGATTCCACGGTGACAGGACACGGCTATTCTTCGAACAGAGGACCACAGAAAACACAATCTGACTACAGGCATCTAACCCTGCACACAGTCCCCTCTTTTCAGTGCACTAAATGGAATCGTGAGAGAGGTCTATAGCCGCTGCCAAATGATTCAAGTGATGCTGCTCGTGTGGAAAGAGTGGGAACAGAAACAGAATACTTGTGGAGAAGTCAGCAGATGTTTTGGCAAGAAAAGAAAAAGAATGTGGTATTGATTAAGCATCACTAACACATTGTAAAATATGCATAAAATCCTACCTAATTCTATTTCGCAGTAAGCTACAGTATGTCTTTTCAAAGAGTGAGAAAAACTAAAGTGGATTGTTCAAAACTGATACATAGACATGCAATAACCTCTCCATTGGGACTGCAGCAGCTGTACATTAGGTTTTATGTTAGTATAAGGCAAAGCATCTGCTCTTCTGCAGATGTGAGAGTGTTGAGAAGGGTTAAGTTTTAGCACATGGCTTTAACATTTTGAGACAGGCAGGCAAATATTATTAAAAGTTACAGTTCATAGTTTAGATATGACATTGTAGAATTGCATTAATAATTCTGTATGTTAATTAAAGCTGGGGGTACCTGATTTCACAACGCCCTCGCAAGCCTTTGCAAACATGGATAGTTTTTAGGCCTTCACACATTATTAGGCCTGGCATGATGTTTTTTCTGATTGACAAAATATTGCTTCAGAAAACCTAAACAAATAATAATATTGAAGCAAGAATGTCATTGTGCCAACCATACGGCAGGGTAAGCACAGTAAAACAACATCCCACAGGAAACTGTTTGATGTGAAAAATCGAAATTTGAATTTTAAAATACATCAGTAAAGTACAGCGCCTTTCCTGAGAAACTAAAAAGGGAGGCTGTTTGATGTTTTAACTGTGAATTGCAGCATGTCTTTGCAGCTGTGACAGTTGGCAGCAGAATTGACTGTCAAGAGGGATTGGTAGTAACAATAACATTATAATAAAACAGAAACAGAACAGGACATGTTATCATTATTATTCTTTATAACTATGAATATATCATAACATCACCATACCATGACAAGGTGGTCATGGTTGAAGCCTACATTTGATATTACACTTACCCCTATTGGCCATAACTTGTAATTACACAACAACCTGTTAGATTTGCAAGCCTTAATAATTAATAATGGCGTAGTTGTTTCAAATAAACTAAACAATTGCTTTCCGAAATCTCACTTCATTCATGTATATTTCTTTATATAAGTCACACATTAAGCCCGTTAATGTGCATCATTATTGACCAATGTAATATTATGGACCAGCGAGATGTATTTTTTTGCTCATCAATATTATTACTGTCTTAACAAATCTAATCTACCACTTTACTAATCCTTCGTTGATGAACATTTTTTATTTATTTTTTATTGATGCAGACGGCGTGAAGTATGGTAAGTTACGTCATGAAAGCAATGACCCCTTCATGACCTGTTGTTGATTTTATAACAATGTCTTGATAATCGCTCCAACACTATTTGAAACATATAACCTGAAACAATAATTGAATCTTAACACCTAAGAAACTCATGCTGTTCCAATATATCATAAAATAATGTATATATTTGTTGTGTCACAACTATGTAATTGTGTGCCGTGCGTGGCAGTGGTCGCAGTGGTCATGAACGCGGCAAAAGTTTAGTGCAGTTCAGAGAGTAGACTTCAAACCTCAGCATGGACAACGAACTTGTGGACAGCGCGTTCACTGCAGGTATTACATAGTTATAACATGAAATGAGAGTTTAAGACACATTAAATAGGACGCTAAACCGACGGAGCAGTTAAAATGCCGTTGTTAAATCTTAAAGAGATTGCCAAGACTTTATCACACTACCAGCTCTGAATAGCAGCTTGTTTACATGCTAGCTAACTAGTGCTTGTTCTGCTAGTGAGTGTATTTTAAGTTATTACACTCTTTTTATTTTCTATATTTTCCCTCTATTAAATCCAGGGGAGGGCATAAGCCCTGGAGAATGTAAATTATAAGTTTACATTATTATACTTTGCAGGACCCTTCCAGCATTTACTCATGCGCTATGGCTAACACTGAGTTTTCTTTCATCACACTTATTTATGAGGAAGCAAGCTCGTGTCTATAACCTCCAAATTACATACACATGAACTACGTATTAATAATACATGTAATTAGTGTGTCGCTCTCAAAGCAGTTTGTTCCTTTTACTAGATTTCTCATGCATGTACACACCTGTATATCAGCTTTTTTGACAAAAAAAAAATGAAAAAAGAGCAGCATCCTCACTTAGCCAATCAGCTCTTCATTCAAAGCGTCAAATAGTGACGCACAAGGCTTACAGGTATACAAAAGATAACATGCTTTATGATAAGATGAAGACAGCATGTTCAAGTCTAATCACAACACTTTACTTTACAAGGCTGTGTTGGGACAAATGACATGTGTTATTCATGATGAAAGGTACTCCAGCTTTTATTTATCTTAACGTTGTCAATCCTCTTACAGACCCAGGAGGGGCAGGGGAGCATGATGAGGATCCTACAGCAGCAGCAGCAGCAGAGATGGTCAGTAGGCAGCTTTCAGAAGCAGGGCGTTTTGCGTATGCTGCTCTGTGTGCAGTGTCCTTGGGTCAGCTGTTTGGAGAGCCTGGACACAGGTAACAACAAAAGGCCTTTGGTGTTTTATAACCACTGCTGAAATAACACCTATTTACACATTTCTTAAGGTTGTCATGCCAACCTTTTATACAAGACTGAGCAAGGACAAAACATAGTGTCATTCTTATTTTAAGCTTTGCTGCAACATAAATTTATGACAATTCTATAGAAAGAGAAAATGTGTTCTATTCGTTTGGCTGGTTCATCGTCTTCAAACATGCAAAAGGTGGAACTGCCATTTTTAATTTGTAACATTCAACACATATTGAAAATAGTTTGAAATGCTTGAATTTTTTTGAAAGTGAATACAGTGATGTGACAACAGATTTGTGCGTAAGAATTAGTCAGAAATATTGATTGATTATTCCTTACCTTTGTATTTTCTTGGAGATGTTTTTATAGGGTTATGTTATCAAATTCATTCATGCAATAAAATGTGTGTTAAAACAGCACACAACACTGACAATCATGAATAACAGTGAAAATATACTAAATATATTTTAGCCATGTACGACTTCATGTTAAAAGATTTAATGTTAACTTTTAAACTCAATGTGGCAATATGTTAACAGTGAAAACATCCCAGATGTCTTGTTCTTTTAGCCTGTTGACATAAAAGGTAGTAGGTGAGAGACATCCCAGTGGAGACTGTGGGTATGGGCCATGTAGGTCTTGCATTACTTAAAGCATCAATAATGGTTAAAAAGACCATTTGATTCAATTAGGCCTCAGACAAAGAAGTCAGTTGTGTGCACTGTGTGCTTTCAGTGCCTTCAGGGAGCCATACCTGCAGGGCCTGGTGCGGTGGCTGGCCTTGGACGACTCGGTCTTACCTGTAATGAGGGCTTTCCTCTCTGGGCTTGGCTGTGAGGGCTCGGACACCTTCCTCTCCATCCTACAGGCTGAACCACTGCTTTCTACTGGGGCTGCCTCCATCATCCAGGTATAGGTCCTACTTTGTGATGTTGACAATAACAGTGTCAGTTACTATTACTTCTATAGTTGACCACATAGTACATAATTTCATATTTAGCTGGTGAGCCCGAAAGCCGATTCATTTAATGTGGTTTTCTGTTACAGGACCTGGTGTCTTTTTCAGTTAAAGATGGTAAGTGATTCATTTGTTTCTGACAGCTGATATGATCTTGTTTATATGTAGCTAAGTATGTGTCGTCAGGCCAGTATGATGCCAGATCACGAGTTCTGATCCGTCATGTCAGCTGCCTCCTCAGAGTGTCTCCACAGCAGCTCGAGGAGTTCGAGGAAACACTGGGAGAGAGGCTGAGGGAGGCCAAGGAGGAGACGGAGTGAGTGTTCTTTCTGTTGGTGATAGTCCCTCTCTCTCTCTATATATATATACAGTATATCTATTTCAAAATAAACGATGAATTTTTTATACTTTCTGTTGGCCATAGTATTATATCTATATATAATACTTTCTGTTGGCCATAGTATTATATCTATATTTAATACTTTCTGTTGGTAAGTAAGTAAATATAGTATTACATTTAATACTATTATTGTTCCTAATCAATTCAAACTTACTATTATAAATTATGGTTATGTCAGGATGATTTGCACGTATTGATCACTAGGACTCAACATTCTGAAACTACTAGAACTCCCAGAGTAACAATTTTGAGTGTTCTAGTGTTAAAAAACAACAGCAACCACAATGCAATAAAATACAAATACAAACACTATTATCAAAGTAATACTTAACATTTGTTATTATTTATTTGATTTATTTGAGAAGGGACAGATACAGAAAACTTAGACAACTGACGAGGATTGTCTTTCCGCTCGCTTTATTTCAAATAATTAGAGAGGAGTCCTCTCGGCGGAAGAAGAAGGAAAGGGGTCGCAAATTGCGCCGCTACCTCCTAATTGGACTGGCAACTGTGGGAGGAGGAACCGTGATCGGTCAGTAGCACATTTATAGCCAGTGGCATGAGAGTTTTCTAATAAGCTCACTGTGGTTTTGCCAGGTGTGACAGGTGGACTGGCGGCCCCTCTGGTGGCGGCTGGGGCAGGAGCAGTGCTGGGGGCCGGAGGAGCTGCTGCTCTGGGATCAGCCACTGGCATCGCCATAATAGCCTCTCTGTTTGGGGCCGCAGGGGCTGGACTCACAGGTCAGGGCACAAGGCTTTCTAATGCCCTGAACAGTATTGCAGTTCCACATACAAATTATTACTTTAATCAATCAACTAGGCATGATATTATCCATTCTGCCTTCTTTTCCCTTTTGTTTTCTGTATGAGTAATGGAATTGACCATTTACTTACCTACAAAATCACTTACCTGTGAGGTAAAAAACAAATAAATCTGTGTTCTTCTGTATTCCTTCAGGCTATAAGATGAATAAATGTGTTGGAGCCATTGAGGAGTTTGAATTCAGGCCAATGAGTTCTGGAAAGCATCTGCACCTCACTATAGCTGTTACTGGATGGCTCTGCAATGGGAAATACAGTAAGTAAACAACCCACTAAAGATAATTATAGATATAAATGATAATATTCTGGGCGACAGTGGCTCAGTTGGTAGACCATTGGCCTTTGAGCCTGAAGGTTATGGGTTGAAGCCCACCACAAAACCCTCTCCACCGACTGATGTATGCAAAGCAGCTGTTCTCCTGTGGACTCACCAACTGCAGGAGGATCAGTGAGGGCCTGGTGCTCTGTGATCTCTTAATTTTTATGTACAAACAATTGATAACTATGGTAATAATAAACATTACTCTTTTTTTTTTAAATCTCTTTTCACTTGTCAAATTTTAGTTGTGTCATTCTATACCGATGCTCTGCCAGACCTATCAATATTACTGGATAATTCACTTCATTGACATAAGATAACACTCCATAAAGGGACCAGTTGTCATATGAATGTTCTCACTTGACTGGAGATGAAGATTTTATTTGGCACTTCACATATAAAGAAGTGCGTTGTCCATATTATGCAAACCAAGCTCCCTTATTTCCATGACTACGCCCTGCACATATTACGTTGAAACCCTTCAAACACAATAGCAATACGCTGTGTCTGCCACAAAGTATTCATGTTTGCTATTATCCTTGTTGCAAACCGAGTATTTATATTATTGCAGATTCATTCCAGGCCCCTTGGTGCCGGCTGGGGGATTGTGGGGAGCAGTATTGCCTGGTGTGGGAGTCACGTTTTCTCAGAGACCTGGGTTCAGCCATGACCTCCCTGCTGGATGGCCTGGTCAGCATGGTGGCGCAGGAAGCACTCAAATACACTGTCCTCTCAGGTACAAAAGAGAAGGACCCTCGGTGAATCTGTAATTAAAAATAGCACTTGAGTGAATTGAGTGGGAATTGTTGCTTGAATAAACAAGCAGGAAATAGAGGATACACAAGAGAGAGTTGAATAAAGATGATTTACTCTTTCTATTTTTCCAACTGAAGATAAAGGGTTTTGTGTACTTACAGTATACGTTGTACATATTGGTGGTCGTGAAACGTGTTAGAAAATCTGTTTAAGTTACATATTTCTTGACTTTAGGGTTTCAGTTAAGCCTGAAATTAATTAAATGACAAAGAAAACTGAAAAAGAGGACCACCCTCAGCCCTAAGTGTCAAAGAGTGACTTACAGGTGCTCTTTCTCAGAAGTATGAAAAAGAGGTTTTCAAATAGGATTTTAAGACCGCAGGTTGTGGTCTGCACACACAACTTTTTTCTATAGGAACAAACATGTATTTTTTTTTGGTCTTGAAATGTTTTTAACTTTAAAACACACACATTGTCTTGCTATAGACAATTCCAAACACACAATGTCCACAAAACTCATCACCCTGACATGTATTATTTTTGAGAAAAACGAGTTACAAGCACTAAAAACATAAATAAAAAAAGAAATCTTTAGGATTTTTTGTTTTAGAATGAGAAATATGTTGAACAGAAAATAAACATTGAGACAAAAAACTAGATTGAGTAGTAAAACACCTCTATCTAGTGGTAAAAGTGGAAAATGACCTTATTATTTCAGTTGTAGATAACATAATTTGACTGAAGGCATTCCCAAAACTACTTTAGAGAGAATGCTTTTGTTTTAAAGGACAAAATTGTGCCTTTTCGTCATCATATGAAGAGTAGATTGCATTAAATAAAAGGGAAAAGCTCATTTTATTGTTGATGGAGCTGAAAAAAACACTCATGTATGTTTGGATGAGGGAACTATGCTAAAGATGATTTGTGTGCCAAGATTTGTTATTTCATGTGGAACTATTTTGCCAAAAGCTCTTGACTGTATCTTGATTGTCTGTGCAGGCATAGTGACCGCACTCACATGGCCAGCCTCTCTCTTAGCTGCAGCCAGTGTGATTGACAACCCGTGGTGTGTGTGTTTGAGCCGCTCTGCTGAGGTGGGAAAGCACTTGGCACAGGTTCTGAGGAGCAGGCAGCAGGTCCGACAAAAAGCTTCAGTAAAAAACATAAAAACAACTTCCGAATGTGAAAGAAGTGAAGAATGCTAACGCTGCTTGTCTTGCAGGGGAAGCGTCCTGTCAGCCTGATTGGCTTCAGCCTCGGAGCCAGAGTTATTTACTTCTGTCTGCAAGAGCTTGCAAATGAACAAGGTATCTTCTTTGTTTGGTTTCTGTTCTTTCTCTTCATATAGTAGAGTACCTTTTTCTCTTTTGTGTAAAATGGTATGTTTTTTTTAATAATCAAATCTGCTCAGGAGAGTTGGGTCATGTCATGTTGACCTTTTTCATGCAACATTTCAAGGGCCATTTTACCAATGAAATGATAAAAAATACTATGACAACAGTCCCCCTTTTTACCTCTGTGAGTGCACTTACAAAGCACTAGTGAAAACAGAATTCCCCGTAAACCCGTTGAAAGCGTCCGCAGGTTCGGAGCCTTGAGTGTGAGGTTATACAGAGACGGGAACAAAACATCCCATCGTTTTTAGTGTGGTTTTCTTTATTCTTTGTTCTCAATTAAACTCTCAAACAGCATGGGACAACTTCCATCAACCACCACAAGACGGATCAAGTCGAGGGCTAAGATTAAACATATGAAATCATTCAAAACTGTGAACATTTCAATTGGCTCAGTTTTGATCAGATTTCACAAACAAGCATGATTTAGACTTGATCAAGAAGTAAAAAGTAGGGCGGCTCAATAATCTCAAACAAATAAAAATAGTGTTTTTAAAGGGTGCAAATCACATGACTGAAAGTATTTAAATTTAAAAACTCGATTTCTCTAGCAAGTGTCTTTCATCTTGTTGTTGTGCCAAGATCATGGTGTCTTTAGAAAAAGTTTGAGAAAGCGACTTATTTCAAGAATTTACATACTGTAATTTTGCAATGAATGGTTGTATGATATGATAGAACACTACAAAAAAATTCTGAAATGTGTGGTATGCTTTTTCAAATGTAACATAAAGGTCATAAAGAATTCAATGTTGGCCAGAAATATCCCACTTAAATAATTACTAATAACAGCCCTAATAACAACTTTTCACTCTTTTGGCAACATAGACTGTGCACTTGAAAGCCAAGGGACACACCAGATCTATTTTAACAATATCACATTACCATATCTTTCGGATTTTAAGTCGCTCCGGAGCATAAGTTGCATTGGCCGAAAATGCATAATAAAGAGTGAAAAGAACACATATAAGCTGCACTATAGTATAAGTCCCTTTTTATACAGTTTGTGGGTTTTGATGACCAAAATACATTAATAAAAAATAAACACTGAAAAATCAAAAACATCCCGTCGGCGAGCTGGTGGGTGGTCAAATGATACACGTATTGCTCTTATTAATAGCTTAATCGCTCAACTTAATAGCCCGGGCTATTGTTTAATACTTTACAGTTAATAACATATAAAATGTAATCATTTCACACACACAAGTTGTTCCAGAGTATTAGTCACAGCCTCGGCCAAACTACGACAAAAACTGTGATTTATAGTCTGGAAAATACGGTTTACTGATTATTTGACTATAAGTTTTTGTTATTGACAGACAGTGAAGGGATGGTGGAGGACGTGGTCTTACTGGGAGCTCCTGTGGAGGGCTCTGAAAAAGCATGGAAGAAAATGACGAGAGTTGTGGCTGGAAAAATTGTTAATGGATACTGCAGGTATTGTAATATGTGTTTTTATTATATTAATGCATTCCCATCACACAGAATGAGAAAAAATCCCCCTCATTTGTTCTAAAGTTAATATTTAAAATGTTTCAGAGGAGATTGGCTCTTAGGGTTCCTGTACAGAAGCTCTTCCGCTCAACTATCTGTTGCCGGGTTACAGCCAATCAATGTGCAGGATCGGCGCATAATCAATGTAGATCTGTCTTCTGTGGTAAGTCTATGCTGATCTAATGATTATTAATGCTGTTCTGCTCAAATTTGTGGTCAATTAAAGACACAAAACTGGTTTCTGAGTAACTAATTTAGTTTAAGAGGTTACAAATACAATCCAAACAACGTATTACATATTATAATATATCTTGAAATACATTTGTGTCACAAACAAATGGAATAATCTCAGCTGGTTAGTTTCTCAACCACCATGTAATAAAAATGCAAAACAACAAGCAATATGACAACAGTAAAAGTGCAAATCAATCAAATCAATTAAACCATTAGAGCAAACACATATTTTATAGATGTGTGCAATTATCCTTGTGTGGGTATTCAATGTTTTCAATATTTTTTGTTTCTTATCCGTCCCATATTTTTACAGTAGAACTTCTAATAGCACATTGTATGATAACTAAAAATCCAAATCCAGAGCCTCCCACTCAGATGAGTCCTCCTCGTGCTGCTGTTTGTCTGAGTGTTTGATGTCAGCTGTAGAATGTGCTATGATTAAGTTTTATATTCAGTCAATGAATCTTATGCTACACAATACATGGCATGACAAGTAAGGCCCCATTTGGTTTGACTTCACAGTAGGGGTGGGCGATATGGCCTAAAATTCATATCGCGGTATAATTTGGGTCATAGACGGTAGACGGTATATATCGCGGTATAATTTGGTGTGTGAATTTCAATATAGGTCTAGCAGGTTCTTGCATAAAATAGTCAAGATTGTTAATTATTTATATATTAGAATCTAATATATATATATTTTGAGTTAGAAAATCAGTTGTGAGACAAATAAAGAGACAAATAACATACATTATTTATGTATGTTACAGTAAATACCATTCACTGTAAAAGCAATTTTTAAAAAGAAAAACATATGCATTCATTTAAAATATAAAAAACTCACAAATGTTGAAATCAAAGTCTGTAGGAGTTAGACATGGTCATTAGTTATAGTGTCTGAGAGATGACTTCAGTAAAAGCTGTTTGTTTACAAAGCTGGTCTTGCCATTTGTTGACGCTCCCTAAGTGCTTTTCTCTGCGCTGGATGATTCAATGGATTTTATGTTCATTAAAACAGGGCATTGGATTTGAACAATTGATGTAAATGGTCATTTTGGCACAAATAATTTTGTTTAACAAAGTAGCTTTCGTGAGATATTGACCGCGGAGGTCTGAATCTGACGCTAACTTTCCCAAACTTCTGCTGTGATGCTGCGGACACGGCACACGCATGGATCTATTTTGGCTCACGCTGGCGCTTCGAGCCTACGCCCCTTTGACACTGATTGGCCAAAAGGTAGACTCTTAAACTGTGATTACTGTGTGTGTATTTACCTCCGCTGGGGCCGCTGTGACAACAATACATAGACAGAAACACTGTGTTAATGCCATGCTGTTGTTTGTTGTTTCCAGTGGTGTTCAATAGTGCTAGGCTAATGTGCTAGGCTAATGCTGCTGAATGCCGGTTTGTTTTGGTCCTTTCTGCTGGCGTCAGAGCCTGCGCAATTTAATGACATAATGACCTATCGCAATATGCCGGTATAACAAAAATCTCTACCGTGGGCCAAATTTATACCGTCTACCGCTTATACCGTTTATACCGCCCAGCCCTACTTCACAGCATCTGACTCAAACAACAACACAGTTTGAGATTTATTATGGCCTTTTTCTTATTGTTTGTTTGGTAAAATATCAACTAAAAAAAGTAGAGTACATTATAATTGACAAATGTGTTGACAAGTTTTTCATCTTTTCCGTAGGTCAAAGGCCACTTAGACTACATGCGTCAGATGGACACGATCCTGGTGGCAGTGGGAGTGCCAACAAATGAAGTCCAAGGAACCTCTGTCAGTCTATTGTCTGAGTCTGTGGCCCTTCAAAATGGGACAGTGAATTTATCAGACCCGACATCAAGGGAGCACCAGACTCCTCATGAGGACATCCAAGAGGCAGAGGAACAAGCCACAGACGGCTGGGATATCCCTGATATTTCGGACTTGCTGGACACATTAAGTGAAAGTGAAGCAGAGAACAGTGAAATCACAGTGCCACTTTCTTCTCAGGACGATGCTTCAGTCTGTGACACTGTTCCCGATGGGCACAGCGCAGAGGAGGCTGATAGTGAGCACATATCCTGGAGCTGGGATGATACACAGTGGATCACAGAACATACACTTGAACAGAAGAGGCCACACTTGTAAAAAAAGAGCATGTCAGATGACCAGCTGCTTTGTTGTTTGTTTCAGTATCTGGGAGAGAAAAACTAATTTCACTCTCAGCACAAAGCACACTGAACAAAAGAGGCAGCTTCTAGTCAATAGTCATCCACGTAAAGCCAATAAGGCTAATGGCATTTCCTGAAACTGTGAATTTTATTAATTAATTAAATATTGATAGTATGTCTGCCACGTTGTTTAATTTTGCCAGTTACCATGGATATCAAGGCAGTGAACTTCACATTGTCCAGGACTCAAGGACTTCTTTTCTATCAAACATACGGAACTACGAGTACATTGCGTACAAAGAACTGGTAAGGAAGAGGCATTGAAAGAATCATGAGTCGTTTTGAACTTGTTATCCTCAATCTGAGATTACTGTGAAGTAAATTAAAACAATTCTGCAAATTAAGTTGGTCTTGTGCAAGAAAATGTATTTCAAATGGCACTGAATTTACATATTTCTTGTTTATAGAAAAACATTTATAAATGTATTGAGTTATTTATTGCTCTTGATAGTCTGATATCTTTATTTATATAGGGCTTTTAACGGACCAGGGTCACACAAAGCCCTTTAACATAATTTGTGTTTTTTATTCTCTTAATCACTGTGATGGTGGAAGTGTGACTGCTGCACAGCTGGTGCCACCAGATGAATCAATACTATTTCCTCATTTTACAGTGAATGACTCTGTGCCTGTTTTGGCAGTATAGTATTCAGCAGAATGACTTGTTAAATGTATTCTCAATTCACGACATAGTTCTACATTAAACAATAAACGTCTGACCTAAATGGTTCACTTGCTACAGTTATGCAAGAGAACAATACAACTCTGTATTCCTAAAGACAAAACTAATCCTTCATTCTTCATGATGAAAATTGTGATAGAAAACCTATGTTTCAGGGTAGAACCGTTTTGACTCCCATCCACATGTCATTTTTTGGGCTTTCTTGATAATGCATGCACACTTCACATTTGTTTTTGTATGAATGTTCACATTACGTTTGTAATCTATAAAAAAATGACCAATTTGTTAAATAAATAAACATTTTCAGATGAGGCAGAACATGATTTGTGCTAAGAAAAAACTGGATTTTTTTTTTAGAAAGCTCTTGTTCTGATTAGAAAATGTATTCTGGATGGGAATCAAACTAGTCTCCATATGGGTCCAGATTACTTCTCAAACTAGTTCTGCAGTGTTTCATTCTTGTTCAGTCCAGAGTGTCCACTTGATTTGGCAGGAGCAGAGGGAGCTCGATGCTCGCCTGCGCCGCATCCAGCAGGTTGACGGCATCTGTGGCGGTGGCAGGAGGCTGCATGGGGTCAGAAGGCAGAGGGGACGCTGGACTGCTGATCATGTGGGGCTCCCCGGAGTTTCGGAGAGAGAGGGACAACGCTGGCGACGGTCTTCGTGGCGAGCGTGATGAACAGCAGGGTAAGAGCTTTCCCAGGGCGCGCTTGAAGTCCCTCATGAACAGTGGGTAGATGATGGGGTTCATGGTGCTGTTGCAGTAGCCCAACCAGGTGATGGCGTCAAACAAGGCCACCGGGACGCACTCACACACCGCCTATAGTGAAGGAATCTTATTAGTTTGGATTGAGACGAGATGGACTTTCCACAAGACCAGACTGGGTTGAGGACAACAAGACAAAATGAGATGTCAGAGATGGAGAAATCTAGCTATTGTCTGTTTATCTTCAGAACATTTTTATTTTAAGCAAAGTTAACCATAACTGATACCACACATGAAATCAATCTAGTATATTTATTGACGTTCACATGGCCCCACCTGTATGTGAAAGCCAGATCTCGTCAGATTTATGAAGCTAATCAGGGCAGGGCCTGGTTAGTACTGTTAAGGGAGACCACTGGGAACACCAGGGGCCACGGAGGGCTGCTGTAAAATGTCAAATTGTTGTTGTGTTCTAAGGCAAGACACTTCACACCAGACTCATGCCTGGAAAGGTGGTCTGAAGGGCCGATGGTACAAACTAGTTGCCTTACTTCTGTTAGTCTGACAACAGGTGTCTGTGATCATCATCATCATCATCACTGTGAATGAATAATGCCACGTGAAGCGTCTTTTAAAGTCCATAAACAAGCTATAAAGAAAATATACATTTATTTTGCTTTTGGAGATTAGAAATCATCAGTCTTGAACCCCTTTTTTGTTCCGGGCAATTGTTTACACACACGTAAAAAATAATCTCAGGGAAATCACAACCATATGTGTGCACAAATCCTCCAGAATATCATACTGTAAGTTCTAACCTACATGCTACATCCCAGCCACTATTAACCTCTTAGTATCCATTGCAAGTTGCCTAGATGACTCAGATCTCTGCTACCATAAGTAGACAGAAGAGTCTACTTATGGTAGACTCTTCTAAATGAGGGTTCAGAAATTATTATGAAGTGTAATTGTCTATTTAAATCGTGGTAAAAGCCAAACTGGGACACACATTGTTTTGGAGATGGCTGAACAAACATCCCCTGTGAGTCATCACAGCCTGGCATGAATCATTATTCCTCATGCATCAATAACTTAAATGTGCACCATGTAACTTCATTGGGTGGGGGGTCTCCACTGAGGAAGGAGAGCAAGGAGAGGATGGCTTATTGGAAAATTTACATAAAGCACTTATTACAAAACATTTACTGTACTAATGAGGGTATGTAACAGTCACGTGGTGTAGACACGTAACTGACTTCTGGTTTGAAATGTTGTCAATGTGACGCACTTTGAGTTGCATTTTGAATGAACTGTGCTATAGAAATATATTTTGATTGATCGATTGAACCATTACATAATAATAAATAACCACATTTTACACACAAATTATATGATTAAAAATTCCTACTGAAAAATCTGTACAATTGTTCACTGACTTCATGTTCCAGATTCACACTGTGACCTACATTTCTAAAAACAATCAGCAATAAAAGGGGCAGAAACAGCTAATTATGATATTGTTTTGATGTGAATTATCTGTATTTGTAATCCTAAACTAGAGGTAGAGAGGGAACAGTGAAGGAGGAGACAGCTGTTAGAGGAGAGCTTCCAATACTCTGAAGATGAGGCAGCGAGGCGGTGGCAACAGGAGTGAGGGAGGGCTGCGTTTCACACACCACATTGAGTGCGAAAAAGGAAGGAGAGAGCAGACACACTGAAGTCTCTACAATCTACATGTCTATGGCAGGGAGGAACAAGTGGGCACAGATGGATAATCACAATGACAGCATAATTGAGTGCTCAAAAAAAAAACAATTAACATGACCAATTTAAGACGATTGTGACATTCATCTCTCGCCTACATTTTCTGCTGCGTAAACTGTTTTCTGTGAGTAATCAGCACAGCAGATCCAAGTATCTCAAAAGCTGGTTTGACTTTCATACTGTTTCAAATGATGAGTCAGTCATGCACAGAGCTCAAATGCCAATGCATTTCCTTGCTGGACTGCAGTAACTACAAGACTGGCCAACACCCAAAATAGATCTGCAAACAACTGTGTTTGTCTTGCATTCTATTCACAGCTTTACATTTTTGTCACTGTTGGAATAATGACAAATAACAATCATCAAAGCTTTTATGACTCATAAAGCAAAGGGTAAGGAGTGCTGTGTGTGTAAAATGTTTGGTTACTTTTATGACTCATAATTTTTCCCTCCAAATAAATTAGAGAAGGGTATACTGTAATGATGAAGGAAACCTATGAAGATATATTTGGAAATTAAATGCTTTTGTTTTACTTGATTACACTAGCTTAGCAAAGACACACATTTGCAGAATACAACATTATCTGTGTAGAGCTGTCTTGTAATCATCAATCAGTCAATCAAGACATAATCTTCTATCTCTGTGTCCAGTTTTCCTGTTGCTCTTTGCTGTGCTTGATTCAGAGTTGCCTTCACTGACCTGGGCCATGTTGGTGATGAAGAATGGGAGCCACGTGCTGAAGAAGAGCCCCAGGAGTACCCCCAGGGTGAGGCTGGCCTTCAGCGCCCTCCGGCCCTGACGATGAGCCAGGCGCCGCTCACTGGTGACAGAGTTCTGCAAGGCCACAGAAGGTACAAGGTCAGTGTGGGGAAGTTTGCAATCACACATTTCATTGTTCTATAGTTTTCTGTCAAATTAATTCTAAAAGCAAAGGTGATAGACACCTATCAACTTTACTGCGGAACTAGTTTGAGAAGTAAGGCATCTGTTGTGTTTTCACACTGATCACACAATGTGCCATATTCTGCAATGCAATTACGTACCTTTTTGAATCTTTTGGTTATAATGAAGTCTTAAACTAATCCGTTTTGCAATTACTCTCATGAATACTTTTGTAGTATGTAATTAACTCGTGACAAAAAACTTTGTTCCAACATTAGTTGTTTGTAAAAGATTCATGTAATCATGTGTCATTCAGAGCAGGCAAGGTTAGAAGCCATTCAATACAGCTACTCAGGAGTCCATTTAGAAAAATATAATTCATTATTTAAATACATTTCAGTGACCCATTTTAATACCTGATCTTTGCCTTAGCCCTCCTCATTTCAAAACAAATTATAAAACATATTATTAATGAATATAAAGCGTAATTTGTCTGTTCTCCTGTGCAAATAAAGAACCTTTTGTAATGTGTGCTTTCCAGAGGCCCAGTAAACCTTATTTTGAATAGGACTAATAACACGGTTCATTCAATGTCATTCTCTTCCATTCAGTGGCAAGAATATATTACTTTATATAATAGCTTTTTCTGCACTTCCTCCTGACCTGCAAATGCCTGTATTTGAGTGTTCTTGTGGTATTCACTTAAAATATATGAGAAATTAATTTGGAAATCATTCTCACCACCTCCAAGTTGGAGTCCCATGGCCCCCATTTTGGGATCCATTGCAACAGACTACTAACACCTGCACAGTAGACTGTTTTAGTTATAGCACTATAGTAACACAAATTTTTTAGTGATCAACAAGGGAATGAGGTAATCCTAGTATGGTGATGAACAGGGGCCATGAACACACATTTATGTTTCATCTACAAAGCTAATACTGTAGCTTGTAGTGTTACTGCAAATGGCGAAATAAATGAATCTGAATGAATCTGAATCTGAATCTGTAGTCGCAAGGCAGGGTGTAGGGCGGCCATCAAATTATGATATAGTTATATCCCTTTCACCTCAACTCAAGCATTTGGTTGGATTTTTACAAGGTTTATCTATCATTAAGATTAAGAGATCATTTATTGGTCCCAACGGGGGAAAATTTCAGTGTTGCATCACAAGTTACAGAACAGTAGGAATGAGGAGCACACAGCACAAGATGAATGAATAGCTATATGAACCAAAAGTAAATAAAATCTCTAACTTTAGCATCAAAGACACAAGAATAAAATCTCTATCTTTAACATAATAAAGACGTATAAAATCTCTTATAAACATCATCGCAAGAAACAGCAGATGCTTGTGTCTTACCGGTGCGTTTGGTGCCACCAAAGGCTCGTGGTGACTACAATCATCTCTGTCGGGGTTTCCAGCCATGGCCCCAGGTGAAGGGGGTCTTGAGGGCTCCCCCAGTGAAGCGTGTGGATGGGGAGGGTTGCTTAAAGCGGCCACTCTTTTGGCTTGCCTTCTAGCTGCCAGAAGAATCCTACAGTAGGTGAAGCAAATGGCACTTGATGGCAAAAAGAAGGTCAAAACTGAAGCCACTAGGGCAAAAGGTAGGGTCACCCTCAAGCGGCATTGATACGAAAGTCCGCCAGGAGACTGATGAAAGTAGGACTCTGGATAAAGATTGTCAGAGTAGCTTAAATTACTTTGTGAAGGTCCGCTCCAGTGACCCAAACTGTGCCATTTCAGTTCAATCGGAAGGAAAGATGCTGAAGCTGCTAATCCCCAAGTTGCTGCCACTAACAGTAAGGCTCGAGGTGGGGTCATTCTTTGCTTGTAACGCAATGGAGAGATTATAAAGATGTATCTGTCCAGACTTATCACACACAGGTTCAAAATGGATGCACTACAACACATGACATCAAAACAAAGCCAAATGGGGCAAAAAGAAGGCCACAGGACCCACGCCCCACACAGTACATTGAGCATGGCTGGAGGCATCACAACTAGTGCCACCATGAGGTCAGAGAAGAACAGAGACACTAAGAAACAGTTGGAGGTGCAGCGTAAAGCGCGATGAGCAAAGACTAAAGCAATGAGCAGCATGTTTCCACAAGCAGTCATCAGAATGATAATGGTGAGCATAAACGCCAATAACCACGGACCGCTGCCAGTGATGTCCCAGGCGCTGGATGCTGAGGCTGCGCTGCTCGGGTTTCCTACAAAGGCTGCAAAATGAGAATCCGCCATGATCTTCAGGTGGTCCTTATGTCAAAGATGCCTAAGATGTTCAGAAATACTTCACATTTTTGCAACAATATCTCAAAATAATATTTAAAAAATAAGTACTTTCATCTTTTCATTATCTTTTGTCCCTCTAATAAGTACTTAACTGCTTACACAAATACTTAACTTGCAATTCAACTGCTAACTTAGAAAAACCCTTTTCGATTTCACTATATTTAGTAAACATTTATGTGTATACACAATTTGTACATACAAATAAGCCGCACAAAAGCATCACAATAGTACAGGTCCAAAAGCATTTCCTAAATCTTGAAAGAATCCAGTTCCTGTGCAAATTCTCTTGTAATTGAAGGATACAAAACAGTCCCAAACCTTTTTTAAACATTTGTATCCAAATATCTTCTGCACATATATCAAGTTTTCTCATGTCTCTGTTTCAGCTCCTTGTTTCTGCTCCCTTGAGCTTCGTGTCCGAGTGAGCCATTCAGCCTCTGAGTTTTGGAGCGCTGACTGGAGGATGCGAGCATCTGGAGAGAAAAGCTGCAAATGTGTGATGAAAAGTGAAGCAATTCTCGGAATCCTGCCTCACCTGGAACAAGTGCCTGTAATTCCCTTTTTTACAATTTATGCCTTTTATTCAAGGAGCAGACATGAATTGTTAGGATTTGTAAGGCTGTCTCTCCGAGCGTGGCTTTGTCCCCAAGAGCTCTACAGGTTGCGCACTCGCTCTCGATAATCCCCATGTCGGCCACTCCAGCGCAGATCGCTCCGTCTGTAAGCCTGAAGCGTGTCGGAGCCGTTAATGCACAATCACAGCCATGAGATGATCAGTCTAATCATAGGGACGGCCGTGGGTGGTCTCCTGCCGTGTTTGGGCATGGTCTTATCACTAAGTCTATTTTGTACTGAAGTAAGTATGTGTTCTTTATTTAAATATTTATTTACACAGACCGACTAACATTTCTTCCATATGGTATTAAGATGTTTATAGTTTCGCCAAAGTTCTATATATTTACAGTACTACATTGCTTAGATTATTTGAATCAAATAATTGAAAGCTGAACTATTCAGAATGCAATGAACCTTTTGATTTCAGGTACTTGAATGAATTTGTAATTTTCCAAATTCAAGAACATATTTTTTGAGCTGAATGTGTTTTTGTGTGTAACATTAAGTGTTGATGAATTGAGCAGTTGTTCCAAGACATAACATGCTTTAGAAATGGACAATTATTGATTTGTTATACAATATCATTTTTGACCCCCTAGGGATTTTTATTAAATATAGAGTTCACATGAAATCTTCAGATTGAGCTAGCTTTTGGAAAAAGGGTTCCAAAGGAAAATCTGCACCAACAGTCAATCGTTTATGTTAAATAGCTTATGAATAACTTAGTACTTAGATCAGATTCATTATTATTAGGGCTTTAAACAAGAAACAGACAAATACATCGGAGCAAATCTGAGAGATCATCTCTCTACAATATTGTCTGAAAGAGGCTGGTGCCTTCTAACTCGTCTGTGTACCAGAACTGATCAGGGCTGTCGGGTGAGTCTTTCCTGTTTCTTTTTTTTAATTATGGCTTACATGAAATTTTTCAATTGTACAAATGTGTCTGAATGTGTGTATATATAATCGTCCCCTTGCAAGTGCTCATGTTGCTCCCTGTGCATATCGGATGTGTAGTAACATAAAACGTGAAAAACCTCCTTTCTAGTTCAAGCATAGTCATTCATAATATCTTATTTAATATTGAATTATTTCAATGTCATCAAACTGAATGGTACTAAGTAGAAAGGTGTTATTATTGCAAACCATAAAAAATAATAACTTGAGCCTAGTCAACAGCTTCCTGTCCTGAAGCGCCCCCAGATCTGACTGTCCACTGGTGCAGGGCTGTCATCCGTCGACCTCCTAACCCCCTCTGCTGAAGCCCACCTCCTTATGGTGCAGGAACAACACGTCTCGGACGTTTCACACATCCTCCCACACACATGCATAAAACACATTTTCACCAAATCAATCCATTTAATATTCATTTATTACCACACATTGTTGCAATTAGGTTTTTTTCATTAAAAATAAATGAAAGGACGTTTCAATTGGATTAAATAAACATTATTTGACGCACACAAACATAATGCCAACTTCAAGGAGTTGTCCGAAAACAGTGCAATCCCTATAATAGATCCACAAGTGCAATAGTGATGACTTTCCCAGAGAAAAAAAAAAAATGGGAAAAGGGCCGATGACTTCTTGCAGTTATGTCTCCTGTGGGAAAACAAAGAAAATAAAAGATTAAGGCTTTTTTTATGATTTAAAGCTGGGGTTCCCAACTTTGAAACCACAATAGATACATACACAAACTCCTTGTAACTAGCTCTGAAAACTGCTTTCACATGTGTATTTTTGGGCATTAGGATTTTCAGTGAAAAGGAGAGGACCAGCCCTCACTCAGCCAATCAGCTCTCAGCAAGTTAAAGATGTTTTCTCATTATAGAGAGAGAGCATGTTGTGGTCAGTTATGTTCACAATATATTACTTAATACAATATTATAAGGCAAACAATTATGAATTTTACAAATATTTGCAGAATGTAAATGTTTATTTAGTCATTTACAATCTGATGTTATTACTGATGTTACAACCTACAAAAATATAAATTAAGGTATGAATAAAAATAAATGCTTGTAATGTTTAGAGATTGAGTAATTCCTAAAGTCTTGCTCCACAAAATAATTATCTTGCATTCTAAAGACTGAGTTTATATTGTAAAAATAAAATACCATCAGATTCTGTTAGTAGGAAAATAACAAACATGGATAAAAACATAAAAAGGTAAAGCGCTAACATGATATTAGAGACAAGATGGTGGAAAACCAGTACTTAAAAAGCATCAAATCTGAAATACATATGGAGATGAACTATTTTCAAATGTCGAATTCCTGAGATTGCTCATTTTGACTGATTATGTTTTCCAAATTCTCCCAGAGAAAAAAAGTTGGCTTTGTAATCTAAAGATAGAAACTAACCTTTTCAGCTTTCCGTATCATGTAATGTGATCTTAGGTCATTCTGACAGTTTGCATAGGCCATCCCCAGCCCCACACCAGAGCCCAGAGAAATAGGCCATGTATGTCCTACAACAGAAGAGAGATGTATTAAAATGCAGTCGGAAACATGATCCTTTCCGTTTCTTGACCTAAGCACAAACCTCTTAACTCCACTTATATCCAAGTGCACTACATCTCCATCTCATTTATATTCCAATATTTGACTTTGAAGTAGTAAACAGACGAGTGAGCAAGTAAGCACATCCCAATTTAATTACAGGTCACAAATTTTTATTTTGATCAAAGTTCATATCCCAGATTTGCCAAGAGGACATATCTTAACTCATTGACTGCCATTAAAGTATTTGTCTCAGACCAGTTATATCTGTAAAACTTCCCTCTATTCAACTGGGGATTACAGGAGAACTAAAATAGCTAGAAACCAACTTAATTTTGCTGACTTAATTTTGCGGACCAGGGCCTTTCTGAGTGGAGTTTGCATGTTCTCCCCGTGTATGCGTAAGTTTCCTCCAGGTACTCCGGTTTCCCCTACCACTAAAAATATGTACAATAGGTCTGTGCATGAGCCTCCTGTACTGGCCCCGCTCCCATCTCTGTGTGGAGTGAGAGGACAAGTGCCCAAAAATAACAATTGTAAAACCGCTTTGTGACTCTGGTCTGTGAAAGGCGGTATATAAATAAAGATGACTTACTTACTTAAAAGTAGACAGTCCAGTCTTTCAGAATCTGGTTTCATATTTCTATAGTCATAGCACACAATATTCTGTGGGTCTTGAAAGTCAGTGAAATCATCAAAAACGGCTGGCAGACAATGAGTTAAGAATATCAATTGTCAAGAAGACATTTGAGTGAACATTTTCACATATTGTTAACATTCATTTAATTCAGGCTCAAAACTCAGATAATTGAAGAGTCCTAGTGTGATCTTTTCATTAGAATCAAAATTGGTTTGATATCATGAAAACACTCTATAATTGTAATGTAATGGTTAACTTCCACCATATGTTCCATTAATATTTTGGAAGTAACCGTTTTCCGACTAGCAACAAAAGAAGTAATTTAATAACTTAATCCCTAGATCAGCCATTCCCAAACTCAGTAACACCGAGGCCCCCTTAAAAATCTGACGGGTCTGCGTGGCCCCCCAAAATAATAACCAAGAAGACAACATTAAGAATAGGCTCTTCTGGTTATTTTATTTTGGGGAAATAGCCTCTGCTACAAACATTGTAATACAAAAATGATTACAGTGGCTTATTCAAGTCAAATAATGAACACAAATATTTTAATATTACAAACAAAACATTATAAATTTAACATTAAATAATTATATATATATATATTTTTTTTTTATGACCTCCCGCGGCCCCCCTGCAGTACCCACGCGGCCCACCAGGGGGCCGCGGACCCCACTTTGGGAGACACTGCCCTAGATCAATGCTTTATCCCCACTACAAACACTACGTTCATCACATTGTATTGGAGCGCGTTGTTCATGCCATAATAACTAAAATATACAAGGTATTTTTTTCCAAGTATTGACCAAATATTTGATCCAATAACCATCCAAAGATACACATTGCTGAACGTACATTTCATACAAACTTACTTTTAAAGAAGAGGACAGAAAAGACGATTCCAACTCCGAGGCCAGTGCCTGAAACACACAAACAGCTCAAGGTGGGCTGGGGCTGGTATTTCATTCAAACTATGAATGAATCAAGAATCCTGAACACAACAAATATGTCCTAAGCAATTTTCTTATTGTATCGCTTCAAGCAATTCTAACAGAAAAGTAGCATCTCTGGACATGTTGTAGCTGCAGTGGTCCGTGTCCTTTGCGAAGGGTAGCTAGTTAGCCTCAGACGCAACCAATGACAGCTGAATGAACCCGTAAAATCCGCGTACATTTTGGTTCTTTATTATGAGATATATGACAGGATGTACAAGCGGGAGACCTGTACATATTTACCGAGCTTGACAGCCGCATCGGCCAGGCAGCGGTCCCATTTCTTCCCCAGCTCGTTTTCAGACATGCTACGCGTTAGCTTCAGGATTCAAGTGTCAGGGCGCTGTGAGGCGTTCAAAGACTGTGGGAAAGTCAGGGCAACATTTCAAGATGTGCTATTCACGGGATGGTTGTAATGAAACGTATGATTTAAAAACAGGCTTGAAAAATATGTGATAGACAAGCCGTGCTTAAGCAAGTTGGTGAGAAGGGTGATTTTATAATAACGTAGTTCGTTGAATGTACTGTCCGTGAATACATACTTATGGCGCCGCCTTGTGGTCAAATCAAGGATCGACGAATAGACACATTTAAAAACCAGATAGACCGCAAATTTTAACAATTATACATTTATCATGTGAAGCAACATTTAAGGTTCACTAATCTATTGTTTTATATAAATAACATAATAGTTTTAAACTAGACTGTATAGTATAAATACCATAGACTGTAAATATTAATAAATACACATTTTTGTATCAACTTTATTTGAATTTGTTTAACCCTTGGCTTTAATAACATTGATTTCCTGAGATGATAATGCACATTTCTAATCACACCTTAATATAAACATGTGCTGTCTAGTAGTAGACAAAATTGGGCACATCGATAACTTGAGCACAAATTCACAAATGTGAGTCTTCAACATTTATACATGTATAGTGTGTCATTAACTGAAAGATGACAAGATGGTACAGTGAACTGTGGCAGTTGTAGCTATTTTTATTTACTTTTTACATTATGGTAAACATAAGAGGTAGAAATCTTGATGTAATGGTAAGTGCTACAAAAATATGTCTAGTAAATATGAATTTGAATGGCTTGTGACAGATAGTGATGTTTTTCACTAGTTTTGACTTGATTCTGTAATATCTTGTGGCATTGCTATAGCTGGGGTCATGGCAGATTCTTCTATCAGAGCTGTCGTTGTGACTGTCGTGGGGACCATTATTCTTGTTGGTGCTGGTTCATTGGGCTCTTCTTTTGGTGTACACACAGAGGCCTTGCTGATGGTCAAAAGATCGTGCAACTCCTTGTTTTCAATCTAGGAAACAATAAATATATTTATAAATATGATGATCATGCCAAAAGACAAAATTATATTATTCAATAAAAGCATGATAAACGGCATGCACATACTCTGTACTGTTTCGTTTCAACACAAATATAGTTCAGAAGTATTTTTCAAAGGGTTAAAAGAACAAGCCTAGAATAAAAAGGGTATTCTATGTATTTTCCTACCTCTAACTGAGCCAATTTCTCTTTAACTGAGCAGTAATGCTGGTCGTCTGCTTGCACAGCTTTCCTCATGACTTGGCCCATTTCACAGATTCTTTCCACTTGACTTTGCACCTCCTAAAAATTAAAAACAAAAAAAATCACATTGCGTTCCATACATAACATAACTGCTGTAGAAATTAGGGGTTAGAAGAGAGCTACCTTAGCATAACTCTCATGCATCGTCAGCACAGGTTTTGTGTCCAGTTCCTTTTTAGCCATCATAAGTTGCAGCATCTGTTTGCGATACCGGCCCATAATCAGCTCTAGCGCGTATTGGTGTTCTTCAAGAGACAGCCAAAGTTCTATAAAAAGGCAGATTTATTAATATTCTAATTAATGATAAATGTTTTCAAAAACACCTTAGACCTACCCTTGTTTTCTTGCTGGAGATCCTTGATTTGAGTGTTTTCCTGAGTTAGAAGAACGTGTGGCTTGTATTTGCTGAGCTCTTGAATCACTGAAGCCTCATCAACGTTCTGAACATTCATGATAAAAAATAAACCATTCACTTAGTTAAAGTAGACATCATTGTCATGTTTTAAATTATTTCAAAAAGGTTGGGACAATATTATAGTCAAACAACCTAAGAAATAAGGAATACATTGTGGCACATACTTTAAAATAGTGTTGAATCAGGCCACTTGTTCAATTTGGTTGGACATACTTAGGGACAAACAACAGTTACATTAATTGGAATTGTTTGATTTTCACTTTTTATATACAACAGCTCAGCTCAGTAGCAGGGGCGACAGTAGCTCAGTTGGTAGAGCACTGAGCCTGAAGGTCGTGGGTTCAAGCCCACCACGGGACCTTCTCCACCGACTCCCACTGATGACTGCTGTCGTTGTGTCCTTGGGCAAGACACTTAACCCTGCATTGCCTGAAGCCCCCGCTGAAAAATCAAGGCTGTATTGTCACTGACAGAGCAGCCGTCCTCCTGTGGACTCACCACCTTGAGGGGCTGGTGTTAAGTGAATTGGGTGCAGCTCTGACTGCCACCCCCCCGACCCAGAAATGGATTAAGGGGAAGAAGATGGATGGATGGATGGATATACAACAGCTTGGAATAGGGTTCTGTCCAATATTATAACCAATAAATCATATTTTACCATATTATAACATTTACAATTCACATGGCATCCATTAAAATAATTGGACATAGAAGAAAGAGGGACATGGGCCAGTATCCAGAAAGCAGGGTAGAACAGGCACAAGAGGAACATTGAGGGATTAGCATGCAGGTCATATATTTGAGAGACTCTAAGAATTTCATAAACAGACTTTACTTATTGTTATTTTAGGGTATCGCGTTATGCACATTCGGCGATGACTGATACCACAATACAGGTCCGCCAAAGCTCTTTTTTTCTTAGATAAAATTCAGTGTAGGATAGCTTGTTGCCTACCTTGTCAGGAGGAGCATTGCCCACCTCTCTCATGCTCTGCACGGTGTGGTTGAGGGCACCTGACTGCTCAATCAGGCTTTCGGCCGCAGTGTCGTGCTCTTTGAGCCTTTCCAGGAGAGTGCGAGCATCGCCCAATACCTTCTCTAAAGTACAGGCCATTTAGGCTACTGCAAATTATGATAAGTCTCTCAAACGTATCGTTCCGAGTGTGGGTCGTTAGGAGCTGAAAACACGTGAGACAGTGCAGTCTATGTCGTCCCTACCTGTGCCGTATCTTTATTCACCTAAACACATGGTTAATTTTTGATCAACTACACAATAAACACTAATATATCAAAATTCAACTCTTGTTTGTTGTGAAGGCGGTCATTTCCGTGATAAGCTGGAGAAAACATCACTTCCGCTATTAAGGTCTCAGCGCCACCTCGTGGTAGTTGTTATTACAAGCTCTTTACAGATGCTTGTTATCAACTAATCAGTAGCGTTATGTCCAGATCGTAACAAAGCTGTCGTGTAGTCATTTATAAATTGCTACGTGGTCCGGTCAAAATAATCTCGAACAACTTGCCTTTGGTTTATAACCATAGACTGTAAATATTTATAACATGGTATAATCCTCTTGTCTTTTCACACTCTTTGAAAAGCCCTCTCTTGCCTGTCTTCACTCTTTGGCTGGGTTAGTGTTGGCAAGTCTCGCGCTAGCATCCGCCATAATCACTACGTAATGTGCCGTGCTGCTTCTAGCGGCGCTGGTGACAGTGCTGAAAGCTGTTGGGGTGAGTTTTTAAATACATTTACAGATTATACCAAAGTTTTTTATAGAATCCGGATATTTGGATACACAGCTCACAAATGATGTCCGGAATGCGTTCTAAATGTAATGCGTACTAAGAGTTTTGTTAGACGCAGAGTTCGGGCCTGGGTGGGGACGGCTCTTTTCTTCCCATAAATCTGCTCATCGTGCCGTGGCGAGCTAACAGTCCATAGCCTCTTGTTAGCATTGTGGGGCCTAGCTCAGTTCTCCATTCACAACTGGACAAAGCACGTGTGTTGTCATAATGCCATCCGAGCGGCTTAAACAGTGTTGTTGTTATAATCGTCAGAGCCTGGGTGGGAGCGGGATGGATCAGTTCGGTTACGTGTCGCAGTTCTTTGTGTTGTCCGCGTGTGGAGGTCCGGTGTGAGGACAAGCCGAAGCCTCTCCTGACCTTGTCTAAAGGCAAACCCGCGGTGGCATCTCACCAAAGAGATAAAACCACTCCTGGAGCTTCTGTTGAACATGTCCGTGTAATCTTTTAAGTAAATGTCATTCTGATAATATCTAGTGTGATCGAACTAAGAAACAAAAGCCACGGTGGTGACGGGGCTGCACTTCCCCCATTCCAGTGACACATGTGTGCTGTTTCAACAAGCACGTGAGCGCTGATAAGTGTTTAATTACCTTTAATGATGTATAAAAAAACCAACAGCCATTCCTCCATAGATGATGATGCAAAAAGCCATGCCCTGATGTCATGTGTTATACTAGTAATAATGAGCTGCGAGTTAGTATTGTAACTGGAGTGTTGAACGAGGATGAGGTCCTGAGATATTATAAACTATGAACTAAACATGTCAAATCAGTGTTTTGTTTGTAGTTTATTTGTAGTCCTGCGCATGTTTTGGCCTTGGTCCGACTGTCGGTTCATCTGAGGCAGTGGGAGCGGATTGCTTGACAGTCACATGCTGTTCAACAGTGGGGGCTGTTGTTTGTGTCCACATCAGCTGTAGCTTCTCGGGCTGTCCGAGCCCGCTTAATAAAATGTGTGTTAGTTAAATAATTACCAAGAGAAGTTTTAAGAATTTTGATAGACAAAACGGCCAATCAGTGTCTGCGGTTGAGTGGGTGGACTTCTGACTTGTTTTGCATAACCTTTAACCCATTTGAAGTTTTTAGCATTTTGGTAGAACACAGAAATAACTTACTCCATGGGCTTGAAATATGAAATATCAGAGTTGTCTCCTCTTGCTTTTGGGCTTGTAATTTCAGCTTTTAGATAAATTATTTTCAAATGACTCAGTAAGTGTGTGCCTGCAGTTATTGCAACACAGGCATGGCAGAGTAGATATCATGTGTCCTGACTGGATTGAACAACTTGTTTTTAAACTGTATGTGGGTCAGGGGGCCATACTTATTTACATGTGTTAAAAAAGAACCATTTATAAAAACTAACCATTAGACCACATATTCCAAAAAAACAAAAACTGAATTGTTACTTGTCTGAGGGAAAACTGCTGCTCTGATCAGAAATGGTGCCATGAACATTACTTAACTCTAGCCTGCAGTGGCTTTTTTATTTCAGACAGCTGCCTCCCGTTGAGAAGTCAGAGTAAACCTCTGTTAAAAAATTATACACTTTGGGATTAGAGCAAATATTATTTATTATTTAGTATTTAGTATTTTAGATTTTGCTTACTGAGTCTGAGTTTACGGATTGATAACATATTTTTTTCTTATTTTTCAGTATGAAGTGAAACGGAATAGAATTTTTATACCATCAGCAACTGCTTCAAGTTCAGATCAAAACTAAGAAACCGACGACTAACCTCCAGAACATCAAGCAAAAACAAGTACAAAACACGTGCAGGGAATAAGTATCGCTTCAAGGGTTCAAAACAACGAAGTAACCAAATCCTGAAACAACCAAAGAAGCACGCCCACCCTTCAATCGAAACAAAGAGAAGCATCCGTTCTACAGTATTGTGACGAGAAGAAATCTGATCTGAAACCAGAAGTTTGTGCCTACTCAACAGCTTTGACAAAGCACACGTCCCAACGCTGCTCCTAGCCCTCCTCATCCTCACCACATCTCCGACTCGCCACCGGGTTGTGGAGGGGGCTGCTACCTGCTAGTTTCCCCTGTAGTTCCCAATTGTTTCCCCTTCTCTCATTCTCCCACTTTTTTGTTTTACAAAACCTCTTATTTTTTCAAAGCAGTGGTATAAGCACCTGCTTTAGCCCTTTTTGCGCTAGTCTTCTCCTTTTTGGCTTTATGCAACCATCAACTTGTGCCAGAAACCTGTAACAAGTGTGTGTGTTCAACTGTGTGCGCGTGTGGAGCTCTGCAAGAACTTCTAAGTGACGACGACAAGAGAATCGAGAACCAGTTAAAGGTGAGTGCTGACTTAAATCAAACCATCTTTGTGTGATATCATGGTACTACTTTAAGGTGATTGATCTAATCGCCAAGATTATTTGATGTTTTTTACAAGAATATATTATTTATGCTACAATGGTAGCCTGTCTCTTCTGAGATGAGGTGAACATGCTCAAATCAAGCATCGCTTTAGTAATGATACAGTATATTCATGAATAACTACCGTCATGTCCATGTAGATCTCAAGACGAGATGCAATATACCAATTATGATGCATAATGATTATTTCATGCATCACCATTTCCTATTGTATCATGAGTCATGACTTTGAGTCTCGAGATCCTGTGATTCTGTCTTAGCAGAAATTTTATTCAGACCTGTGAGATGCTTTTATATAAATACATTTCTCACACAGGAACTGTTCAATAACGCACTGCAGTAATTCTAGAATGTTTACGTTGCTGATCATTTTTATCGTTTCTATTTTTTGGCAACCAATAATCATAATAACTAGTTGCAATTACGTGAGTTTAAATAAGTACAATCTTCTACATGTTGATTACTAGTTACAAAAAAAAATATCTGGAACTGAGTTTTTAGTATTGTGAGGGTGGGTTTGAGTAAGATATTATACATTTGTTCTGATTGAACCACATACTTTAAATGGCAAAATCACAATCCCTTTGTTGTGTAGTTTGGTGTTTTCTGAGCTTTGAAATCTACAATTGGAGATTAATTGTTGTTGATCTGACTGTTCCAGCTGTCTGTTATTTGGTAGCAGCCTTATTTTTTATTTACTACAGCTGTTTTCAATAAATGGACCAAACTAGTGTGTAATGGGCTTCATTATACATTGTGGAATCGAGTTGTGTCACAGTTTTGCAATGTCAACTTGTCATGCTGGTCATCGTGTAGATTTATGCCTCATCCAAACTTCTGTGGCCCCACAGTGATTGTGGCTGGTAAGTCAGCAAAGACTTCACTCATTACAAAATGATGATAAATAGGGGTGCAACGGTTTGAAAAAATCACGGTTCGGTTCGTACCTCGGTTCAGAGGCCACGGTTCGGTTCATTTTTCGGTTCATTTTTCAAAAAAAAAGTTTTGTCTTTTTAATAAACACGGCTCATGTGGACTTGGCACCTGCTCTGACTGCCCCCCCCTGACCTAGAAATGAATTAAGGGGAAGGAAATGGATGGATGGATGGAAGGCATATTCCATCCATCCAATTATGTCTATTTAACATAATTAATGAAAAACGACACAAAGTGCAACATAAGAAGGCCCTTTATGAGGATATTTACCCTCATATATTAAACCACCTTCCTGATTCTCCCAAGGAGGGGGTCCATTCTGGGCCCAGCCTCATTCACTGCATTTATTAAATCTTTGGCATTATCAGTTGTGACTGGGATATTAGTACTGGGCCTTTGTCTTCCATTCCTCCGCTGCTTGTGTCAGTACCTGCGCTGGGTGACTGTGTGACTGTGTGACTGTCGTAGAGGGGGCGTGTCTTCAGCGCCAGACTTCTCATCTCCCAGTCTGCGGTGATGAAGTGAGCGGTTCCGCTCATGGATCTATTATAGGTTCCGCGGGACGTCCAAGCGTCAGTCGTGAGCGCAGCTGTGATGTGCGGGAGAGTTGACTTTAGCCCGGTCTGACTGTGCGTAAAGGAGCTGCTTAAATGCCGCGACAATAGGTGGTCGTTGAGACGCTTTTTTCACTCATGTCTTTCTTGTGCCACAGTGCTTACACATCGTGACAGTTTTGTCGAATATTAATTATCAGTGTAGTTACAGTGAAGCCAAAATGCTCTCATACTGGGGATTTAAATGACGCGGGGCTTTCAAGCATCTCCGTTCTTCCGCTCGCAATGACCGCGCTGTGTGTGGACTGAACAACGTGCGCACAACCTTTTTTTCATAAATCAAACCGCGGATCACGTCTGTACCGAACCGAAGACGTTGAACCGAACGGATCACGGATCAGTGATGAACCGTTGCACCTCTAATGATAAATGAATCTTGGGAATGTACTGGTGATTAGTCTGTTAGTTGTTTACAATTCCATTGTGATACCACTGGAGTAGATTCTAAAAGATTTTTGAAAAATCTTGTTCCATTAAAAATAGGGACACTTACGCAATTTCACATACACATGTCTGTGCCTGAGTCTACTAAATGGTTACAATTGGAAAAAAAACCTCTGGACTAGAGTTGAAACAATTAATGATGAGTAATATATACCCCCAAACCTAATAAGGGGTGAAGAGGCTCTACTGATCTCCAGTACTGATATGAAAACATGTTTACGCCAGGGGTCTCCAAAATTTTGAGGCATCGGCAAAAGCAGTTTTCCTTGTTCACTGTGAGCCCTTGGAGTTGGTGGTACAATCACTTTGGTGAAGGTTTACTCTCTCACAGTGCAAAACACAGCCATTGTCTGAGTAAGTGACTGTTGTCATTGATTGATTGGATGTCTATTCTACTGAGCTCATGTTTTCAGCTGTCCTGCCTGTCCTTTCCTCTTCTACTCTTATCACTTGCACACACACAACAAGAAGGACCCAGCCTGACCTGTGCCTCACTGGATCTATTTGTTCCTCTCTTCACCCTACAGACGTCCATTGGTGTATCTTTGGGTGCAAATGTACAGAGTCCTTTAGAATTACCAAGCAAAATCCAAACCATTATCCAATTCTGCGTGTGCTCTGGCCAGTGTATGGGACAATATGGGCAGCCCCTGGAAAGGCTTTGTTGAGTTTACCTTGCCTGCGTCGCCACCCACTGCGTTCGTTAGCGCTGACCTGAGCAGTACATCCCCTGTCGGACTGAGCCTTTCGCCGTATGGCCGATCCGTAAGTTCGCCTTCCCACCTTCTACGTCCCCAATCCGACATTGCCATCACACTCATTCACCAACCTGCCCTGCACCTCTGCTGTGAATGGCCTAACCTTTCATTCCCGTGGGGCTCCCGAAACTAGCCTCTGACCAGCAATTTTTCAGCTGAGGCTTATATGCTGACAAATGTCTGACACGTTGAATAAAAATTCATAAAACTCAGTGGGATGTCTTGTCTTGAAATAAAGAATAAATCTGCCAATTTCAACCGTCCTTTTTCTCAGCCATTAATGCACTGTTGGTGCAAAATGAGGCTTCTTTGGGACCCTTCTCATAACTCATATCCATCAGACTCCACTGTACATGTCTTGTTGTTTTCATTTTCATCTGAGTTTCCACTATTTAAAAAATAAAAATAAAAAATTATCTCGCTTCTATCTCACGTCGCTCGTGTTTTGAATAGTCAAGTTACATGATTGTTAGAAGGTGGTTACTTCCGCTATCTGGAGAAATTTTGAGATGCATGGATATCTGTCATGGTCCTGAGGGTACCTTCTACACGATGACAAAACAGAACTTTGGGAGGTTGTTAGGCCTATTTGTGATGGTTATGTGTTCACTTGTCCTAATATATGCAAATGTTTGAGACATTCTAAAAGTTGTTCTGTGTCATAATTGAAAACATGATTTGGCCCACTGCCAGAAACGAACCACTTTGACCTTTCAGCCAGCTCTGTTTCAAAGCTGTGCCCTCCTCCCCACAGCACGCTCAAGTCATGTCCTCTGTGCCCAAAATGGAGCGGGGCTCGTCTGAACCCCGACCTGCTCATACCTCCACTGCTCCTGTTCCCATCCCTCGCTCCTCTTCTGTATCATGTCATCCGCATCCTGGAAGTAAAAAACACAAGCGGACCCCCCTGTATCAGAGATCCGTAAGGGGCTGTGCATTATAGCCACACACGCTGTGGCTAGTTGCATGGTTTGGCCTTAAAATGACTAAAAGGACATGTGGGTGAGCCTAAAAAGGTTTTGGTTTATCAAAGTCGTGCTATTGGACTAGCAATTAATATAAGACTTGTTCACTGCCCTGCATGCATATGAAGTATTTTTAAATAACTTAAATGTTGTATAAAACACTAACACTAGAAACATAAAAGTTCCATGTTTGCTATGCTTCTCGGTATCTTTCACCAGAGCTAAAAAGCAGTCTAATTTAGTCCGTGCTGTACTCTTTACTCCCCATCCACTTTGATATGCCATATATTTGCATGTGCTATGTTCTGTTGTGTCCTTGGCAGTAAGTCTTTTTAATTTTGTTGCTCTAATACCTTTTATCTCTCTCCTCCAGATGAGTTTTGATCCAAACATGCTCCATAGTAATGGCCATACTGCCTTTGCCAATGGAAGTGGGCCGGGCATTCGAGAGACTGGGATGGTGGAGAAGCTCCTCACCTCCTATGGCTTCATTCAGTGTTCAGAGCGTCAGGCCAGACTCTTCTTCCACTGCTCTCAGTATAATGGCAACCTACAGGAGCTCAAAGTTGGAGGTGACCAGTAGCACTGCTTTCTGTCCTTACCTCTACAGCTTTCAAAACCAGTTTAACATACGTTTTTTGTAGAGTGTCACTTATAATGCCCTGTTTGTGTGCATAGATGATGTGGAGTTTGAGGTGTCCTCTGACAGGCGCACTGGCAAACCCATAGCAGTGAAGCTGCTTAAGATAAAGCCAGAGGTGCTGCCAGAGGAGCGGATCTCTGGCCAGGTGGGGCCAGACCTGCACGCCTATGCCTTAACTATGCTGCATGGTTATATTCATCCAGTTAAGGAATACCATTTTATTTTTGGTTGTGTCTGTGTCTGTCAATGTAATCTACATGTTTGCCATTGTTCCATAAAGTTTGCTACTCCCATACTTATGCTTTAAAGCTGGGGTACCTGATTTTAAAAGGTTGAAAGAGGAACTGGGTATTTAAATTATCCTTTTCCTCAGTCTTCCTAACTTTGATACATGACCAGAATGTGCATTAATTGGCCTGTAGCATAAAACCTTTAATCTCGTCGGCTCTCATCTTGAAGTGGCATCAATTTCTCTCACGCCTCAGTCTTACAAGTTTACACAAAATTACAGATTTTTTTTTCTTCTAATTATATAATGCACTTTGGTTGGGTACTTCAGCTTTAAATAGAGTTGAATAATGATTAACTCTAGTTACTACAGCCTCTAATTAATTTACCCCATGTGTGTGTTAGTTAGCCTGTTTAATAAATTATAATGTTAAAGCCTTACCCCCTTAGCTGCGTAGAATGCCAAGCCTTTAATGTTGAGTCCTTTCACCCCCATGAAATGTAAACAATTTGTCGTGATTTTATGTTTTGCATTATTTGTTGGTGCTGGATAATAAGAGTCTAATTATTACGTTGTTGCTCTCAGGTTGTCTCTGCCATTCCTGCTTACCTGGATGGGAAATCTGCTCCAGGCCAGGTCCCCACCGGAAGTGTTTGCTATGAACGAAATGGAGTACGTACTGGTTCACAACAAAGATACCATTGGTCAATGGAGACCAATTCTGATTGGTCAATATAACTATAGAAACAATTATATTACAGGGTTCTCACCAGGCTTGTTTTGCAACTGCCTTTTTGCAATGTTGATTATTAAAAACATGGCCACTTGATTGTAGCATAATCCAGAAGTTTCTGATTGCCTGCACACTCTCAAATTATTGTTTTGGACTTCAATTGTTGCTTTCTGGGCCAGAGATGCTGAGCATAGAGGCAAATTTGTAATTGTAAATACATTTTATGATTGCACCCCTAAAAACAGGAAAAACAATGTCTGCCTAATAATTTAACAGAAATGCCCAATGTACCACAGTTTGAGAAATTATGCTAAATACCTTAATACTTTTCACAGGAAGTATTTTATCTGACCTACACCCCTGATGATATAGAGGGAAATATTCACCTGGATTCAGGAGACAAAGTCAGCTTTTACATGGAGACCAACAAGCTGTAAGTCCAGCTCTGTTTTTAGTTGCATTTTCTATTTTAGGTGTTTTAAATGTTGTTCTGTATTGCAGTACTGGAGCAGTGAGCGCTCGCAACATTCAACTTGTAAAAAAGAAACAAATGAGGTGCCAAGGTGTGGTGTGTGCAACAAAGGTAAGAATTTAACCAAGAAGTTAAAGTATTTTAGGTTTTCTCAGCAGCACTTCTCAACTTGACCTCTGGCACTCAGCCAACAATCATTTATGAACTGATGTCGACTTTCTCAGAGTTTGTAATGAATGATGGAAAGAAACACACCAAATTAATAAACAAGGAAACGTGTGTATGGTTGAGGTGTACAGTCGGAATGCAAGTGTAGCGAAGTACTTAAGCTGGGTGAAGCTACCCGAGATGAGACTTTGACAATTAATTCTGGTAACTAATCAACAATGGGTTAGAAACTATGAGCTCATTTCTGCATTGTGAAAGTACATTATTGTTTGTGACTGTTAGGTACCTAAGCTTTAAGTGTATTTAACTGTCAACCATCAAATATGAAACTAAAATCCATCTCAATAGTTTCTTGGTTTCTTCTATTAGTTTTTTTGTGTCTCACATTATTGGATCAAATATTTTTGTGCTGAAAAGTGCAGGAGACCACCCTCAGCCAATTTACTCATGGCCCAAAGTGGCAAATAGTGACTTGCAGGCCCAAAGATGTGAAAGATTTTCTATGATATAAAGGCTGCATTAGAGCTGCTCAGTATTGGAAAAAAAATTGCGATAGTCGTGTCAAATACTGCAGAGTATATTGCAATATGTATCCCCCAAACTAAATTATATTTGCATTAAACAAATTGAATGACTGAGCGTTCTTTGCATTTGAAGATAAAATGCATTATTTTTGTCCTTTCAGGAAGCTTTTGGATTTATTGAAAGAGCTGATGTGGTGAAGGAGATTTTCTTTCACTACAGCGAGTTTAAAGGCGATTTGGAGGCTCTGCAAGCTGGAGATGATGTGGAATTTACCATCAAAGACCGAAATGTTTGTGTTTTCTTAATAATTATTTGGACATTCATGGCTGTTGACTTAAATTAGGAATTCATTTCCAGGGAAAGGAGGTGGCTACAGATGTGAGGCTGCTTCCTCAGGGCACCGTCATCTTTGAAGATATCAGCATCGAACAGTTTGAAGGCACTGTCACCAAAGTAATCCCCAAGGTTCCAACCAAAAACCAGGCAAGTATCCATCAGCTCAATACAATAGAAGCAAATACATGTGCTGTAATGTGTGATCATGCAAGGTGGTTCTAGTAATACATCTAGTATCATTTTCAGTAGGAGTAAAAAGTATGTAGCAGCATGTGTACAAGCTTCTTATTTGTCTGAACAAGTTAATACTTGTACTCAACACTACTGTGAAGTGTTCAAATGCAAACTCTCCTTACAGAATGACCCTCTCCCAGGCCGTATTACGGCACGTATTGGATACACGGACAAGGAGCTACCCTTTGGAGAGAAAGACACAAAGTCCAAAGTGACTCTTCTGGAAGGAGACCACATCCAGTTCAACATTTCTACTGACCGCAGAGACAAGCTGGAGAGAGCCACTAATATCGACATTCTGCCGGATACCTTCAACTTCACTAAGGAGTCTAGAGAAATGGTGAGTGCAACAAAAGACATTGTTCACAGTTGAACCGTAGGGCCCTTAACAACCTCTTGGTTTATCGTTGTAGGGAGTGATTGCAGCCATTCGAGATGGTTTTGGTTTTATTAAATGTGTGGATCGAGATGCCAGGATGTTCTTCCACTTTAGTGAGGTTTTAGAGGAAGCCCCATTGCACATCTCAGATGAAGTCGAGTTCACTGTTGTGCCTGTAAGTAGGACTACTGTATTTTTAATTTTAGTGACAAGTCTGTTTTATAACATCCAAATTGCTATATGCTCTTACTACTGCTCAGATTATTTTGGTAGACAAATATTAGGCTATGATTTACCTCTTTAGGTTATGAGTAGCAATTTGAAAGCAAGAGTTGTTTTGTATTTTTTCAGAAGAAAATATTTTCCATCAAATTACCTTAGTTCATTAATAGATAAATGGCTCTGTAATCAAGGTGTAATTTATTGAGTTAAGGTTTGTGTGTGTTTCTTATTGCTGTCGTGAAGCAAAAGTTTGAAGTCTTGTAAGGTCTGGTCACATTCAGCTCCAGAAAATGAATCTTGAGCAGATCAGAATAAACTGCTGATTCCTTGTTCAAATTGCTTAAGTTCTTAAAGTATTCAAACAGCAATTGAATAGATATTGTCCCCCCCTCTTTTGAATTAGAATAATCTTGTTGTTTGTGTAAATCTAGTTTCTTCTCTTCATCTATGGCCTTGTTGAGAGAAAATTGCAGGCACAATCCTCAAACGGTGTTCTAATCTGTGCGGTTGATTTGGTATTTCATTGTTGTGTCCTCAGGATATGCTGTCCGCCCAGAGGAACCATGCAGTGCGTATAAAGAAGCTACCTAAAGGCACAGTGTCCTTCCACACTCAGTCGGAGCAGCGTTTCATGGGAGTCATTGACAAAGAAGTGCCGTCTGCTGCTAAGAACGTCAGCCCTTCGAAGGCCAAAGATCCAAAAGTATGTACATAACTGGCAACTGTGCTCTTGTCCTCTCTCCTCCTTTTCCCACTTTCTACTGCAACCTTTTGTTCTAATTTTCCTTTTTTTTTTCCTTTTTCATTCCTTATCCTGTCTTTCTTTAGAAAAAAGACAAGGTAGGATTTGTTGTGTGCATGATCTCAAAGCACAGATAAGCCACATTTATAGCGTGCTAACTTTTAGCTTCAAGGGTTGAACAGTTTTCATGTCCTGTTTTTCTTCAAAAGGTTAGTGGGGAGAACAAATGCATGAATTGTATTTGTTCTCCAGATTTTAATGGCTCCTGGCCACCCGACTGATGATTTATGATTTTAAACTTTTGTTGAAGCTAAATTTTAAAGTACATGCATTTTACACACATTTTAGACCAACACTGTTCAAGGTGATTTTTATCTAACAACTTGAAACTTCCAAGACTGGTTAGAGCAGGTATGACCAAACCTTGGATGTTTAGAAATGTGGCCCTCTGTCTTGCTAACTCAAAAGTAGCCATTGAGATCATACATTGATGAACTTTTATTGTCTGTGTGATTCAGTAAACTTAAACTCTGCCCATTTAGGCATGATACTTTGTTGTTAAGCAACATTGTCATATTCCAGTATAGACCAATAATGTAGCCATTAAGAAAGTGAACATTTGTCATTCAAACACCTCTAGCTCTGTCAAATGTGAATCTATATGGACCCTAAACCATGTGGGGTATGACCCAAAATGTTGGAAACATTCTGTGTATATTCTGAATACAGTTGAATCACATGTTATCAAAACCAATCTCTGGACTTTTATGGTGGTTGTTCTGAGTACATACCAACTATACTGGTCTTAGTTCAGTAAAGGTGTTTTCACAAATGCCAAAACCAGGAGCTGTTCCCTTTGGTGTTGTGTTCAATGATTTCTTATAATTAGACTAAATCTTTTCAAGGCACCTTTGTAATTATGCAGCCCTGCTACATAACACTAGGTGGTGTTGCAGTACTTTGCTTAATCACAAGAGACTCAACTGCACAAGTGGCTCACTAATATGCTTGTATCATGAATAACTTCACATGGCTTTTTTCTCCTTCCTGCATCCATTTGAATTCAAACTGTTGGTTGTCTTCATTAGAGAACTGAGGTTGTGATGTACTCTATATTTTGTAAATGATCAGGAACCTGAGGAAGGAGTGATTGCATATGAAGACTGTGGAGTGAAGCTGACCATCCCGTACTTTGCCAAGGACCTGGAGGGAACATCCACCCCACAGGCTGGAGATAAGGTAAGGAATGATTGAAAATGTTTGTCTTCATTTTATTTATTTCTATAAACATGGAAAGTATATTTATTAATATTGTAATTCCCTGAGTGTGCTCATCTCTTGATCTCTGGTTCAGGTGGAATTTTCTATCAATGAAGTGAAGAGGACTGGTCTGCAGAGTGCAGTGTCTGTCAGAGTTTTAAACAGGAACAGCTCCAACGCCAAAAGACTCCATGGTTTTGTGGCCACTCTGAAGGACAACTTTGGCTTTATTGAAACTGCAAATCATGATCAGGAGATCTTCTTTCATTATAGGTACACCAGTCTATCCCTGTGTTAGTTGGGTGCAATGGCAGGACATTCAATAATTGTCATATCTTCATGTTTCTAGTGAGATGTGTGGAGATGTTGATAACCTCGACTTGGGCGACACAGTTGAATACACAATGTCTAAAGGAAAAGGAAACAAAGTCAGTGCTGAGAAGGTTACAAAGGTGGCCCCAGGTAAAGTTCCCTTTATAGTGCATGTAAAGCTCTATTGGGAAATGATTGTACTAGAAGCGGCACAATTGGGGATTCTCCATTATTCTCTAATCACATTCACTACAAATGAATGCATGACTCTGTAAATAACTTAGGACTTAGAACCGGGTATTTTTTGTTTCCCGATATATCACTGTGCATGGGTCAGGTTTCAATACATGCAAAGATACAGAAAAATAATCTTTTACTTGATGCTCAACCCAATTGCATGCATTGCAAGTAGAATGTGTGTTACAATGTCTTTATTACAAAATGCCATAACTTTCTTTTGTATATATTTTTGTTTTAGTGAACAGTATTGGTGATGATGTAAGTACAACTATCATGGTGGGGAAGGTTGTTCGCCCTTTGCGCAGTGTGGACCCCTCCCAGAATGAATATCAGGGACTTATTGAAATAACAGAAGAAGGTGCATATTTATAATGCATAACAATTAAACATCAAAGTATTTTTGACTTGACCAGTAAACACTTGTTCATTTCAGGTGCAAATAAAGGCCAGAATTATCCATTTGGAATCATGGGCATGTCCTCTAAGTCAGACTGCTTGCAGAAAGGAGAGTCTGTGAAGTTCCAAGTTTGCACTATCCCACAGACTGGGCAGAAAATGGGCTGTAACATTGTCCCTCAGAGAAGAGCCACTGTGGAGTCTGTCAAAGACCTGGTGGGAATCTCATCACATTTCTTTATTGGATTATTATGATAGTAGTTTGATTAAACCTTGTGATTCTCTGTTCCACAGTTTGGATTCATCACGTATGAAGTGGGCGACAGCAAAAAACTGTTTTTTCACGTAAAAGAGGTGCAGGACGGACTGGAGCTCCAGACAGGGGATGAGGTGGAGTTCTCAGTGGTCCTCAATCAACGCACAGGAAAATGTAGTGCCTGCAATGTCCGCCGAGTTAGGTGAGTCTAGAAGAGATTGCTTTTACACTGGGGAAAATTTCAATATTAAATAACATGAAGGATACAAATGTGTTACTTGCTTGAGGGCTTTAACTTGAGAACATGTTTTAATGGCAAATCTAGTTTTGAGATCTAGTCTGTCTTGTTTATTTTATGTAATCTTCCATTTCAATGTAAAAAAAGACCATTGCTGTATCTTGTTGGAAGGCAGTCTAGATGTGCCACTTGAAGCATGCATTTATTCATACATTGGACAAAAAATACATACTATAAATGATGACATTCTATTGATCTATGCAGTAATCTTGAGCATATTGATGATTTATGATGTGACTTCATGAAAGCGTGTTTCTGTTTCAGTGAAGGGCCTAAACAGGTAGTGGCCCCTCGTCCTGACCGCCTGGTGAACAGGCTCAAAAGCATCACTCTGGACGACGCCAGTGCCCCCCGTCTTGTCATCGTCAGACAACCTCGTGGTCCAGACAGTTCAAAGGTAAGCTCCATAGTTTTGAAACTGTTTTAGTGGAGGCTCCTTGTTGACACTGAAGACTGAGGAAAGGAGCGGACAGAGAGATTATTTAATTCACCCATAACATTTGACATTTCCAGGAACCTTTTTGAGCTAGTAAACATATCTGGAGCGAGGCGAATCTAATCCCACTCTCTGGCCTCCAAGGTCAATGAGAGCAAGTTGGAGTGCGGGTGAAGTGTGGCTGTGCGGCCCCTGCAGCTGTGTGCTCTGGTCTCCTTGTGACTTAAATAGCTTTCTCTAATGAACCTTTTGGGCAAAACAAAGTCTGCATTTTACAAACTACAGTTCACAAATTACATAAGTGGCTCTATTGTACGTGCATGCGAAAGCCAGATCCTGTCAGACTTCTTAAGCTGTGCAGGGTAGGGACTGGTTAGTAATGTGATGGGAGACCTTTGGAAACACCAGGTGCCACAGTGCGGTGGCTGTAAATTGCCAAACTTCCATTTATTTGAATTTGCTGCCATCTTCACCAGGGGTTTGTTTCACCCCAAATCCTTATGGCTTAGCTCTGTCCTGTCCTAATGTCTTGTGTATCTTGCTTTTTCTGGTTCTTGAGTGGGGTTTTCTTTTTTATCGTTTCAGGGCTTCAGTGTGGAGAGGAAGACCCGTCAGCCTGGTGTGATTGACTGAGCAATACAAACCTGCCCTGCCCTGTGAGATGATGCTAGAGTGCCACAGGGGCCAAGGGAAATCTATCATTTGGATCCATGCACACACATAAAACATAATTGGCATGTATAACTGATTATCCGAAAGGGAACCTCTCTCATTTTCATGTTTGACGTAGCTGACCGGAGTTCTGCGGTATGTGAGACCTCTGCGTGCGTGTGTGGTGTGTCCAAATGACTCTTGTGTGTAATGGAAATCCAAATGGTGATTGTGTGGCTGTTCATGTTGTCTACAAATCTGCTTGTCTGGAATTCTGCACCTGTTTTTTTTTCCAGTAGTCTGCTTGAATGAGACTGTTAGCATGTCTCTGCTTCGTTTTACCCCCATGTTAGTTTGGCGCCTTACCCACGGGAACTTGGGTTTCTGCTACTGTATGCTTTCCTACAAGACGCATAATACATTTTCCTTCCATAAGGAGGACTCATGTGCGAGCTTAAACTCAAGACTCTTCTCTGCTCGTTTTTTTGAGCAGTTTTTAAAAATGCTTTACTTGAGAGTTGAAGTGGAAGCATGGTGTGAATGATGTATGTGGATGTCTAAGTAGTTACTCGTACCAATCAGGAGCCTTGGATACCACTTTGGTATTAACTTGCTCCACTTGAAGCAATTTCCCCAGGTGCAGAATTCCTTGTGGCATCTTATATCTACAGTTATTTTATTTTATACTTTGTTTTTTTTCTTGCACATATTTTTGCTTTTTTCATTAAAAGTCAATTTTCTAATTATGATTTAAATGAGTTTAAGGTGCCTAAAACAAAACGATATACAAAACAATTTAGATTTACCTTATGTTTTCAGCCAACCACAAAATATTGAACAATCGTCAGTTGGCTTGTTTTTTGTTTTTGTTTGTTTCCAAAGTAGAAATCAAACTGATATGCATCCTGAACCTGTGGGTTGAACTATACTGTATGTAATGTGTGCTTTTCTTAGTGAAACTTTATGATAACAAACCACAAAGTTTCAATGGAACAAAGGGGAGAGATGAACAATATCATCAAAAGCTAAAATGGATTTTTTCAGGTTGTGGAAGGTAAGGCTGGAGAGCTATAGCCTATGTGCCTCTGCACGTTCATTTACAGATTTGATTTTAGACACCGGGTTTTTGTTGAACCGTGCACTGGTTCACTTGTACTTTTGTTAATGGTCTTGAGCGAAATAATTAAAATTTTATGAAAATCGGTTTGACTTTTTTTTTTCTTAAATACTTTCTTATTCTTGCCAAATCAGTTTTATATTGGAATGTAATTTTTCACTTCACCTTTGGAGTTCTCTCTCAATTGGTGTATTAGATTTATTGTGTGCTTACTTTTATTCCACCTTTTTAAGAAAATATGATCTTTAACAGTTGATCAAGGGCAACAGTTGAAAATTATCTTTACAGGTGAAATTACCATGCTAATAATGCACTATTTTAGCATGGTAAGGAGATAATGGTTAAAACTATTACATGAAGTCTTTTGAAATGGAAGATTTCACTTCGACACTCTTTGTTTGCTCAATAGCGCCATCTGGTGGGTTAACCCCAATCATTGCATTACCTTTTGTTTTAATGTGTTACGAAATATTTACGACTGGGAATAATCTGGGGGGCACAGCTTTCACAGAATGAAATGGTTAAAAACAAAAACACACACACAAATTTAATTATAATTTATTTATTATTATTAAACAACATGGTTTCCTTCTGTAGAAATGTTGTATAACATAGTATTATGCTTAACTCTTAGTGAAAAATACCCCCAACAGAGATTAAAAATACTGATTTTTTTGTTTGTTTTGTTCCCCTAACTTGACCAGCCCTGGTTCATTTAGACACTTTGATTCTGATTTAGGGTATTTTTCGACTTTGAATCTCTGATTGGTCATTTTGACACGAGGATGGCAGGCGCAGGAGTAATAACCCTTTGTCTTAAGTACGTATGCTGCACCGCCGGTAAATGTTGGCTACAGCTGCCCTGAGACAACCACTTACATCACATTAGGCTCAGGGTACAGCCTAGAATTGGGCTACAGAGTGTGCCCAATTTTGGCCAGTAGATGAAATGTTAGATCAGTTACACTTATTATCCAGCTGCCTTCTCTTTAATACTGGGTTACAGCCCAGTGGTGGACATTTGAAAACATTTTGTAAGTGTTAATTTCATAATAAAAATGAATATGATTACTTTAAAAACATGTTAATACATTTGTTAAATGAGAATATATTAAATGTCGGATGCACTTAAAGCAGGACTGTCAGCTGAATGAAGTGGGGCGCTCCAGTGGAACGTCCAAAAATGAGCTGGGTCCACATTTATTATAGATCAAGAGCCTATAGTCGACTTGGAGGAGAACTGAGCTACCAGATCCTTATTCACTCTCGACACACTAAAAGCATTTTTTTACTCTAACAAAAGGTTTTGTTAGAGTAGATTATGTTGTGAAAAGATCATGAAAATACTCATAAAGGTGCACTTTATTGATCCCAGTAGGGCAATTCAATCATCTGCATTTGACCCATCCAGATGCTTACGTCAGGAGCAGTGGTCGCCGTGGTAACAGCACCCGGGAACCCATCTCCAGATGTCGATGCTCGGCTTGGTCAGGACTACCGGAGCTGGAGGATTTTACCAAGTGTACATGTTTTTAGTGGTAGGGGAGACAAGAGTACCAGGAGGAATCCTACGCAAGCACAAGAAGAACATGCAAACTCCACTCAGAAAGACCCAGTTCCGAACGGGACCTTCTTGCTGAGAGGCGAGAGTGCTATCCACTCAGCCACCGTACTGATTGTACATGAGCAGAACGCCTGAGGTCCGCACTTATTGCGGGGGTCATAGTTTTTTCTTTCAAGAACAACACATTATGGGCTGTTGTATAGTCTGGGTTACACCTTGGTACTGCGCAGATAGATGGTCAGCTCGGATCGGTGAATGACTTTATTTTGAGTCTTCTGAGCTTGTGACCAGCGTGCCCACCACTCCCTCAGCTCCTTGGGTCCTGTGAGCCTCCTCTCCTTGATCTGAGACGGGGCCACCAGAGCGTGAGGGGGCCCGCCTTCTCCTTCCCTCTGGGCCCTTGAAGCAGCTTGACCACACACCCCTCCAGCTTGATTCAGTGCCTTTTCTGATTCTTGCTCATCTCGATTTGGATTGTCTTGACCAAAATCTAATCCTTGAATTTTTGCCTTGCACTCAGCCACATCGGCTTTGATCTCCAAGAACTCTCTTTGCAATTCCTTCTCATGGTCTGCTTCTGCCTTGAGTTCATTTTCCCAAAACAATATCTGCTCCATTTCTTCAGCTGCCCTCTGCATGGCTTCCTCTTCAGCTTTTCTCAGTCTTTGCCGTTCCTCAAGAAAACAAATCTGCCTCTCCGTATTTTCCGTCTGCGTTATGAGATCTTCCAAACTGATATTCTGATTTAATATGTTTTCAATTAGTCTTATTTTCTCATCTTCCATCACCATGCTTGTCAAGTCTTGGATTTTAGTTTCTGAATATCTACCACTCACACAGCAAGATGTTTGACTGTCCAAATCTGTCTTCACCTTTCTTGAATCATTCTTTGCTTTGACTTTGCTGTTGAGACCTGTGCCATCTTTACAAAAGGACAAAGAAACCTCTAGAGACGACCTGTTCTTGTTGCTTTTGGCGCTGATCTCTTTAACGCTTGCTGTCTTGTAAACCTTTCCTTTTCCCAGGTTCTCAAGCCATTCCCACGCCTCCTCCATGATGGTCAGTGACTTTCTCTTGGGTCTTCTAACATTCTCCATTTCCTCTTCAATCTGTGGGGGTAAACCTTGCCTGCGCAGACTTGAACTGCTTCCCCGCCGGAGTCTAGTGCCAGGGTCTTTTCTTCTGAGTGGTGGCAACTGTTGGTATCTGCCCATCGTGCATGATGTGTCAAAGCCTGCAGGTCCGTTGCAAATGAGAGTCAGTTGGACATCACAAGCCAGCTCTCCATACCTCTCCAGTGTCTCCATCACACACTCAGCCGGAGCCATGCAACGTTCAAAATCTTTAAACTTCTCTCGTAATGAGTAGCGTCCTGGCTGTCCTGCAAAATAAAAGTGTGTAAGGAGGGCATGGACTGTTGCGCTGTCTATGTTTCATGAGACCAAAGTAATCATAAAAACTCTTGGCAGTGGGAGCTGTGGATACAATTACTTACAGTTGACATAACACTGCAAGTGACACCTGTAATTGGGCTTATCGGTACAAACTGTCTTCATTGGAGATGCAGTATATATAGTTGTGCTTGAAAGTCCCCATCCCCAGGCAGAAGTTTTAACAACCAAAACTGTGTATGCCTCTTGGAAAGACAAATCTGTACGTGTGTTTGTGTGTGTGTGCTGCATATGGGGGCTGCATAGTTTTGTTATAACTTGTATGGTAAATTAATTAATTAATTCAGCGGCACGGTGGCTGAGTGGATAGCACTCTCGCCTCTCAGCAAGAAGGTCCTGGGTTCAAATCCTGGTTGGACCAGGGCCTTTCTGAGTGGAGTTTGCATGTTCTCCCCGTGTCTGCGTAGGTTTCCTCCGGGTGCTCCGGTTTCCCCTACCACTAAAAATATGTACAATAGGTCTGGCATGTGCCTCCTGTACTGGCGACCCCATTCCCAAAAAATAACAATTGTAAACCGCTTTGAGACTCCGATGTGCAGTGAAAAGGCGGTATATAAATAAAGATTACTTACTACTACTTACTACTACTTAAATTGTAATTTCTGCATTATAATGTGTGGTGATGTGTGCATCTACTTTTACTTTTTTACAACAACCTGCTCAGGGACTATAGTTGTAAATCATCACTTCTGCTTCAACCTGTTACATACAATACATCCCTCATTTTGGCTTATGTACAGTACAGACCAAAAGTTTCGACACACCCATCCATCTCAAGAGTTTTTTATCTTCATGACTATCAAAATTGTAGATTCACACTGAAGGCCTCAAAACTATGAATTAACTCATGTGGAATTATGTACGTACCTAAAAAGTATGAAACAACTGAAAATAGGTCTTATATTCTGGGTTCCTCAAAGTAGCACCTTTTGCTCTGATTACTGCTTCACACACTTCAAGAGGTAGTGACATGAAATGGTCTTCCAACAGTCTTGAAGGACTTCCCAGAGGTGCTTTGCACTTGTTGGCCCTTTCACCCAAAATCATCTGGACTGGGTTCAGGTCCGGTGACTGTGGAGGCCAGGTCATCTGGCCCAGCACCATCACTCTCCTTATTGGTCAAACAGCCCTTACACAGCCTGGTGTGGATCTACAGTCAAGAGTCTTGAAAAGAAAGGAAGCTCATTTAATGAGAAAGTGTGTCCAAACTTTTGGTCTGTACTGTATATTGTACACTGTCCCCGTAAAAATAAAAACTATACCATTAAAACAAAACAAAGATGGCCGTATTTGAATATTTTGAATAATAACACAAATAAACACATATTGTTTCTGGTTGTGTGAAGCCATTTATTGTACAAAAAAAAAAAAAAAATATATATATATATATATATATATATATATATATATATATATATATATTTATTTTTTTCAAAGTAAACAATCATTGAGCTAATCTGTGGAAAGGTCAAATGGGCAGTCATATTTGTCCTATCTTATCCAATGTACACAAGATAGATAGATACTTTATTAATCCCCGTAGGAGATTTCAGGTGTCCAGTAGCAGCAAAAATACAAAATTAAATTGATCATTCTAAATCATGCTGCCTTCCTATAGATGGACTTTTTAAGCAATCAAAAGGTACCAGTCTTTCCAAAGTTATATAGTATTTACTCACCAAGAGCTTGAGCCAAAGCAATGACCACTTCTTGGCATGTCGTTTTGTTTGTAAGACCACAGACCACTCGAGGAAATCCGTTCACGATCACTCTCACCTCCATTGCGACAAATATACAATCCAACAGTCCTTCTTCAGCCCAGATTTATGTCCCGTCTACAAGCACTCCTGACACTGAAACGATGTGAGGAGATTTGAAGGGATGTCCGAGTTCATGAAGACCAATTAGGGCAATTAAAATTCCTTAAAGCTCCTCTGATTTGATCCCACCCATGGTTTGAAAAGAAAAAGACTTGTTTTTGGTGAGTGTGCAGAATATACAATGCCTATCAAAGACAATTTCACACGTTTATAACAGCATTTTTAGAAGCTTATATACGAACAAAATGTATCACTGTGTCATAAAACATCACATAAGCGTTGCACATGGAAGCCACTCAGTATTATTACAATAAAAGCAAAATATATAGCTTTTTTTTGAATCATTGTGTTTGTGTGTTTGTTATGGAGCTGGGATTTACTCTGCTGTTTGGCACGTCTGCACAGCTAAACACGGCAATATTTACAGTAGAGTTTCTTATCGTTCACACAGGAAGAGATTACGTCCAAACGGAGCACGTAGACATGGTCTTTATGTAAACTCTTTCTAGTGTCCCTCCTCACAGACAGAGACCCACAGAAGGCCACAACGCCACATGTAGGTGATGTCTTTATGTTTGGTGTGTAGAATGAGGCCTAAATATACCATCAAAACACGGTCATCTGAACCTTCTGCATGCTCTCTTCACAATTATGGAAAGTGGGTTAGTTTTGGTCCGAGCCTAAGCACGCTGTTCTTGTGTGTTCAATAGAAAAACGTAGATAAAATACTAACTCGATACTAGCCAGAATTTTACCTTTTTCATGCCTAATATATTTCATGGAAAAAAAACCTAAAAGATAATGATGTAATGTCACCTGCATATGAAAGTCTGATCTGATGAGGGTCGATTGATTATCCAGAACATTTAACCCTCTAGGCGCCACAGTTGACTTAAGTTGACAATATGCGGTCCTGTTCAAATTTCATTCAAACTCCTGCCACATACAGATTCACACTGTTTTACTATTTCCCTGACTCTTGTGTGTGGTACATTGTGAGTTCTGTTTGCGTGTTCATGTCCTATAGAGATCTGTGTCTGTCATAGTAAATATATATATACAGTATATATATATATTTCATGAAAATCCTTGATTACCGCCACCATATGAAGTCATAATATGGAATTTAGATAAGATAGACTTTATTGATGACTACATTTAATTCCTACATAAACTTTGACCCATTCTAATCATTTCTCTCATTTACATAAAGCCTCTATCTCTTTTAACTTTTTAGTTGTCAAGAAATCAAGATGTCAAAATTAAGCCATTCACAAAAAAAACCTCTAGCGCTTAAAGGGTTAAAGACATTTATGAACATTTAAAGACATTTATAAACTTCTGGCTTCTATGTGTTTGTTATCATTGCATTTCCTGTGTTCAAACGGTTTCATGGACACCACCATTCCATTGGACACTGTCTCCTGTGTGTGTGTGTGTGTGTAAGTATGTTTGAGTGTTCAGAAAAATGCTATTTAAATCATTATTATTCATTTTAAAAGAAGACAGAATCCTAGACCTTTTCTTGTCTTATGGATGACACCCTGGCTGTCCTAAGCGCTGGTATTTTTATGCGGTCTCCTCACTCAACTGCAATGGGCCAATTTTCAACTTGATCCATTTAACTAGTCTCTCTCTTCCAGAGTAATGTTGACATTTAGGATCACATTCTGTCAGAACAGGCAGCTAGCAACGTGAGCATGCTGCAACTCTGTTACAAACTCACAGATTGTCACTTCAGAATATTTCTCTGGTAGGGATTATCATAATGGTGCCAATGGGTACAATGTGTTTAGTGGGCACGATGGTCTATTTATGGAACAACGCAGAGGTGCAGATTGTTGGCGTTCCATCAAAATCTAGGTTATGTGAGAGCACGACGTGAATGACATGAGAAATGTGGAACGAGAGTTTCAACTAAGACTTCAACATCTGAACTAATGAGTATCGTGATCCCAGCATTTTCAAAACAACTGCACACGAGATGATGAATGATGTTTGCTGTAGTTTCAACATAATAATATTAAGAGATCCTTTATTCGTCCCACATTGGGGACATTTCAGTGTTGCATCACTAAATGAAATAAGAATAGAAATCTCTAACACTAGCATAAAATGAAAAAGTATAAAATCTCTATCTTTGAGCACAAATTAATGCAAAAACTCGGATTTTAGCATAAGAAATCATAACTATATTTTAGCATAATAAGAAGCAACTACTAGTACTGTGTATTCAAACTTATCTTACTTAGTTACTAATGCAAGAAATATTACCACAGTCAGCACCATCTTACATAAAACACAGCGAGCCAAAGAAAAAAAAGAAAAGCATTGTGATATCTCTTCACCAGAGCCAGTACAAACACAAGGGAAAGTAGAAAGCGTAGCTGAGGAATAAATGTTGTTAATCCATCACTGTCCTCTAAACTGTTATGATTGTTTTGTGAGAGATTTGCTGAACTTGACTTCTGTTCCTCTGTGTTCCTATCAGCACGTCCAGCCATCATAAGGTTACATAAGCTAAGCGCCACACACACTTGTAGACCTGCTGCACCAGGCAGGGGTACACAAGCAGACTTAAAATAGAGGCCAGCTCACATATGATTCCCCGGTTACATCTAGGCATGTCCTGGGTACAGCCGGCCTCTGGTTACACGTGAGCCATGCGCAGAGCCTAATATTGCACAGCCCCAGGATAGGGCTCCTCACTTCCTTACTACAGGGGTCCAGCCGCTCATCCTTCTGCAGTCCTCAGGGAGCGCTCACCAGAAAAACCGCCAGCATGCCTAAAGTCGCAATGCCAGGTGAGTATGAGAACAAGATAGCAACAAAAGGAGGAAATGTTGAATTATTATACAATCCAGCAATCCAAATTTTAGTCAATTTGGACTCAGTTAGTAATTGGATCACAGTATTTTCCAATTATTCAAACTGAAGTCTATGCTTGGAATCTATGCATCACGTTTGTTATCATAATAAATAACTACAGCTGGGGGCTTTGACAATTGTCTTGACAGCTTTCACGATGTGCTGTTTAGAAGATATTATTATACATGGTTGTACAGAAAACGCAAACTACGTAAACTAGACTCATTTTTAAGGTCACATTTCACCTCCCATTAGTCTTACATAATGTTGAACTTGGTCACTGAAGACATTTTTGCAGTATATATCAATGAGTTTCATTGGAGTAGTGGTGATGAATTTACCATATTTATTATTTATTTATTTACTTATTCAATCATTTGGCAGAGACATTGCAAGTCAACATAGGACAAAACAAGCTTGTAACTGATACGATGCAAAAAGAGTTCATAACTATTGCTAATTTTAAACTCCAGTCTCTGATTATGCCTTTCTACACTACATTATCACTTTCAATATTATCTTAAAAACTTACCTATATACAGTTTTTAGATAATTTACACACACATACATGAATACAGTTGTTTTAAAAGGTGGCTAAAGACAGAAATAATTCAAGAACCCCAAGTCCAAACTACATAATGCTGTCAAGAGTGCGAGATACAAGCTCAGCAGCTGCCGACTGAGGATCTGTGTTACAGTTAAACCCAAATAACACGACCAGAGAGGGCAGAGGGGAGGGTTAGAAAAGATTGCGTTAAAGTGTGCACGACATTCTTGAACTTGAGGTACAGATCTTATGTCTTCTTCCAACTCTCCTCCACCATGTTCACATGTGTTCTGTCTCTCCCTCTAATCCCAATGTCCCGCCTCACTGGGACATTATGGTAACCTGCAGAGGGAGGAAGTAAGTACACGTAAACGAGATTTCACTGGAGCATGGGTTCCTACGGTTTGTGTTGACACATCCTGTGAATCCTCGCTATAACTGCAGCACAACCATAAAGTTGCAGATCAGTTTGTGACTCAGGATCCACTTCATGTGAGAAAATAACTAAAGATCAATGTAACGTTCAATTTCAGGGCTTGTCTCCAGCCATTCACCACTGTCACTTACAGTAGGGTCCAGGAGCAGAACTGAAACTGAACAATTACATTGTTAATTACATCAAGTATGTCTCATTATCGTTAATATGTCCATTTCAGTGCAGCATGAAAAACATCTCTGGAGTTTCCATCATTTTCCACTATTATACTTGGACTGTGATCCCCAAGTATAATAATGTATATACGCATGTGTCATTCAACATAACAACATAACGGCACGGTGGCTGAGTGGATAGCACTCTCGCCTCTCAGCAAGAAGGTCCTGGGTTCAAATCCCGGCCGGACCAGGGCCTTTCTGAGTGGAGTTTGCATGTTCTCCCCGTGTCTGCGTAGGTTTCCTCCGGGTACTCCGGTTTCCCCTACCACTAAAAATATGTCCAATAGTTCTAGCATGCGCCTCCTGTACTGGCCCCGCTCCCATCTCTGTGTGGAGTGAGAGACAAATGCCCAAAATTAACAATTGTAAACCGCTTTGAGACTCAGATCTGCAGTGAAAAGGCGGTATATAAATAAAAACTTACTTACTTACTATAACTATACCAGTTCCATTCCTTAAAAAATCCAATCTTTTGTTCCTTTTTGTATGCTGTATTTTCCGTCTTTGAGTCATGTTGGTGACGGTGGAAACAAAACAGCATTCAATACTGGACAGGTGTTCTAAGGTGTAGTTTTTGGTTGTCAGAATCAGAAAGAATGAGCTGGGGTGCCAGATTGAATGGTGCAGTTCGGTGTTTAACCCGCATTAAACCCCTGCAGACAAGTTTAGCTCTAATGTCAGTACTTTTTATGGTACTTTGTCGGCTATAATCAGTTCTATTATTATATGTGACATCCTTTGCTCTGACACTGAAGAGCACATGTCTAACCCACTATTTTCTAACACTTCTTCTCCTCTCACACTGGTGATGCTTCTACACTTGGAAATTACCATAAACAGAGAGTAAGTATGAAGTAAAACACCTGGAGCAATGCTATGTCCTGGGCATGAATACAACATGTTTAGAATGTAAAGCTAATATGAGCTTCCACAGCAGTCTGACCATTGTGTTTCACTGCAGGCGGTCTGTGTGAGCCCATGTCAAACTCTGCATGACAGCCACGTGTCTCATACAACCTCAGGCTTACTGTTTCAAAACGTTTCAATTATTAGTGGTATATGCATGTTTTCTAGTGAAGCCGGTCCTTCATACACTGTATTGATGCTCATCAAAAGCTTGCAACACCTTGATGTTGCCTCAACATTAGAGTGTACTAGTTTGTATTATTATGTTTGTTTGCAACTCATGATAAGATCTGAATACATTGAGATTAAGACATATTGTATTGCTCAAAATAATATAAACATTTGCAGTATCATTTTTGCAAATAAACTGATCTTTGTGTCATTGTTGTTTTTTGGGGTCTTGGTTTGGTCTGAGGTCAGTGTTTACGGTTTATGTAGCATGAGAAAGATGGATCCAGAACAACGATAGATTACACCTGATAAGTCTGCTGCTGTTCTGTACCAAACAGAGACCGATGACAAGATGCGGGCCTTCGCTGAGAAGGTCTTTGCAGCTGATGCCAAAGACGAGAACATTCGTGATGAGGTCTCCATGTTTGACGTGGCTGATGACTGCCCCATCCTCAACCAGGAGATGGCTCACCATCTGCAGGTCGATGACAATGCAGAGAAGCGGTAATTTAATACTTCAGAAGTGTATTTGTTCTTTTAATAACATACTGACCTTGAGCCACACTTCATGATGAGACTGTGTCCTCGTTTATCCACAGCAAGAAGCATCAGCTGGTCTGCCACATGGCCGCACCCAGCAGTGCAGCCCAGAAGGGCTCTGGTGCTCCAGTGATGACAGTGCAGGTGGAAACGCCCACATACCTGGATGTACCCGACTTCCAGAGAGTGGCTGTCATTGGAGACTATGCCTCTGGGGTAATACTTTATGTGATTTGTAACTTTAAATACAACACTCTCCCCACCAAGGCTTCTCAGCAGTGTGTTTGGCTCTTAGTTTAAGTGCAAGTATTTTGGTGAAGTGCACAGTAGTAAGTCATCTATCTTTATATAGAACATTTAACAGACCATGGGCGCACAAAGCGCCTTACACTTTTGGTTTAGGCCTACAAACTCAAAATGTTATTGTGTGTATATTTCCCATTCCAAATGTTATTAAAATACAATGCTAATGTAACAGTTGCTGTGTATTTTCAGGTGACCATGGACGACTTTGAGTTGGCCTGTAAAGGTCTGTACCGAGCACTGACCATCAGGGAGAAGTACATGCGACTGGCCTATCAGCGCTATCCTCGCACTGCCTCTACTTACCTGTGCGAAATCCAGGGAGAGAGCTTCAAACCTGAGGACCAGGTGCAGCCGGGTGAGCTCACTGTAAAATGGGCAAATTTATGAAATATTTGGAATCAAGATTTTTATTCAATATTGGTAAACAGAATATATAACTGGCATAGACAGTGGGACTAAACTATAAATATTGTTTTTTAAATGCAGTGTTCACTCCTCCTCCAAAAAATGGAGAGGACCCTTTTGACACCAAGGCCCTTCCTAAAAACCTAGGATATGTGGCCCGCATGAAGGACGGTGTTATATACGTGTACAATGACGCTGCTGCAGCAGACAAACACCAGCCCAAAGATCTGCCCAGCCCCGACTACAACACCTTCATCGACGACATGAACTTCCTCATTGCTCTCATTGCACAGGGACCAACGTCAGTACTCAAATATAACAATTATTGACTTAATTGGTAAAAACTTTTTATTAAAGATTTAAATGACTGTTTGTTTTGGCTCACAGTAAGACTTACACACATCGTCGTCTGAAGTTCATTATGTCTAAGTTCAACGTGCATGAGATGCTGAATGAGATGGAGGAGATGAAGGAGCTGAAGACCAATCCCCACAGAGACTTCTACAATGTCAGAAAGGTACTAAAGATTACTGTAAAACGTGAATGTGTTCCATAGAAAAGGCATTCTTCAACAGTGTTTCAATCTATTTCAAAAATCAAATTCACTTTTGGGGCATGTGAAAACCAGAAGAAGCCTGTGTTACCTGTAAACTGCTCTGTAGTTTGGTATGAAGTAAAAAAGTATAAATGGGTTGAATAAAGGAAAGTAATAAGTAAAAACATCAGTAAAAGTGCACAAAATACAGAAAAGTATAACTATTATGAGTGATTACACTACAGCTATTAAACCAAAGAACTTATCTGTTCAAACTGAAAACTACAGTTTTGACTAGTTTTTCATCTGTTAAGAGTCTTTTCACCAAAAGGGTTTCAGCTGCGAAAAGGTATTAATGTTGCAATACTTCAGAAATACTATGCAGTATTGTAAAGGACAATTCATTGAAAGTATATCAAAGATAGAGTATAACTTGTGTACAAATATTTACAAATACTGCAAATGCTTAAAGGAGACCACATACAAAAGTAACAGGCTTGATGGCACAATGAAACTAGCTGTAGCAGAACTGTTTTTGAGCTTAATGTAACTAATAAAATACAACAACAAAAAAGGCCTCAAGTTATAATTTGTAGAAATATGTACAACTTGTTACGACTGGAATAATCTGGCAGAAGAAGACAGAATAAAATGTGACTGGTAAAGCATTCAAACTAAAAGAACATGATGAACTAAATGGAAGCTTTGTTACAGCTCCCTCTTCTGGCCAGAGAGGACACTAACACTGAGTAAGACTAAAACACTTCTCTGTGATGAAACCAGGTCGACACCCACATCCATGCAGCCGCCTGCATGAACCAGAAGCACCTGCTGCGCTTCATCAAAAGCTCCTACCGCCGAGATGCAGACCGGGTGGTCCATAACCTCAAAGGCCGAGAGGTCACCATGAAGGAGCTGTTTGAGTCGCTCAACCTCCACCCTTATGACCTGACTGTGGACTCCCTGGACGTACATGCTGTAAGCTCACTAACATAGTGCAAAGGCCAAGGGTTTGTTTTTCCTTAATTGTCAACTATTTTTGTTTGGTTGAAGGGCAGGCAAACCTTCCAGCGCTTTGACAAGTTCAATGCAAAGTACAACCCTGTGGGAGCCAGTGAGCTGCGAGACCTGTACATGAAAACAGAGAACCACCTGGGAGGAGAGTACTTTGCCACCATTATCAAGGTTAGAGACACGCAAAAACAAATCCAAATACCAATTCAACAAGCCTTACCATGGACTATACTCAGTGCAATAGAAGCCACAAAATTAAACATGGGTGGGTTGTCTGAACAATTTCACTAAACCAGAATTGTTTTGGGTATCAATCCAATCAAGGAAGTGGCGAGTGACCTGGAGGATGCCAAATATCAGTATGCTGAGCCCCGTCTGTCCATCTACGGCTGCAATGCCAATGAATGGAGCAAGCTCTCCAGCTGGTTTGTCAAGCACAGAGTCTACTCCCCACAGCTCAAATGGATGATCCAGGTCCCTAGGATCTAGTAAGTCTTTGTTGAATTACAACAATGTTCCAAATTTAATTTTATAATGTGATGTGTCGTGTTCAGTGACATCTTTAGAGGAAGGGACTTTGTGCCCCACTTTGGAAAGATGCTGGAGAATATTTTCCTGCCTGTGTTCCAGGCCACGATTGACCCCCAGTCCAACCCTGACCTCAGCATCTTCCTAAATCATGTAAGGACCAACACACAAAGATGACTGTCAATGGGTAAAATAAACTATAGGAGCATAAGATCATTCTGGATGTTGTTCACAAACAGGTCACAGGCTTTGACAGTGTGGATGATGAGTCCAAACACAGTGGACACATGTTCTGTACTAAGAGCCCCAAACCAGAGGAGTGGGACATCACCAAGAACCCCTCCTACACCTACTACATCTACTACATGTATGCCAACATTGCAGTGCTCAACCAGCTTCGCAAGTGAGTCCCTCTGCTCTACAAACAAGACTTCTTTACATAAACATAATAAACTATTAATAATAAAAAATAAAAAAACATAAAAAATATATAAATGTATATGTTGATCTCCAGACAGAGGGGTATGAACACGTTCATGTTCCGGCCTCACTGTGGGGAGGCTGGCGCTATCACCCATTTGCTCGCTGCTTTCATGACAGCTGACAACATCTCTCACGGCCTCAACCTCAAGAAGGTCAGCTTTCAGACATGTTATTATAAATAGCCATAAATGATCATGAGAATGTGATGTAAATGTTTGTCTCCACTTCCAGAGTCCCGTACTGCAGTACCTGTACTTCCTGACCCAGATCCCCATTGCCATGTCTCCTCTGAGCAACAACAGCCTGTTCCTGGAGTATGCCAAGAACCCTCTGTTGGAGTTCCACCAGAAGGGCCTGAATGTGTCTCTGTCCACTGACGACCCCATGCAGTTTCACTACACAAAGGTCTGTGCAACAGGAAGCCCACTGCTTGATCACAATGTACACAAAAGGTCCATTCACCCGCCACATCCTGCCAGAGAACACCATTGAACTACTCTGTTTGATCAGTATTGTAGACATCTGTTGTACATGTAATGCCTAATGTGTCTGGTTCCACAGGAGCCCCTGATGGAGGAGTACGCCATCGCTGCTCAAGTCTTCAAACTCAGCACCTGTGACATGTGTGAGATTGCCAGGAACAGTGTTCTGCAGAGTAGCTTGTCTGATGAGGTCAGTTTATTCATCTTCATTATGAAGTGACAATGAATCAATCAATACAATTAACAACTTTCTCCTATGATGCAGGAAAAGACACACTTCTTGGGTCAGGATTACCTGAAAGAGGGTCCAGAGGGAAATAACATCCATAAGACCAACGTGGCTCAGATTCGTATGGCCTACCGCTACGAGACTCTGTGTTATGAACTGAACCTCATCAAGGACGGCGTCAAGGGCGAGTGAACCAAGCTACAGGAGGAAACAGAACACTTTAGTCACAGTCAAGTTATGCTCATTAACCAGGAGTCAATGCCCATCCTTTAACAACGTTACTTTAATATTTCATTTCCATCACTGTATCATAAATTAAAGCATATTCAATGACAAACAGATTATTCTCTGAGTTGTTTTGGATTTCTCATATCAAACAAGTTAAGTAGGCCATATATGTATTTTGACATGTTCTTAAAGATACATCTTTGTTTCATGGTGTTTTGCTGGTATTGTTCAATTGCTGAAAAATATCCCACATCGAGGTATTATTGAGGTCTAAAATGTTACAATGGCAAATCCGATCATTTTCCAGACAAAAAACGAGTGTGATCAAGCAGTTACATACAGTACATCTGGAATATAGAAAGAGAAATCCTCGTATTATTCATTGTTTTGTCGTGAATGATTTGAGAAGCATCACGAGACCTTTTTAGTACAGCTGGCACATGGTACTACCAGTGAGATTAGCTCGACGCGGTGAGTTCTGGAAACCTGTATCATGGACTTTCTGATTGGTGAAACGGTGGAGGGTGGGACATTGAAATGAAAACAATAATAAGATTTAGGGGCAGTAAAACTAATTTTGAAACTCAAATATCTCTGAACTACTGTTATCAGGCAAAGAAGATTTTGAAAAGAGCATGATTTATGAATACCTTTTGATATATTAGGGCCCTTTAATGATGACTTGACATGAAAATCTTACATATTGCTACTTTAAATGTTAAATGTTGTCAATAAATCAGACCACAACGCTTCAGTAGAAGGCATAAGATAGTGGGTGGCTTTTATCACTTACCGAAATGTGGAACTACTCTTAGCACTAATCTGTTTACTGAAGGCTCGATGAACTAGAATAGATTTTATAGTGTTTTGATATGCCAACTCTAGTTGTGGGAGAATGAAGTATAATGTTGATGAAAGTTTCAACCATCGCTGGGACAGTGGCAGACTTGCTTTGTAATGATGACATGAAACCCTAGATTTACAGTGTGGCTCAAGACCTTTGGAACTCTCCTTTTCTGCCATCACAGCAGGAAGTACTGTATTTTGGAGTATGTCTCTATAAATGTACACCTTAGCCAAGGCCATTCTAAAAGTATTTTGGCTTAGGGAAAAATTCCAGATGGTGTGTAGACATCCACCAGAGGGTTTTGTGGAATCTGGTGTGGAATCTTTTTCCAAGATTCCCATCAACTCTGCCACTCCACCATCTCCCTGCTGAAGAAAAGCCCCCACCAGGTTTGACAGTGGTGTGAGAAGAGTGATGAGCTGTGTTACTTTTCCAACACACACTCATTTTGGACTCATCAGACCGCTGTATCTTCTTCCATATGTTGAGCTTGTCTCCCGCTGCTTCTTGCGGCTTTATTTCAACACTTGGGTTCTATTTGCCACTCTTCCATAAAGGCCAGATTTATGTTGTGCATGACTAATATTTGCCACATGTACAGAGTCCCCTTAGTGAGCAGTGGATGTCTGCTTCTCCTCTAGAGTTTCCACTGGCCTCTTGACTAAATCTCTGATCAGTGCTGTCCTTCTTTGAGCTATTACAACAATGCTTAAGATATGAGATCCTTTATTTGTCCCACTGTGGGTAAATTATGACTCTGCCTAGGTTGTAATCACAAGAGATTAGATTATGCTCTAATGGACTCTAAGGTCGACATGTGACTGTGACCATTCATCAGTTATGAGGAAGATTTTAGAGATCATGCAAGCCCAACTTTTTTCAATGTTTATATATATATATATATTTAAAGATAATAAACGTATATGTATGTGTATAATTTTAAGGACATTTATTAACTTGTATTGACAGACACCGACTCCCATATGGTCCAATGGCATTTCCTGTGTACGAATGAATATTTACAGTCTATAGTTTGAAGTGTTTGATTCTCTGATCTGTTCGCAGTTTGTTTGTGGCGTATCTACAACATTTTGTGAAGTCTTGAGTCCTCCAGAGACTTTTTCTTCTTCTTCTTGGATTCTTTGGCGGGTGGCAACCACCAGCTTGGGTGCATACCGCCACCTACGGTGTCTTTTGTCTTACGGCGCTAGTGTTACATAATGTGTGTGAATAGATAAATAAATGTGTGTGGGAAAAATGTATAAATATAAACTATTCTAATCCTTTAATGAATCCTATCAGTTCCCTCTGCTGTCACCTTCCTCCAAAATACCCTGTATTCTCCAACCTCTTTCCAATTCGTACTCTCTCTGAGACGTCTACTCTTGTGATTTAGGGCTATACAACATGGATCTATTACAATATTGCTCTACAAATATTATTTACAGTCTGAGTCTATGATACAAACCGTAGACTGTATACAAACCATAGACTGTATATATTAAGATACAAACATAGGTTTAGGTTTTATTTTGAAGTGCCCTACCGGAAGTGGCTGCGCTGCCCACTGATTTGTCTTCAGATGAGGACCGCTGTGTTTTTCTTATTATCTCTGTGGACATTCTCTCCGTCTTGCACACATTAGTGCTTGTTCTTGGACATTACATTTTACGCTTTTAGTTTGCATTTTAGAAATCCAACACAGCAGTGGGAAAAGGAACCCCAGAATGCAACGAACTTTTTGAACTGTGTGGGATTTTCACGTGTTTGTGAGGACCTCTGTTAGCGGCTCGATATGTGAGTAAAGTTGTGTTTATTATGCTTTTTCTGTTTGATCTCAACGTTATATGTGTTAAATTTCACTTTACGTGGGCTTTATCCATGGGATCTCTTTGTGCTCCCGAATAAGAAAATGAATGGGTTAATCATGTCATCTCCACAGCAACTTCTACAAGAATCAATGAGGAATGTTTGAAACAAGTAACATTAATGTCATCACACAGGGCTGAATGATGCTAAGAAAAGCCTGTGTTGTCCTAAAAGATTCAGATTAAAATTAGATGCCATTTGCTGTAAAACAACAGTGAAATACATTTGCAAAAGTCCCAAGTGTGCACAGGACAATAACAGTTTCAATACAAGTGCAAGATTATTGAAGTGAGAAAAAACAGCTTGATATATCCTTGAGATATTGTTGAGATGAGGGAAGAAGCTGGAACATGGATTTTGTAGGGGCCACAAGAGTCATTGATTATCCTAAAAGCTTGGTTTAAGAGTCTTGATTCACTCTTAAACCTTGTTTAGAGCTCTCCTTTCTATGGCTGTGATATTACCAAACTACTGACTTGCCAGAAACGCATACAAATATATTAACATAATCCAATTATCTTATGATTACAGTAATGGCTTTGTAATACTGTAGTTTCCAAAGTCTCTTTTTTACTTGCATCATCATTGCACAGATGGTCTAGTCCAAACTATAAATATTTGAAATCAATTACATTGACATCTATACAATGCTGCTTTCTGCGTGTCACTGAAGTTATTACTGAGTTTATTTATTTGATAAGGATTAGAAAGGGCAAATTAGTTTGTTTTTTTTCTCTCCGGGCAATCAAGTGCTGTCAACTTGAAGTATGTGTATTCTGCTGATTTATTTTAAGTTGTATGTCGTGAGGAAAACATTTGGTCTGCGTTTTTTGCAATACATTTTGTAAATATTTAATGTTTCTTCCCAACACTTTTGTTTTTTGCTGTTTATGTAATTTAGATAGGTCTGTAAAACATGCTTTATTTCAACTTAATGATCATGAAATCATCTTGAAGTCACAAAAGTAGAGCTGTCCTTCCCCATAACACAATGATGTCAACATGTTACAAAACACTGGACTATCCCATTCTTATACATGCCATAAAGTCAGTAAAACAATGAGGTCAGTATTTTTACAGCTTGCGAGTCACTATTTGCAAATGATATGCATGCGTTGCCAAAAGTTGAAACTGCAGATTAATAAATAACCACAAAGAACTGTTCCGTGTCTTCTCTGTACCTTCTTAAAATACAGTCAAAGATATAATGCAAATGTGTGTTTTTCAGCTAACCCATAGATGTTTACAACAGTGCTATCCACACCCTTTCTCCACAAAGAGTGAAAGATGTCATGTTAGCCGGAGCATTACTCATTGGGAATACTGGCTCTGCTAATGGACCAGTCATTTTGAGGTGAGTTCTTTTATGTTCGTGTTCGGCAAGCCTACATATTTTCCTTATTATAGTCTCAACTGTCACTGTTGATAGTGAGGCACAGTCGTACAATGGATTTACACCCAGAACATGCTGCGTCTTGCACCAGGAGGGCCGTTTTAAGGTGCTATTTAGTTGAATTGAGCTGCCAGGTGATGACTGTGTAGCGCAGGCTGTATGATAGTCCTGTCTGGTTTCTCTGAATGAGTCACAAAGTTTCTCTTGTTTACTCGTTAACATTTGTATACGTATTTCTAAAATATTATGTTAGGGTTAGTTTCTGTTTAATTAAAGTTGGAGGGGAACGTCTGCAGATGTTTGAACAATCACTGATATTGTAAGTAAGTTAGTAAGTAATGTTTATTTGTAAAGCGCATTGGTGTCCTACTCATTTGGGTATTTATATTACAAAACTGACTACAACAAATAGACTTGTAGTATAACAAAAAAAACTATTCTATCGAACTTGTGTATGTTCACAGATTATTGTAGGTTTTTATACCTAGAGATAATAATGGTACTCAAATTGGCAGATTTGGCACTCAAGGGCAGAGGTTGTCAAACTTTTCAGGCTTAGTGTTAGGGTATAAGTTATATATGTGTGGGAGTATGTTTTACATTTCGAACCAATACAAGAATTGGAAGGTTATTGTGATAAATCCATCACAATAACCAATATCGATTGTGTGTTTTGTTTTTATGATTTCAATACTAGTTTCTAAGTCCACAGTTTTAAGCTCATCACCTGGACTTGTCATTGTTCATTACTAACGCTTTTATTTTTAGGTTGGTTAACATGAACAGATTTCCTCTTCTCAGTTTTCCCAGACATTATTGTAACTATCATTGTTATTGACTTTGCCATATCATCCACTTAAAACAAAGCTCAAATATGTGGTTTGGGTGTACAACCCGTCACTATAATTACCAACACGGCTGCTCTTTCTTCCTGGTGCTCAGGAAACTCCGATAGCCTTCCTGTACCACATCCCGCAGAGCAGAGGAATAAGACAACTGGGTCATTTTGGGATCTGTATTGTGATGGCATGGCATTCCAGCACATATTTCCACAGGATTTGGGTCAAAACAGACAAAAGCATTGCTGGGAGTTCGGCTGGATGCCCGTTTCTAAACCCCCTGACTCCATTCTGCAGCCTGACAGGAATGCAGCGTATAGAATTATGATGGTCAGGAGCAGAGCCACGGATGAGTATGCTCTTCTGGACAGTCTCACTGTGATTTACACGTGCAACGTGTCCAAGTGTTTGCTTCCAAGCAGACAGGAACAGGGGAATGAGATAAAGACTGAACAGGAAAAAACTAAATTCATCCCACAGCTGGGAACCATTGAAATATTCAAGATATTTTAAGCAAATAGAAGATGGAACTTAGTAATAACAATTAGAGAAAATAATAAGTCCCCCTGGCTGGGACATGGACATTATTTAATCCTAGAGCAGGAGAACAATACTTCTAATTTACAGTTTTTGAGTTTTTTGTTTTTAAATTACATTTTTTCTTGGCTATTAAAGAGACTCCACAGTGCTCACATAATGCAACAACGTATTCCACGTGTGTCTTTATATTACATGCATTAGTGTGTGCTTTCGTCAAGCCATTATTCATTCCAATGATATTTTGTAATTGCAGTTTATGGAAAGTAGATGTGCATAAGATTTAGGTTCAAACTGAGCAATGCTTCTCACCCCCAGCCTCTGCCAGAGGATAATGTAATCAACAAGGTTCTGTTGTCTGTCTTTTTGTTAGTTTGTTAGTAACAGAACTCAAGCTCATGCATGAAAAAAAGGTACCAAACATTTGCAAGATGACCAGGATCCAGAAATTCTTTTAAGTTGGTGCCTCTTGGCCAAGGTCTGCACTCTACAAGTTTTTTCTAGTTTCTTATTTGCAATGACATGAATAAGAAAGGTTTCTCATGTGCAACAAGGACATTTGATGTTTCATTCTCTTCAAGTGTTGGCAACATTTCTCTATAGATTAAAGGATTTGTGAACAATAGTAGAATGACTGCAGAGAATGAGCTCACAGTTTTGGGAGGGAATTGTGCATTAAATAACTATTACACTTGACGGCATTGTGAATTTATCTTATTTTGTCCTACGCCCTTATAAATTTGCTCTTTTCACCGATACAAAATAACGCAAGTTTCAATATGCTGTTCTTTAGTTTTCTAATTGGTGCGGCGAGCATGATTTCAGTTGATTATAACGCTGAGCCCAGATTGCCTCAGAAGACCACAGTGCGAGTTTGTAGGCCAGGGATGATTGCGACCACTTACAGCTTCTTTCGGGTTTGAGTGCTGTGGTGAAATGACACATGATCCGCCTTCACCCTGGGGGTACACACAACAGGCTTTAAGGTCCTGCTGTAATTTAGGGGCTGTCTTTCCTTTTTGACTCTTTTTGGATTTATTTGTGGATGTTCTGACCTTTCCCGCTGAAAGTTTGCGAACTTAACTCTGCTCTGACCACTGCGGGTTGCTTTCCCGTGAGCACAGGTTTCTTGTGTTGCCTCATCATTATCCCTTTGACCTCATCGTGTGCTGCCTGCATGGACTTGTTTTGTAAGTGAGGAGTGATTGATGACTCATTTAACTTGCCCTGTCTTTTTTTCGTAGGTTGTTTACGTGAGAAGAGAAGAGAGGATATGACACTGTGCTAGGAAAAAGAAGACAGAAGAGGGCCGTGATATCATCTTGTTTAATTAAGAACAGATAAACTGGCCTTTTCTGCGCAGCTATGGAGGACTGATGGTGCTGCGGCACTTGCCCCCTCCAAACATGCTTGCTCTGAGGCAGAAGCAGAGCGGGAGAGAGGGCGGAAAGATTCATTGTCCACCAAAGGGGACCAATATGGGGCATCAGACCGGGCGCCCGCCACAACAGGAGCAGGCTCTAAACATAAGGGAGAAGATTTCTCAGTGGGAGGGACGTAGCCTGAACAATCCTAATCCAGATGTGAAAGTACACGCGCCTGTTGTGTCTCGAGACTACAATGGCAACGGAGTTTACAACACAAAGACCAACATATCAAATACAAGCGTGGGATTGGACTTTCGGGACGTTAATTTAAAATCCACTTGTGGGAGGAGGTCGGAACCCATTCGAAAATTCTCCACTGAGCTGATAATCATTCAACCGGAGTGCAAACATAATTTACAAGCTCACAAATCCGAAACTTTATCCAAACAAACTTACACTACAAACGCAAAAATATCATGCGTTTTGGACATTGAACTCGTTTCCAAACCAGCTCCTCCATCGAGCACGGAGGAAGACGACGAAATGCCAGCGGGGAATTTTTACACCTCTCGAGGATTTTGGAGAAAACTGGAAGGGGATAGGTTGACGTGGGAGAAGGGAAAAGAATCCACAGGTGAGACTCGGGCTCCTCCTAAACCCCTGCGCACATTCCTCTATGATGGACCCAAAGACAGCAACAGGGCGCGTGCACAAACTGGTCCCTGCCGACTGGCCAATCAGAGAGGCAGCAGAAAGCTACGCCCACCGGACTTTCCACCCCCTCCCTGTCCCGTGCTGAACACCAATGGGATCTACAGACACAAAAAAAACAGGTGAGCACTCTCACTTCGGCTGCAGGGTGGCTGTATTGTAAACATGCGTGGTTGGTTTCAGTGCAGTTTTGGGGAGGGCTCTGCTGAAAAAGGTCTGAGGATAATGCGGTCTGACTTCACACTATTGTTGTCCATTGTCCTCCCACGTGTGGCCTAGTTCTTCTGTTTACTGAATGCAGCTTTTCTGAGTTGCCAAGATTTAATGTTTAAAGGTACAGTTTGCACTCTGACTGGTTTGAAAAAGTACTAATTACAACTGCCATGTGTTGCCAGTGACTTATACAAGAGTAACTGAACATGAGTAACTGCTGCAGGGGCTGGTGTTTAATGTGTGCTAAAATACTTCATCATTTCACTATTGAAATTGGTAAATCATCCTCCTTTCTGATTGGAAACTCAACATGAGACATTCTAGCATTGTTGGCTAAATAAAATATCTGTCCTTCTATGGAACTGGCAACCCAAATAAGAAGCTTGTTCTTTCTAGTCATAAACTCCACATGAGAAGTGACTCAATAGATGGATACCTAGATACTTAATTGAACCCGTAGGGGAAAGTCAGGTGTCCAGTAGCAGCAGAAACACATCAATCTATACAAACAAAACTAATACATTCTACAAATAGCTAACAATATTATTACAATAACAGCACTTAAGGCCACAGCAGCTGAAATTTGAATTTAATACAGTTTTGATTTTTTTGTTTAATTTATTGTTTTCTTTAATCATCAAACATTACCAAGATGAGTATCCATTCTGAGCTATAATGCAGTAAAGCTTAAACAAAATTCCATGAATCTTTATGAATATGAACATAAAACATTGGCCTTCATACAATGTCAGAATGTCTGTGCTCAGATCATATGTTCCCAATGTCATTGCTTTATTCAGCTTTTTAAGAATTGAAGCAAACATTGGTCATAGATTGTAGCTGTCTGTGTCCAACATTGTGGAAGTTCAACATCATTGTGCTGACATACGTCTACTGCACAACACAAAACTACCAGAAGTGGAGTGCAGAAAGATGTAGTTTTAGGTTATATTTAATGTGATTTTGATTTGGTGTGTGTCTGAGTGTCTGAAACGTGATAGAATATGTAATTGAAATTTGGGTTTAATGTTTTAAGGTAATTAGTTTTTTGCAACACACCATGTGCTATATATTTAGATTCCAAACATCTCTAGCTACAGGCATTTTTAATATCTTAGCTTTTGTCCTTGTCCTTGGGGTGACCTCCTCTACACACGATAAGTGGATAACACACATGTTGTTTTTTGTTTTAGTTTTTAATCATACATTTGTAAGCGGAAGTAGCCTCATGAGTTCCTATGTTTTGTCTGTTAGAAATGACAGCCTGATTTGAACATATATTTAATGAATCCGTGTCATGTATTGTCTGAACGTGAGCGAAACTGTCCACATGCTGAGTCGGCCCGGTTTTGGTTTTTTTAACTTTGGATGTTGTGGTGACATAAACAGAAAGTGTAATATCTTTGGTCTCACGGCCCTCTTCCCTTTCACTCCACAGGAAGTCTTTTGAGTATGAGGATGCCGAGCGGCTCACAGCCAAGCAGGGCACCCAAAGAGGAGAGGCCAGGAACTCCAGCCTTTATCACGCCTACTCCGACGACAACATTTATGAGGACATTGTCTGTGAGTGTCTCGATGCTTATTTTAGAAGTGGGAAAGAGAGGGGTAAAAGTGAAAATACAAGCGTAAACAGTAAGGTGTCTTTGATTGTTTGTATTAGGAAAACAATTGTTTGGTTTAAGGCTGCTGCTATTGATCAATATTTTAGGAATAGACTAGTGATCAATCACGCTTCCAATTTTAAACAAATAAGTAGCGTGTGTGTATATGGAGTCTGTATCAAGTGGCCGTCACTGCTGTGGGGATTCTGCGTGGTTTAAGTCGTTACAAATACATCAGAGTAATTGAGGAAATTAAGCTTGTTTGTAATATAATTTGTTTAACTCCATTAAGCACTGATATATTTGTTTGTTTTTTTAAAGTGAAAATGGAAAAACAAGCCTATTTTTACGTGTAGAATTGTGAGATTTGTGTTCAGCTGTGTGAATTCTTAAATTGTTAATGAGGTCAATATTCATAATTTACTTCCCATTGGAATAACTTAACAAAAAAAGTGTTCACGTGATGTAGTCTGCTGGATCTGGTCACAATATGTATTCATCTTTTTTAAAAACATGTTATTTTGACCAAGAAGGTCCTGGGTCCTGGTCGAAACAGGTCCTTTCTGAGTGGACTTTGCATGTTCTCCCCGCGTCTGCATAAGTTTTCTCTGGGTGCACCGGTTTCTGTGAAAGGCGCTATACTTACTTATATTTGACTCGTTGGGCTGAGAGCTGAGGGTTGGTCTTTTTTTTTTCACTTTTCTGTCTGAAAGGCTAATCAAAATAAATGGATTTTATTGGATAGTTCCAGGGGATGCAAGATTGTTACACCAGCATTAATGTAGCCACTGAATTATATTTTTACAGTGCAGAAACAATCAGAAATGTGTTTGTGTTGTGCTTAGCTCCATAATATTCCTTGTATTTTCAGGTGAGCCTTATGAGGACATAAAAGTATCCCCCATGTGTCTTCCTATCGGCAGGTCTCAAACATCAAAGGTAAATATACACTTTTACAAAACCAAGTGAAGAAACTCATAGTGACAACTGATGCATGAATAAACGTTTACATAGTGTGTTGAACCCCAGACTGTGAGTAAATGATATTGATTGATGAAGTTGATCTACTTATACTCTTATCAAACTCACAGTGAGTAACTTATGTACAATGTTCTTTTGTCAATATTATGAAATGGGAACGTTTCATCTCGCATTACATTGCAGCAATCAAGTGATCTATGAAGCTTAAATGAATTGCTTCACTTCCAGCTTGGATCCAAACCCTACACTCTGCAAGCCAATTCTAAACTGGAGAAGAGGCGACTGTCTGCTCCACCGCCGTCCAAGGCATTGACCCTCTCAGACGGCCTGAAACCGCCTCGCCGCAGCAGCACACAGAAGAACACGCCTCAGGTACAGTTGCCCACATGTCTTCTGCCTGTTTTATTTCATGGACATCTGGTCTGACAACAATGTGATAGATGACGCTGCAGCAAGAGGCGGTAACTTGCAGAGCAGGAAAAAGTTTGAGCGCAATAGATAATGGTAGCGCCGTAGTTTTAGAATTTTAGTGATTATCAAGGCTAAAAATATGCATTCACTGGACAGACTGTTGGCCAAAATGTCCACTGTTGAGGTAAGGCATGTTGCTGTGGTGACTGTTTATGTTGGTGTGAGGGGAGATCTTTGAAATTATTGGTACGATGTTAAGTATAACAAAAACTAAATGATTTCTTTGATACTGATACATGAATATTATATATGTGGTACACCCAAATATGTGTAACCACAATTGTTTTGCCTCATCTCAGCAGTGTTTTGTTTGCATTTATATTTGAGTAACTATTTGTTTTAAATTTAGAAAGAATTAGCATTTATTTAGTAAAGGTAGTCTTGTCTAAATTTAGAGAGAACGGAGGAAGAAATGTAGGAACTGTTGTCATTCTCAGTTGTAGTAGGGGGGACCGAATTGACCGTGACCGTCAGACACAATCTGAAGTGAAACGAGTGCTGACTCATTACTTCTCTGAGACTTTTCTTATGTTTTTCACAGATTGCGTGTCACATATTTTTGTTGGATATATGTTAAAGTGATTCTTTTGCATTCTTCTTATTTCCACAACATTATTTGTTTTGTCGATCCTCTATTCTATTCATCATGAGTTGAATAGTCACAGACCAATATTGAAACAATGATTCACCATGTCATGTCCTGTTTGGCCGAAGGTCATTTTTCCCTCTTTAAATTATTCTGAATCTGACCCCAAAACTCCAAGACCCCAAAAAGTATTGACTTAAAAACATCCGGTTCCTATCGTTCCACTTTATCTGATCACGTGTTAGTATTAGATAGCAATATGGCCTACGTGCAGGACTGTACAAGGACTCTACAAGGACTCCATGTTATGACTATGATTTGACTGTCTCTTTGTGACACGTATGTCTTTCGATGTGTGACGTGACAATGACTATATAAACTGTGTACTGCCTTTATTCTGTCTGAGAGAAAGAAACAGTAAACCAGTGGAACTTGAGAGAAACTTAAATAAACTTCCAGAGTTTGGCACACCACGATCCGTCTCTATCTGCTAAATCCTGACACACGTACTGGCAATCTCATACTTTTATTTTTGCAACCTCATACTTTTATTTAGCAACCCTGCAAAATAATAAGTGGGAAAACAAAAATATGAAGAATGTGTTTGTTTTGACACCGTTAAAGCACTTCACTCATCGTTTTCTCTAAGAATCTGACATTAGTGAAAATTACAAGTTTGCCCTTTCCCCTACAGTATGTCAACAAAATCGAGACCATATTTGATGAGAGGAGGGGCAGAAAGCGGGTGAAAAACCAGAGCGTCCTGGTTCGAGGTGAGTCCCACAGAGGCACATTAGACAGTGTGAGATTAAGTCCTATCTGGGTTGGAAATACCCGGCTTTGAAGACGTTCACAAGGGCAGCTGCGGCGGGAGAAGCCACTGATTATCAGACAAAGGCTGGCTGTGTGCCTCTTATTACGGACTCTCTGTCTTGTTCATTTCTGGGCTAATCCTCCTCCTCCTTTATGTCAACAGAGGAGACAAGCGGCACAGAAAGTGACCCTGAAGACGGCTCTAAAGGTATCGCTGCTGCTACGTCATGTTTTAACTGCTATGTCATCAGCTATGTGCATCGAGCTACTGGTTGAGTCAGTGATTTATCACAAGTGTGGGAAAGTATGAGCTTTGCAAGACTAGAAGATTTAATGAGTGTATTCTCACACAGCTGCTTCAATATCTGCAAAATAAATATTACTATTCAAAATAAAACCTGGAGTGCTGGACAGCAGCAAATCAATCGCCCAAACTGGTGTAAGATGCAGACTGATACTTCACCTTAAACACTGCTTCATTTGAATAACATTTACTATTTAAGATCAATAAGAGTTCAAAAAGGAACAAATTTATTTTGTTTGTTTTGAACTGGAATCTTAGCAGCTTTGAGGGGTGGGTCAAATGCAGCAGAGTGATTTCTCTATGTGGTTAATCTGATCTAATTGCACAGAAACTGCTTACTACATTTATGTTTATGTTTTAAACGTAACACAAACAACAGTTTGAAAATGGATTTAGCTCCAACCCATCTCACTCGTTCTACACAAAACACACGTTTATCCACCCACCAATCCAGACAGGAAGCACCATCAGTCACATTCCCAACCACTCTCTGACTCGAAATCAGAGTAGCTCTTTATTTCTTATATAGAGTGCATCCAGAGCTGGTACTTTATCCAGATACCAGTACAGAGCTATGCGGCATCTACTGCACAATGTAATGGGTCCACATGTGTTTTGTGTGTACAATATTTCTATACACCATAAATAGCCATTTTAACTCAAACCCCAGAGAGTTTACAAACAGTGATGCCCTCAAAGCCACATCACTAGCTGCAAGTCTGAACGGAAACATGGAAACGGCACAAGGCGTATCACATTTACTTGACAAACAATGCACTGTTATGGAAAAAAGCGGCTTGGCTTTCATTTTGCGAAACTCGATGTGGGAAAACGGGCCACTTTCTGTCCTCTGCTACACAATGTGAACACAGTTTAGACACAATAAAAGTCTTTGCATTGTTCCTCATTGTTAACTGGCATTGTTTGGCCCTCAGAAGGCTCCAGGAGATTGGTTTACAGGCAGTCTACCCTGAAGCGCCGCCCTGGGTACCGCACCCTGGAGCGAGACCTCCTCCAGCACCAGCAGCAGAAGCTCTTCCAGATCTTTGTGGTGGTGTCGCTCCGAAAGGGTCCCCACGACAACTCTTACACCCCTGAAATCACACAACAGTTCCCCAAGATGGTGAGCAGTGAGAGCCCCACCCCTTTGGCTGTGTTGTTGATCATTGCCGTGTTTTGATTGTAACTGTATAATTAAGCAATGTCACAAGCTAGGGAAGTTAAAAGCGTAAAAAAACCACACACACTTACAATAATATTGAGCTACTGGAAGGAGGTGGCGAGCTACTGGTAGCTCCAGAGCCACAGGTTGAAGACCTGATTTTGAGCTAGCTCCAATTTTTGTGCGGGAATAAAGAGCCAAATGACATAGGTAGTGATGAGCTAGCTTCCAAAGATCCAAGTCTGTCCCCACTTGTGTTAGTTCCTCGCCCCTTCTGTCCAAAATAGTGAATGTGACACAAACGGTTCTAAAGTAAGAGGATTTTTCAATAAATGTAAGTGAATGGAGCCCAAAGTTGGAACAAAACTTTTTACATGATCACTTCCTATTTTGGGATTCATTGAGCTGGTGGTGAGCATCGTCTGTCGAATATAGAGTATGGTTGTACTATTATTTATTATATTGCAGCTTATTGTCATATGGACATTCAGCACTTTCATTGTAATGTCATTCTTCTTGTGGATTTTTGTTCTGTTTTTTATTAACTATTAACTGCTTTTATTTATTAACTACTTTTGAAAACTTTTTGTTTTTATAGTTCGACACAGCATCAAGGATGTCTAAAGAGGCTGAGGACCAACTCAAGGTTATTCCTAAATTCTGTTTCCCGGACGCTCAGGACTGGAAACCAGCCGCACACATGCCAAGGTCAGCTCTGAGTCACACAACTGCTTTAATGCCTCATTCTCCACGCCACAGCTGGGGCCACAGCACATGCAGCTGTAACATGATATGAATGTGTGTCTTTTGTCTCTCACAGCCACATTTTCACCACTTTGTATTTCACTGATGGAGTAAATAGTTGGCTGAGACTGGGATTTTCATTTTGCCGTTGCCCATCAGTGAATCCATCTGTCACATTAATAAAATCTGTTTAGGAATTCTTTGAGGAGTTTCTCGACTTGCAACTGGAACAAAAGACAAACAGTTGAGACTAGCGACAATAACTTTGGCCTTGACAGATTACTGGCAGTCATTAGATAAACTGGAAATATGATGACCTACTTAAAGTAATGCTGCTCTTTAATTGGTAGACATCTAAGTGGTGTTCACTGGATTCTTATACATGTAAAACTTGCTGAACAATTCTCAATTCAAGAGCTCAACATTCTGCCTTAATCTTATAAAACATTTTCTATCATTTATTTTGCATACGTAAAAAATCTTGAGAGTCAATGTTCGATGCTTTGGGCTGAGAGCTTATTGCTCTTTTCACTTTTGGTATGAAAGAACTGATCAACCAAAAGCTTTGAGAGCGAGGTGTTAGTTACATGAATCTTATTAGATAGTTGTTGTGGTTTGAAAGTCGGGTACCCAGATAGAAATAAAACCACTTGACTACCAGACTTGCCAAAGTTTGGTTTTTCCTTGTCTTTTTAGAGAGTCTGGAAACATGTTATACAACTTTTTTATACTCTTATTTATTATAGCAAACTTGTTGCTTTTTGCACAAACCATCAATAATTCATCCACTCATTAACTCATCACTTGCCTGGAGCTCCTACAGATTGTAACTCTTAATGAAAACATCTAAACTCACACAGTAAAAGATCAATGAGTGTGTGGTTATATACATATATCAGTGTATTATAATAAGTTTATTTTTTGTTTGTTGTGCAGTGAGACCTTCTCGTTTGTTCTGACCGGAGAAGACGGCAGCCGCTGGTTCTGTTACTGCCGGAAGATTTTGGTGAGACGCGAGTCAGGCTGAGTCATTCTGTCTCTATCTGCATCTGCGTGTGTTATGGGCATTCCGCCATAAACTTACTCAACACCTCCAGAGAAGCCCTGAACTGCGGCTATAAACCCTAAATCAATGACTCACTGCAACAAGAATTCTATGAAAATATTTACATCTGTTTTCTTCATTGCAAAATACTAGAGTTACAGCGGGCTAATACTTTTGTGTGGAGTTTGAAGTTAGTGATAAAAGCAAAAGGCAAAACCATCAAAACTATGCTAAGTGACAGCATTTAAAACATTAAAGGGGACATAACCCAATTCTGTAATCTATGATAATGATAATCTATGACTTCCGTAGCCAAAACATCTTGAAACCAAATGGCCAAAAGCTGTGAAAAGTGGATTTTTAGGTATGTTCCCTTTTATTAAAACATAAAAAAACAATCTTGGATTATTGAAGGCAAAGTTCTATGCTTGAACAGTTACTAGGGATTTTGAAATGTTGGGCGGACACTGATACTTTAAAATAACAACTTGGCTGATGGACAATGCTTTTCTTTTTGTTATTTACATATATATTTCTTGGCGGCTTCAGTTTGCCCTTTTTCTTCAGCTTCATGCACTCACTCTACACCGCCTCATGCTTCTCAAATGTCCAATGAGATTCGTTGTGTTAAAGGATTTTCTAGCAATCCCCCACAGATGAGCATGTGTTTCCTATGTATCCATATTAGCCTGTTTAATATTGTCAAACTCTTCTAATACTGCGGTATATCTGTATGTTTCAGCCTAGTGGGAAAGGCAAGAGGCTGCCTGAGGTCCACTGTATTGTCAGCAAGCTGGGCTGTTTCAACCTATTTGCCAAGGTACATCATTGCATTTGATTTTGTTCATAAATTTCGTTGTTGAAATGTGCAGATACAGGGATGCTCTGAAGAGAATTCAAACGAGCTTCACTCTTTTCATACACGCACACACGCACACACACACACACACACGCACGCACGCGCGCGCGCGCACGCACGCACGCACGCACGCACACACACACACATGTATATTGTCCTGGTGCCAACATGAACCTTATAAACTTGCATTATTGAGAGTGTGATGATTGTTGTTTTTTCATTTGTCAACGTTGTATTGTTTTAGGTCCATAATTCTATTGCAGTGTTGGTGAAAAATGCAATAAATGACTGAAAATGACTTTAGTGCAGTTATAGGTGACAAGTTTTTGTACGTAGGTCACACTTTAACTTGACTGAGGCAAATTAGTCAGTTTTATTTAAAAATTATTTCAAATAATTCACCTCCAGGTTCTAGAGATACACTTTCTATTTATTCTACCTCTGAATAATGGTTTTACCTTAAGTGAGAGTGTGTCTGTTTTCTTTTTCTGAGTCATTTTCAAAGGAACTGAATCTTCTGACTCATAAACTACTGATTTTGAAACCTTGTGGTCTGATCAAAGCAATGTGCCAAAGCAACTGTAAACATAGAAGGAATCAGTGACGGTCAATAGTTGTTGTTGTGTGTCAGATTCTAGAGGAGGTGGAGAGACGCAGAGAGATGTCGAACGCCCTGGTTTACCCCTTCATGCTGAGTGTGATGGAGGCTCCGTTTCCGGCTCCTGGAAGAACTGTGAGCGTGAAGAGCTTCCTCCCTGGCACGGGGAACGAGGTAAAACCAGCAGGAAGTGTTACTGATGCCGCTTTGCACAATCACCATGACTCAGAAAAATGCTCAAATGAAACGTGTGATTATATAAAGACATGGCAAATGGAATCACATTGTAAGATTGCAACATTGATTTTTGCCTGCCTTATTTATTCTTCATTTGACAAGGGCAATAGGTTAGGGTTTGGCTTATATACATTAACTTTAAAAACTATACAGCGTCAATACAATGATTAAAAAGTCTCTCAGTCAATACATTCATTCACACACACTAGTTTGGGAGTTGGAAAATGGGAACAGTTTAAAAGTTTACTTCTTGATCTATAAAAAACAAAACCCAAGAAGACTATTGCTATGAATTGAGCAGCTTCATGTGGCAATGAATGATGGCATTATTATTATTGTTATTATTATTATTATTATATTTATGTTCCCTAAACAGTAGTACCATAACTACCCCAATGTAAGTTTCCATATTTCCTGGTTTACATCACTAATAGTAAAGATTTATTAATAATCTTATTTTTTAATGAATAATCCATCTTGTTTCCCCAACAGAAAGTGTCTATTAGAAAATGTTATTGTTTTCATACTTGTAAGCAAGAGCCCTGTGCGTCACTATTTGACTTTTTGGGCTGAGAGCTGATTGACTGAGTGAGGGTGGTCCTCTCTTTTTCATGTTTTTGTTTGAAAAGCTGATCTAAATATGTGACAGAGGCCAAACCATACAGTACATGCATCTGAAACTAGTGAAAGAACCAAACTGTTTTACACCCAGAAACTAGTTACATAGAACTTATTATAGAGTCAGGCCAGCCAGACTTGCCTGCGAAAGCCAGATCCCATCAGACCTCTAAAGCTGTGCAGTATGGTTAGTACTGTGATGGGAGATCTCTGGGAACACCAGGTACCACAGTGGGGCGGTCGAATAGTGCAAAACTGTTGTTAAGGTTAGGCAAGACACTTCACCCCCGATGCCTAGAATGAGTCCTGGTGTGTGCGTGAATGGATGGTGGTGGTCGGAGGGGCCAATGGCACATACTGGTTGCCTCGCTTCTGTCAATGTGCCCCAGGGCAGCTGTAAAAGAGCTATATAAAACAGATTTATCATTATTGTTATTATTAATTTGATGGCCTATTAAATCATTCCACTCTTTTCAAAATGATTGTGATGGTGCTAGAGTTGTTCTGTTATTGTCATAGTTAAGGTCATAACGATGTCCTGTGTGTGACCCAGGTGCTGACTCTGACCCGGCCGGTGGACTCCAGACTGGAGCACGTAGACTTTGACAGCCTCCTCCAGTGTCTCAGCGTGGGCCGACTGCTGCAGGTGTTTGCCTCACTGCTGCTGGAGAGGAGAGTCATCTTCATTGCAGATAAACTCAGGTACAATACTTTTATTTCATCCGTAAATTGTAAAACAATGTACAATATTATTATAGATATATACCGCTTTACCTACTGATGACCTTTGGTGGTTATTGTGAGTTGCTGTGAAGTGTTTTGCCGTTCAGAATTATTAAAAATCATTATTCTCTCTATCCATTGAGAGCTGTTCAGATTGGCATTTGTATTACATTCAAAAAACAGTTTTTAAAATTATTATTATTTCAGCAAGATACCCCTCGTCAAATGTTTCATAATCCAAATATTGTAGTCTCATGATTAACTGGATAGCATGAGTATTTTCAGTCATCATCAATCTGATTTGTTGCGTTTAGTAGGTTGTACAATTGAAGTTTCCTGTTTTATATTGATCTAAAAACTTTAAGAAATCAGATACTAAGACTAATATTGAAATGTTTTTGAGTATTGAAAGATGTTTTAATCAAGACTGCTTAACTAATCTTGTTTGTCCACACAGAGAGTCTTAATTAACATTTGTGAACTAATCACAATCAACATGCTGTATTTATAAACCATCTTCTACATAGTGAGAGCTGATTGGCTTAGTGGTTTTATCTTAACTGTAAAAGCTGAGCTACAGATGTGACAAAAGTAGTGATAGAACCAAAACAGTATTGAGAGTGAGGAACTAGTTAAATAGATTTTATTAAATTTTGGTTTGTGGTTTTATACTTTTGACATCCATACAAATGCATTACTGTTATTTTATCATCTATATTTTACCATACGGTCCTTGTTTTTTTCTGTTGCAGCGTCCTCTCTCGCTGCTCCCACGCCGTGCTCGCGCTACTCTACCCCTTCACCTGGCAGCACACGTTCGTTCCCGTCTTACCTGCAAGTATGTTGGACATCAGCTGCTCTCCTACTCCCTTTCTCATCGGAGTGCTGTCCCCCTGTCTGCCAGAGCTGCTGGAGCTGCCCATCGAAGAGGTAATTCATCATTGTCTAAGACTGCTCCAGAGTTTTAAATCATTAAGAAGGTATTACGTTTTATTGAGCCAAATTTAGGCACTTAAAAGCTTTATATGTATCAAAATGGCCATTTGAGAGATTGTGGCAGTCAATGTTATACCTAGAATAAGAAGCAATGAAAATAATGTCTGTATTCTGCCTTTATTTCACCAGTATATTTCCTAAAGTGCAGTTATTTTAATCTTATGAAATTCATCTAACTAGTTTCCAGCTCTCAAACCGGTTAGACATCTTTAGATCTGATTCCCAGTAAAAAAGAGAGGATTACATGCTCGACCAATCAGCTCTCAGGCCAAAAGGTTAAATAGTGACATTACTTACTTACTTACTTACTTACTTACCACTAAAAACATGTACAATAGGTCTGGCATGCACCTCCTGTACTGTGACCTCACTCCCATTTCTGTGTGGAGAGGGAGACAAATGCCCAAAAATAACAATTGTAAAGCGCTCTGTCACTCTGGTCTAAGGCGCTGCTATATAATTAAAGATTATCTAAAAAGATTTAAAATATGTGACTTGTCAAATCCTGGATCTACCACATATTACTGGTGGTTTTTATTTATCAAGAATTACATTTAAGATAATTAAAATTACCCATGTGTATGAATCACTTAAAAAAAAAAATTTAAGGTTGCTTGAAAGGTATTAAACGAGACAACTAACACAAACACACTTCTTTGTGAGCTTCTAACCATGCCACAGCATTGTTCCCATATCAAAAACACAGCTGGATTGTTTTTAGGAACTTCAGGCCCAAATCTGTGACTCTACCTCCATCTAAAAATTCTTGTCTCGGTCCTCTTGTAGTATGATGTCATTGCACCCCTACGACATCATGGCAAGAGCAGTTTTCTAAAACACAAGTATTGCTCATAAATTAGTTTTAGTAAGTTCCGGTGAAATTACTTCTTCACAATCACCTGGCTCTGTACTTCTATGCTGTAAGTAGCAACCAAAAACAAATGCAACGCCACCTGGTGGTAGCATCGGGAGCTTCAGGTAAATTCCCCATCAATTCGATTCCTTTTTGTGTTGCCCTAAATCACAACAGCAGTCACTAATGTCAATAAATATCTATACATGTCCAGAGTGGAATTTTTCACCATATATTTTCTACTTAAAATATTCTTAAATATGGTCTTGTTATAATTTGAATGCACAAAATGAATACATGATATTCCTGCTTTATGTTGAGCTATCTACAATGTGCCTCCACTTTGTACTGGTTCTAGACTCTGTGAAAATGGAAAATAACTTCTTGAATCTGGCAGGTGCTGATTGTGGATCTGTGCTCCAACAAGTTTGTGGCTCAGGTGCGTACACATGTCTCTGCTCTGTGGGAATGACGGGTGTGGTCCCGGGCGTGGGTCGTCTTTGCCCACACACGTCTTGTATTGACTCAAGGATAATCCGACAGAAACGCTCCCATCTGACACACACTCACGCACTCACTCGGATCTTAACCTGGGGATTCACTGCCACCCTCAGGAATACAACATCAAACAATAAAACAAACGATAAGATCAATTTGCATGCTTCCCCTTTACATATTTTTGAAATTAGATGATGTTTTTTTTTTAGTTTCTTCATTACACTAACATAGACAAGGTTTTTTGTGTCAACAGAGACATTTTTTTTTTTGCTTCATCAGACACAAGCAAGCCCAGTTTACTTTGAGGTTTCTAGAGAGCGTTGAAAGCTTTAAAGTTGAGTAAAAATCAATCTCCAGACCATGGACTTCAGGCAGTCAGACCCATTGTTAGGGCCACTTTGTTTTTTTTTATACATTGTTTTCAAGTTTTTACCGTTAGCAAAATTTCCAAATTCAAAATCAGAACAAGGAAACAATTATAATGCAAAGGTAGAGATTACATTGAAAAATAATAAATAATTAATAAACAACAAATAATACTAATAACTATACTAATAATAAACTTAAGAGATGAAAAAAAGTCAAAAAGCTTACATCACACGCTTTTTAACATCCATTTGCCCTCACATTTTCACATTTTAATTTAAAATTAATTAACTATTGAACGATATTCCCTCCCTCCCTCTCTTCTTTCCTTCCTTCTTTCCTTTCACGGGCGTTATGAATTTTGGTTATGGCCGTAAGTGTTAAATTTAATTTGAGATTTAACACATACACTTATTGTATCTGGCCATCCTTGCATGCAAAAGCCAGATCCCGAAAGACCTCTGAAGTTGTATAGGCCAGTGCCTGGTTAGTTCTGTGATGGGAGACTTATGGGGAATTAGGGGACACAATGGGGCGACTGTAAAGTGCCAAACTGTTGTTGTGTCCTCAGGAAAGACACTTCACCCACATTGCAGTGTGTGTGTGTGTGGGTGTGTGGGTGTGTGGGTGTGTGGGTGTGTGGGTGTGTGTGTGTGTGTGTGTGTGTGTGTGTGAAAGGCCAATGGCACATATCTATTGCCTTGCTTCTGTCAGTGTGCCCCAGTAATTTATCACCACCATGTTTGGAATGAATAATGACATGTGAAGCGTCTTTCAGTGTCCAAAGAAGTGCTGTATCAAACAATGTATTATTATTATTATTATTATTATTATTATTATTACAACATCTGCTTTGCCTTGTGCTGCAGATCGGCGATGAAGACTGCATCCTGCCCAGCAAACTCCAGGCGGCGCTACAGCAGGTCCTGGAGGAGAGGGAAGCCATTCTGAGGCAGGACAGTCATGAAGGTTTGTCTGAACTAAATATAATATCTGAAAATTACAGGGAAGACCCAGCGAGGGACTTTAACACGTCTAAATGATGAGATAAACATCTGTGGTGTAAGCGGCCTGTTATTATGAGATCATCATCTTTCGGCTCAAATCTTATAATTAGAGACGGTTACTTTAATGTCTGCTTTTAATGGAGTGTTTAAAAAAATAAAATAAAAATGTATCTCTTAAAGGACACATGTAATACAAAATAATATGTTAGACCTTTAGACCCCAAAGTAGCAGAAGTGCAACATGAGCTGAATCCAGGACACTTTCTATACAGCAACCTGGCTTCACACAAAAACTTTCACACACAATTTTCCTGTATTTATTTGTTATTGTTTTTATTAGCCCTCTATCACAGTTTCAGGGCTCCCCTTTTTTTATAACCCGTTTCTCATCAAATTTCACATCAAAGTGGTCTTAAATCAAAATACCTACAGGTGAAAGTTTAGAAAATTAGAATATTGTTTGAATTTATCCATTTACTGTATAAAAACTAATATTTTATATTCTCGTTGCATGCAAAGTGAGATATATCAAGCATTTAACTGTTATAATGTCTAGCCCCAAATCAAAACAGCAACAGCAGTCATACAACCATAGACTGTATATTATATATATATATTCGCCGTTCATAGGAGTTGGCCATGAAAAGTGCTTTCATGGAGCAATCCAAGATGGCTGCGAGTGGTCCCGCCCACAAGAAAATTGTGAAAAAATGCATCTGCGCATGCGTCAGCCAGCGCAGCTCCATTCATTTGAACGAGAGACTTCAAAAATTCACCGCGAATAAACTAGAGTGGACCAAAAAAATCCACCCCCCTCAGCATTGACACACATGTGGAACGGAGCTTTGGGCCAAGAGCCAACTTTTGGTCCATCCTGTAAAGACGTTTTTGAGAGGTCTGCCAATGCTATATGTTAGCATTAGCTAATTCTTCTTCTGGGTCCACCCCCATCGGACCGGGGTGGTATTGTAAGCATGTCAGCGCACGTTATTTTGGCCACTTTTGAGCTGGGACCCGCCCCCACTGCTCGCAACTTCTCTAAATGATCCCAAAAAAGGCATACGTCCCTGCGCATGTAATGAGTCTATATCATTCAAGGGTTGAAATAAATGAACTAAAAAACAGTTCCACCTGTACTGTCCCTGTCCCTTTCTGTTTAAATGCCACATCTCAAATCTTGTTTCTCATCACAAGACTATCCCGTTGTTTGTTGTGCGGTCGCAGAGCCGGAGGTGGATCTGAGCTGCCTGGTGTCCGAGGCCTTTGTGCGTTTCTTTGTGGAGCTGGTGGGACACTACCCTCTGCACATGGTGGAGTCGTCCAGCGGCAAAGAACTTCACAGAGAGAACTTCAGGAAGTCCCACCCGTCTCGCGGAGTGAGGCAGCTCCTGCAACTCTTTATGGAGACGCAGATGTTTGCCGGCTTCATCCAGGACAAGGAGATGCGGAAAGGAGCCGAACGAGGTAATCCCCGGGCTGTGAAGAGAGCATTATGAGAAACTGGAGAGGATTTTACTGTTATTTTTTAATGATTTGTTCACACCAAATGAGATGTGTGCAAATTAGATGGCCTTTCTTTTTTTCTTTTTTACGACTGAAATATGTATTATGTTTTTAATTATACAGGGGAGGGGAAGGTGGGGGGCAGGAGGGGAGGGAGGAATGAAAAAATATACAGCAATTAAAAGTAAAGCAAGCAAGTACAGTAATAAAGTAAATCAAAACCATGAAGGGGGAGATGAGAAGATATATATATACTTCAAACACATGATACACCCATATTCCTAACAAAAATAAAATAAATAAAAATAGAGCAGTGGCCTTTGAGCCTGGAGGTTGTGAGTTCAATTCCCACCATGGGACCTATTCCAACTGCTCCCACTGATGTCTACTGTCGTTGTGTCCTTGGGCAAGACACTTAACCCCACGTTGCCTGAAGCCCCCGCTGAAAGACCAAGGCTGTTTCACCACTGACAGAGCAGCCATCTTCCTGTGGACTCACCCCCTGCAGAGGATCAGAGGGACTGGTGCTATGAGCATTGGGTGGCAGCTCTCATTGCCACACCCCCTGACCCACAACAAAGGGCTTGAAAATGAAATGAAATTAAATTAAATGAAAAATAATGTAATAATAATGCAAGGGTTATTGTAAGGGTCCTATTTTTTTGTCTGAAAAAGCAGATCTAAAGATGTGACAACAGGCATACATGTGAAAACTAGAGATGGGACTTGTCCAAACTGTTTTTGAGCCAAGAACGAGATAGATGGATATCATGTTTGTAGTTTGGTACCCCAGCTTTACTGTCTTTATTGTTAAAAATCTTGCTCATGCCCTCGTTTCTCCAGGTCTTTTTGAGATGCGGGTGATGGAGTACCTGGAGTCGTACCCAGAGTCTGCGCCCAGTGGAGTGAACAAGTTCTTCAAAGGACTGGGTAAGTGGCATCTGCTCCAAACACAAACAAAATAAGTGTCATTGTAATGTCATTATCATGTTCTCTGTTGCTTCCCAGGAAACAAGATGAAGCTCTTGCAGATTAAATGAGACTTTTTCCCTGCGAGGAGGAGTTTGCTGACCGGTGAATTCCAGGGAGTGTGAAGAAAGGCCACTTTTCAGTAAAGAAATACCAAGAATTTCCAATCGCTATTACCTGAAATTTTCTTTAGGGCATTTTCAGGCTTGTGGAACCATTATCATGCATTATGATTAGCCTGGGTGGACCAGACAGAAAATCAGCATGTTTAGAGTTTTTTTCCATAAATGTCTGGTTCTAGTGGATGGTGCTGTAAGTGCAAACCAACTGCATCACACTTCTCCCCACTATTTTGTTCAGAGCTCAGACATGTGTTTTGTTGTTGTAAATTAAGTTACAGCGTTTTAGTTGTTTTTAGAAGGGATTTCCTGAGGACTGTATGGAAAAATCCTTTGTAAATACTCACTTATGTACATTTCATTTTTTCTATATTATTTTTTATTCAAAGTTCATTTCAAATTTCTCGAGACATTTCTCCCTCTCTTTAGAGTGTCTTCCTGTGCATGTAAATACATGTAGATTCCCCATAATATTGAAAAGGATTGTACAGTATTTTTAATATTTTTGTAAGAAAGTGCAAGGACTCCTGTTAAGTCTGTAAATAAATGAGGGTCTAAGTACTCTGTTCTGGGGCTCATTTATTGAAGTAAAAAATGTTGTATTGTAATGTTTCTTCTGTTGTCAGAGATGATCAGTAAGTACGTTAGGCACACAAAGGATATACCGGTAGGTCAAGTCGTGTCTGGTTTTACTGAGAGCATACAGCGTGGGTGATATTTTTGATAATTTATTGCAGCCCTTTCTCTACTCGTGTTGCAAAGAATTACTGTCACACATTTTGTCTAAGTTTGACACCCAGGTGTTTTCCTGCCACTCGAGACCATAGATTGTACAATAGAAGCCTCCACACTGATCTGGTGCCTGGACTGGAGGGCCTGAGCCGTCTGGTGGAACCGGTTTTCAACAAACTCATTCAAATTCCCTGTGCATACTGGTGTCTTCAGTCATTTTGAGTCTTTTGTTAGCATTGAATTCATTGACATCCAACACTCAGTTTGTTTGACTGGAATGACATTGGATTAGAATAGAACAAGTTCAAAAATAGTAATTGGATAGTCATCCTTTTTTTTAACCAAATTCAGGAAAACAAATCTATTTAAAACCAGTATTACAATCAAGTCTGATTATATAAAATAGTTAAGTGTTTATGCAGAGAGTAGGATACAAACCACCCGGTCACTTTACAGGACTTTACAATACTTGTACTTACCACTTGAGGGCGCTGTTATCATGGGTTCATTTGGTAACTTTATATTCTTGCTCCTGGTGCAGTTCTTACCTCGGTCCCCTCAGACCACTGTCACTGAATGCAATAGTGCTGTATTTTAAGATCCTTATCTGGTGAGGATTAGTTGGAGAGACAAGACTGTTATGTTTGTATAATCTCTGGGTTCCTGGGAGTCAGTGGGAGTGGGAGTTTCTGGCAGTCAAATACAGATGCAAACAGGTCATGGCCTTCGGTGCCCGCACTGATACTTTTATCTATGGTTCCTCGACACTTTTATTCTTTGTCTCAAAGTTAAATTATTTCACCACATTTGATAAGATACAAGCACCAGACTTCCAGGACTTTTTGGCACTTCAGCGCTGCAGCCAATGTATACATTTGTATTGCAGTAGAGCATGGGGGTCAAAGTCAATGCCCAGGAGCCAGATCCGGCCCGCAAATGAATTATATTGGTCTCCAGGATGATATTTGATTAGTATTATAACAAATATTGGATTCAGCCAAAAGAAACAACATGAAAACATGACAAAATGCGAAACTTGTGGATTCACCTAGATTTGCTCAGATGTTGTTTGGTCGGGCTTTGCAAATGATCCATTATCAGCTAATTGGTCATTGTAATGTGAGAAGATTAGAAAGACTTATTTGATTTTAAATACAAAAACATTGTTGGGAATGACTTTTCACTATCCATGCCAAATGTGACCTGTAAACTTCTCCAGTGTGAGATCAATAAACTCCATCTTATCTTATATTATTAGTAATGACTGCAGAATCATTTTAGTTTCAGTTTCAGCTGGTGGTTTGTCATGACTTTATTCTTTTCAATGAAGCCACGGCTCAAAAGGGTTGGAGAACACTGATATAGACCTGGCCGCCATTTCCAGATAGCCAATCAGCCCCAAACACATTTTTTGATATTTTTGCAAGCGTTCCTGTTGGGATTTAGAATGGAGAATTTTACTTCCAGATATTACAAACTCCGCCCACTTCACAGCTCAATATCACAATCATATCATCATATTTCAATGTAAGAAATGACCAATGAGGATCCGTGGGTAAATAATGTAGAAAGCAAAAAGGTCAGAAGTAAAAAACATGAGATAAACGCAAACAAAAAGCAGGTTCTTCACCACGACAGCAGTAAACGAATCTTCTCAAACATTTGTTTAAAGTAGAGCTGTAGAGCGTATGCAGGCTGTCCCTCTGGATTTTTGTTAATAATTTAAGTTTTTTGTTCAATATTCTGTCTCATGGAGCATAAAAATTATATTAATCTTTTTCTTAATTTATTCAAATCCCTTGTTTTTGGCGTTTAATGCTACTGTGGTAAATAACACAAAGATGCACAAAAAGCAAAACAAGATTTGACCTCTATCAGCTGTTTCTTTGACAATGCACTGGTCTATTTGGATCCATCGTTCAAACATTGAAGGAGTACATCTGTCACACCAGCTTTTACAGTTTTATCACAAGATGAACACAATCCTCATAAACAAATCAGGCCTTATCAAGAACCAATTTAAAACAACAGGGAAACGGAAACAAAATATTCTTCACAGGGTTGAAAATTCTCAAGAGATGATTTCACCTGTAAACAATAGAAGTACTTGTGATAAAAATACAATGCTTCCTCAGTGCACTTGACCAAGGCTACGAAGGCATATTACTGGAAGACATAAATGTGGCCGGGGCTGTAAAAAATAAATGAATAACCGAGTGACAAACTGGAAAATCCATCCCAATATGTTAATATGTATGAGGAGGGTTGCCTTTTATCACAGTACTCAGACTTCTTAGTAATGTTGGTCTATGGCACATCAAAGGGCAAATCAGAGCGCAAATTTGCTACAAGCCGAGGGCCGGACTGGTTCAATGTTTATTAAAACATAAAATGAAGCTACCTATTCAACCAAGACCTGACACAGAGTACTGTATTTTACTTAATGATTAAATTAATAATCCAATATTTTCTTTTATGGCTTTGTCAGTCATTTCAAGTAAAAACATTTTCCAATAGGCTCAAAGAAAAAATCAAAATTCCATCAAAGAGAAAACACGTCCATTAAATGAGTAATCCAATATTTTCTTCCGGCTCTGTGGGGCTGGTTTTAACACTAATCAAATATCATTGGGCATTGACTTTGACACTCATGGTCTATGGGATACGTTCTTATATTTAACCTCTTTGAGCTGCATTGGACAGATAAGATCAAATTTCCCTGTAATGGAGCAGAGTCCATTACTATAGGTGTTCACAGGTGAGGGGAATGAGACACTCAAATGTTTTGAAGAAAGTTTATTAAAGATTGAGTTTTAATGCAAAGAGGGTTCCGGGTGCATCCACTCTGCAGAGAGGAGGGGTGTCCTGGCTTTTATTTTTCTTATTTAGTAATGTTGTAGAATAAATCACTGCTAAATTAATAAAGAGATGTAATTTTTAGAGGATAGATTCACGGCTTTAATTATTGCTGTATTTTTTTGGTATTTTGTGGATTTTGAGCTTCAGTGGGTGTGGCCTAATTACTGTCACCTGCTATAAAAGCAGGCCACCAACTCTGAGCAGGAGGGTGTGCTGGTGAACATGCTGTCCTGATTTTAACACAAAAATGTAAATATTGTAAATAAACTTTCACCGGATCTGCACTGGAAGCTGCCTCTGCGTAACTTTGTTCCTCCTAACATCCTCATAAGTGCCATCCTGACATGACAAGTGTCACAATTGGTGTCAGAAGCTGGGCCCGCGATCCAACAAAGTAACAGGAGATGGCGACAAGGATGAAGAAAGTGCAGACTGAGCAACGAGCTGATCCTGATGAGGGATCGTCAGCACCTGTGGAGCCGGGGGTGGATGCAATTAGCAGCTCTGGAGAAAGGTTTGAAGAACTGGCGGGACTGGTGAAGTCTTTAGCAAAAACCCAGGCAGCCAGAGAGAAGACTTTGGAAAAGGAAGCTGCAAAACATGAATTGAGATGGAAGAGCATGCAACACCAAATTCAAGAAGTGCAGTCTTTGGTAAATCAAGCCGTCCAAAGAAGAGCTGATTATGACCCTGACTTGGATCCTGCCATAAAATGAATCTGGGAATGAAGAAGGTGCAAGTTATGCTGACCACCGATATTACAGAGAGCAAGTCATTCACAGAGAGCCAAAATTGCTACCCTTAGCACCAGACGATGATATTGAACATTTTCTGACAACTTTTGAAAGAATGGCACAGGTCTGCAGATGGCCAAGAGATGAGTGGGCTCTCCGCCTAGTGACATTATTGACTGGTAAAGCCCGCAGTGCATATGTGCTTATGGACATGACAGATTCAGAAGATTATGACAAAGTGAAAGCAGCAATTTTGGCAAAATATGAGATTACAACTGAAACTTATCGACAAAGATTTCGTTCCACTGAAATATTCCCTGATGAGACTCCGAGAGAACTGTATGTGCGACTGAAGGACGTGTTTTCCAAATGGGTGAAACCTGAAAAATCTACAAAACAAGAGATGTCAGAGACTTTGATCTTGGAACAGTTTTTAAGAATGGTGAGCCCAGAGCTTCAAGTGTGGATCCGTGAACGTGACCCTAAGACAGCGGAGAAAGCGGCAGAGATGGCAGAGGTCTTCTTGGCTGCAAGGAAAGGATCCAACAACGCCACCTATGGACGCAATGCTCCAAGACTTCAAAGAGGCCAGACCGAGAACATGGATTCAGAGATCAAGCCCAAAGTAAGTCCTATAGGGGTGAAATGAGGTTTGGTCAAAATAGGCAGTTTAGAGAAAATGATTATCAAAAGTCAAATTTTGCTAACCACTCGCAAAAACGCAATAAAGAAGTCAGATGTTACCTATGTAATGGCTTAGGAAACACCCAATATTCAAGTGAATTAGCAAATAAGTCTTCTCTTTACTGTGCAGTGCCTAGACCTGTCGTGAACAGCCATATGGCTAATACTCAGAAAGCTTTAACTGTCCCTGTATTGATTAATGGTCACCATACTACAGCACTGTTAGATACGGGGGGTTCCAAACGATAGTTGTGTCCAGTTTGGTGTCAAGGGAAAAATGGGGGGAGGACAAAACCAATATTAGCTGTGTTCATGGGGATGAACACCAGTATCCTATGGCAGATGTGTATTTAACTGTTGGAGGTCAAACATTTCTAATTCCCGTGGCATTAGCCCTAAATTTACCATTTGATGTCATTCTGCGGGTCATGATTTGCCAATATTGATAGATTTAGTGCATGAGTCAGAAAACTCACCTGTAAACTGGCCTGAGAAAAGTAGAGGCGCCTGCTGCTTATAACATGGTTATTACCAGAGCAAAGGCTGCTCAGGACTCTTTACAAGAGCTTCCATTCTGGGGTGAAGATCTCGAACCAGGAATAGGGAAACCAGTCAAATCAAAAGCACAGAAAAGAAGGGAAAAGTTGAAAAGGCACAGTATACAAACAGACAGAAAAGCAAACCGAAACTTATGCAACCAGTTGAGTTTCAGCTTCCTCCTGATGTTGCTACTTTACAAAAAGATGAATGTAACTTTAAACGAGTGGTTTAAAAAAGTAACCAGATGTTGAAGGGGTTAAACGGGGTAATCTTGTGGTTTAGAGGAGGCAACATTTGTCATTAAAGGTGGAATCTTGTATCAATGCAAAGGAACTGTTGAAGCCTTGGCCTTGCCTCAAAAGTTCAGAAACCCAAGTAATGGAGCTGGGACATTCTGTGCCATGGGCTGGACACATGGCTTTCCAGAAAACTTTATGTCAGAATTGCGAGCAGATTCTGTGTGCGGTGGCATGTACACAACCAAATTTCTAACTTTTGTAATTCTTGTGAAATATGCCAACTTTACCTCTTCTCTCCGCAAAGTCCCTCAAGCAATGTTGCAACCTCTACCCATCATTGAAACTCCTGTTGAGAGAATTGGTATGGACATAGTGGGGCCTTTAGAACGAAGCAGTGCAGGTCACAGATTCATTTAGTTCTGTGCGACTATGCAACACGGTATCCCGAAGCGTTTCCACTAAAAACAATACAAGGCCCAGAAATGTTGCTAACTGTTTGTTACAAATGTTCTCTAGAGTGGGGATACCAGGGAGGTTTTGACGGACTGTGGGACAAACTTCATGTCTAAATTATAACGACAGGTTTATAAAGCTACTAGGTATTAAAGGGAATTAAAGACCACCCCATACCACCCCCAGACGGACGGGCTAGTTGAGCGGTATAACCAAACTCTGAAAAATATGCTGCGGAAGTTTGTTTCTAACACAGGAGCAGACTGGGACAGTGGTTGCCGTACCTGTTGTTTTCCTACCGCCAGAAGTCCACAGGCCTAACGGGTTTCTTCCATTTGAAACTTCTCTATGGACGCGAGGTGAGGGGGCCGCTTGACCTACTCAAAGAAACTACTGGGAGAATCCAACCCCTCGGGAGAGACGTCGTGGCCTATGTAGTTAAGTTGAGGCCAACGTCCTTGGAGGAAATGTCTGAGCTGACAAGAGGAATTTGAAGATGCTCAACAAAACCAGAAAGTGTGGTACGACGCAAAGCCAGAGAACAGAGCTTCAAACCAGGTCAAAAGGTTTCCTACTCTTCCCACCTCCGATAGCAAGCTCTGTCTAAATGAATATGGCCCATATGAAAACACAACAGAAGTGGTGAGCTCACATATGAACTGATTATGCCTGAGCAGAACCAAAAAGCATCAGATATTCCATGTGAATTTGCTGAAAGAATTTTTTTTCTCGTCCGTGTATCTGTCCCTCAGCTGTTGATCGGTGTTGCAAGACGTAAGAAACCCCAGAGAAGTTTACACTGGAAGTTCTGGTGTGAGTATCTGTGTAGATACGTTCACATCTGTCTATCTCTCAGCAGAAAGAGGTGACTCCCATCATTGACCAGGCTCTTCAAAGAAAACTCCTGGTTACACAGACCTGTGTCCAGCACAACATCGGCTGAAGACTGAGGCGCCGCCACGTCAGAAGAGCTAACCAGAATCCGAGCGACTAGTGCCAGTGCTGAAAAAAGGAAATCGAAATGATGCTGGAACTGGGTATAATTGAGGTATCAGTAGTGAATGGTGTAGTCCAGTGGTGCTTGTACAAAGAAAGATGGGACTTCTGAGCATTTTGCATAGCTTTCGGTACCTGGAATTCTGTTTCACTGTGTCCCCCCCCCCGACCCTTACCCAATGCCCAGGATTGATGAGCTGGTGGAGCGAGTGGGAAAAGCCAAATACTCACCACTTAGACATGGCAAAGGCTACTGCGGATAGTGGCGCTGTCTCCTGAGGTCCATGAAGTGACGGCCTTCAGAACTCCATTGGTATGTACCAATTTCGGTGTTATGCCATTTGGACTCCAGGGGGGCGCCAGCCACTTTTCAGAGGGCTTATGGACTATGTGGCTGAGAGATGTTTCAGAGTTCGCGGCGGCATATCTGGACGATGCGTTATCTACAGCCGAAACTGGGAGAACACAGGCCTCATCTCCAAGGGTCTGAGCGCATTAATGCCGCTGGCCTTACTATTAAACCCGCAGAAATGCTGTTTTGGCGCAGAGAGAAGTAGAGTACTCGGTTTTGTGATCGGCCACTGGAAGCTCCGACCACAGGTGGGGATAATGGAGGCATTCATTCGTTCCCCCGTCCCCACAACCAAAGAAGAATGTAAAGGAGTTTCCTCGGTCTGGTGGGCTGGTACAGAAAATTTGTCCTCACTTTTCAGATCGCTCGGCATGTTCTTCTTGATCTCACCAAAGCCACGGCCCCAAGAAAGGTGAGATGGAGTGATCGTTGTGAAGGCTTTCAGGAGATCTCAAAGAGTCTTTATTGAGCCACCAGTACTGCAAACCCTGATTTTCAACCAACCCTTCATTCTACAAACTGATGCATCAGGAGTAGGTTCGGGGGGAGTTTTGCTGCAGGGGTGGATGGAGAGAGGAGACCAGTGGATTTTTTAAGTGTAATGGAGCAGAGTCCATTACTATAGGTGTTCACAGGTGAGGGGAATGAGACACTCAAATGTTTTGAAGAAAGTTTATTAAAGATTGCAGTTTTAATGCAAAGAGGGTTCCGGGTGCATCCACTCTGCAGAGAGGAGGGGTGTCCTGGCTTTTATTTTTCTTATTTAGTAATATTGTAGAATAAATCACTGCTAAATTAATAAAGAGATGTAATTTTTAGAGGATAGATTCACGGCTTTAATTATTGCTGTATTTTTTTGTATTTTGTGGATTTTGAGCTTCAGTGGGTGTGGCCTAATTACTGTCACCTGCTATAAAAGCAGGCCACCAACTCTGAGCAGGAGGAGTGCTGGTGGACATGCTGTCCTGATTTTAACACAAAAATGTAAATAATGTAAATAAACCTTCACCGGATCTGCACTGGAAGCTGCCTCTGCGTAACTTTGTTCCTCCTAACATCCTCATAAGTGCCGTCCTGACATGACAAGTGTCACAATTGGTGTCAGAAGCTGGGCCCGCGATCCAACAAAGTAACAGGAGATGGCGACAAGGATGAAGAAAGTGCAGACTGAGCAACGAGCTGATCCTGATGAGGGATCGTCAGCACCTGTGGAGCCGGGGGTGGATGCAATTAGCAGCTCTGGAGAAAGGTTTGAAGAACTGGCGGGACTGGTGAAGTCTTTAGCAAAAACCCAGGCAGCCAGAGAGAAGACTTTGGAAAAGGAAGCTGCAAAACATGAATTGAGATGGAAGAGCATGCAACACCAAATTCAAGAAGTGCAGTCTTTGGTAAATCAAGCCGTCCAAAGAAGAGCTGATTATGACCCTGACTTGGATCCTGCCATAAATGAATCTGAGAATGAAGAAGGTGCAAGTTATGCTGACCACCGATATTACAGAGAGCAAGTCATTCACAGAGAGCCAAAATTGCTACCCTTAGCACCAGACGATGATATTGAACATTTTCTGACAACTTTTGAAAGAATGGCACAGGTCTGCAGATGGCCAAGAGATGAGTGGGCTCTCCGCCTAGTGACATTATTGACTGGTAAAGCCCGCAGTGCATATGTGCTTATGGACATGACAGATTCAGAAGATTATGACAAAGTGAAAGCAGCAATTTTGGCAAAATATGAGATTACAACTGAAACTTATCGACAAAGATTTCGTTCCACTGAAATATTCCCTGATGAGACTCCGAGAGAACTGTATGTGCGACTGAAGGACGTGTTTTCCAAATGGGTGAAACCTGAAAAATCTACAAAACAAGAGATGTCAGAGACTTTGATCTTGGAACAGTTTTTAAGAATGGTGAGCCCAGAGCTTCAAGTGTGGATCCGTGAACGTGACCCGAAGACAGCGGAGAAAGCGGCAGAGATGGCAGAGGTCTTCTTGGCTGCAAGGAAAGGATCCAACAACGCCACCTATGGACGCAATGCTCCAAGACTTCAAAGAGGCCAGGACCGAGAACATGGATTCAGAGATCAAGCCCAAAGTAAGTCCTATGGGGGTGAAATGGGGTTTGGTCAAAATAGGCAGTTTAGAGAAAATGATTATCAAAAGTCAAATTTTGCTAACCACTCGCAAAAACGCTATAAAGAGGTTAGATGTTACCTATGTAATGGCTTAGGCCATACCCAATATTCATGTCAATTAGCAAATAAGTCTTCTCTTTACTGTGCAGTGCCTAGACCTGTCGTGCACAGTCATATGGCTAATACTCAGAAAGCTTTAACTGCCCCTGTACTGATTAATGGTCACCATACTACAGCACTGCTGGATACGGGGGGGTTCCAAACGATAGTGGTGTCCAGTTTGGTGTCAAGGGAAAAATGGAGGGAGGACAAAACCAATATTAGCTGTGTTCATGGGGATGAACACCAGTATCCTATGGCAGATGTGTATTTAACGGTTGGAGGTCAAACATTTCTAATTCCTGTGGCATTAGCCCCAAATTTACCATTTGATGTGATTCTCGGTCATGATTTGCCAATATTGATAGATTTAGTGCATGAGTCAGAAAACTCACCTGTAAACTGGCCTGGAAAAGTAGAGGCGCCTGTTGCTTATAACATGGTTATTACCAGAGCAAAGGCTGCTCAAGAGTCTTTACAAGAGTTGCCCTTTTGGGGTGAAGATCTCGAACCAGGAATAGGGAAACCAGTCAAATCAAAAGCACAGAAAAGAAGGGAAAAGTTGAAAGGCACAGTATACAAACAGACAGAAAATCAAACCGAACTTATGCAACCAGTTGAGTTTCAGCTTCCTCCTGATGTTGCTACTTTACAAAAAGATGATGTAACTTTAAACGAGTGGTTTAAAAAAGTAACAGATGTTGAAGGGGTTAAACGGGGTAATCTTGGAGGTTTAGAGGAGGCAACATTTGTCATTAAAGGTGGAATCTTGTATCAATGCAAAGGAACTGTTGAAGCCTTGGCCTTGCCTCAAAAGTTCAGAACCCAAGTAATGGAGCTGGGACATTCTGTGCCATGGGCTGGACACATGGCTTTCCAGAAAACTTTATGCAGAATTGCGAGCAGATTTGTGTGGCCAGGCATGTACAACCAAATTTCTAACTTTTGTAATTCTTGTGAAATATGCCAACTTACCTCTTCTCGCAAAGTCCCTCGAGCAATGTTGCAACCTCTACCCATCATTGAAACTCCTTTTGAGAGAATTGGTATGGACATAGTGGGGCCTTTAGAACGAAGCAGTGCAGGTCACAGATTCATTTTAGTTCTGTGCGACTATGCAACACGGTATCCCGAAGCGTTTCCACTAAAAACAATCAAGGCCAGAAATGTTGCTAACTGTTTGTTACAAATGTTCTCTAGAGTGGGGATACCAAGGGAGGTTTTGACGGACTGTGGGACAAACTTCATGTCTAAATTATTACGACAGGTTTATAAGCTACTAGGTATTAAGGGAATTAAGACCACCCCATACCACCCCCAGACGGACGGGCTAGTTGAGCGGTATAACCAAACTCTGAAAAATATGCTGCGGAAGTTTGTTTCTAACACAGGAGCAGACTGGGACCAGTGGTTGCCGTACCTGTTGTTTTCCTACCGCGAAGTCCCACAGGCCTCAACGGGGTTCTCTCCATTTGAACTACTCTATGGACGCGAGGTGAGGGGGCCGCTTGACCTACTCAAAGACTACTGGGAGAATCCAACCCCCTCGGGAGAGAACGTCGTGGCCTATGTAGTTAAGATGAGGCAACGCTTGGAGGAAATGTCTGAGCTGGCACAAGAGAATATGAAGACTGCTCAACAAAACCAGAAAGTGTGGTACGACCGCAAAGCCAGAGAACGAAGCTTCAAACCAGGTCAAAAGGTTCTCCTACTCCTTCCCACCTCCGATAGCAAGCTCCTGTCTAAATGGTATGGCCCATATGAAATCACAAAGAAAGTGGGTGAGCTCACATATGAACTGTTTATGCCTGACAGAACCAAAAAGCATCAGAAATTCCATGTGAATTTGCTGAAAGAATTTTTTTCTCGTCCAGTATCTGTCCCTCAGCTGTTGATCCGGTCTGTGCAAGACGAAGAAACCCCAGAGAAGTTTACACCTGGAAGTCTGGGTGAGTCATCTGTGTTAGATACGTCACATCTGTCTATCTCTCAGCAGAAAGAGGTGACTCCACTCATTGACCCAGGGCTCTTCAAAGAAACTCCTGGTTACACAGACCTGGTACAGCACAACATCCGGCTGAAGACTGAGGCGCCGCCACGTCAGAAGAGCTACAGAATCCCGGAGCGACTAGTGCCAGTGCTGAAAAAGGAAATCGAAATGATGCTGGAACTGGGTATAATTGAGGTATCCAGTAGTGAATGGTGTAGTCCAGTGGTGCTTGTACCAAAGAAAGATGACTCTCTGAGATTTTGCATAGACTTTCGGTACCTGAATTCTGTTTCACTGTGTGACCCTTACCCAATGCCCAGGATTGATGAGCTGGTGGAGCGAGTGGGAAAAGCCAAATACATCACCACTTTAGACCTGAGCAAAGGCTACTGGCAGGTGGCGCTGTCTCCTGAGGTCCATGAATTGACGGCCTTCAGAACTCCATTTGGTATGTACCAATTTCGAGTTATGCCATTTGGACTCCAGGGGGCGCCAGCCACTTTTCAGAGGCTTATGGGACTATGTGCTGAGAGATGTTTCAGAGTTCGCGGCGGCATATCTGGACGATGTCGTTATCTACAGCCGAAACTGGGAAGAACACATGGCTCATCTCCAAGGAGTCCTGAAGCGCATTAAAGCAGCTGGCCTTACTATTAACCCGCAGAAATGCTGTTTGGCGCAGAGAGAAGTAGAGTACCTCGGTTTTGTGATCGGCCATGGGAAGCTCCGACCACAGGTGGGGAAAATGGAGGCAATCCATTCGTTCCCCGTCCCCACAACAAAGAAGAAAGTAAAGAGTTTCCTCGGTCTGGTGGGCTGGTACCAAAAATTTGTTCCTCACTTTTCAGATCGCTCGGCTGTTCTTCATGATCTCACCAAAGCCACGGCCCCAAGAAAGGTGAGATGGAGTGATCATTGTGACCAGGCTTTCAGCGATCTCAAAGAGTCAATTAATGAGCACACAGTACTGCAAACCCCTGATTTCAACCAACCCTTCATTCTACAAACTGATGCATCAGGAGTAGGTCTGGGGGGAGTTCTGCTGCAGGAGGTGGATGGAGAAAGGAGACCAGTGGCTTTTTTAAGTAGAAAACTGCTGGACAGAGAGACAAGGTATTCAACAGTAGAGAAAGAGTGCTTGGCCATGAAGTGGGCAATTGAGTCGCTGAGGTACTACTTGATGGGGCGTCACTTCAGCTTGGAAACTGACCACCGTGCTCTTCAGTGGCTCCACAAGATGAAAGACTCAAACACCAGAATTGCTGGGTGGTACCTGGTGCTACAGCCGTATAACTTCACTGTTTACTACAAGGCCGGCAAGTGCAATACAGTTGCTGATGCTCTCTCTAGGGTTCATGAAATTTAGAAGTACTGCACCCTTAAGAGAGGGGGGAGGAAATGTAATGGAGCAGAGTCCATTACTATAGGTGTTCACAGGTGAGGGGAATGAGACACTCAAATGTTTTGAAGAAAGTTTATTAAAGATTGAGTTTTAATGCAAAGAGGGTTCCGGGTGCATCCACTCTGCAGAGAGGAGGGGTGTCCTGGCTTTTATTTTTCTTATTTAGTAATGTTGTAGAATAAATCACTGCTAAATTAATAAAGAGATGTAATTTTTAGAGGATAGATTCACGGCTTTAATTATTGCTGTATTTTTTTGGTATTTTGTGGATTTTGAGCTTCAGTGGGTGTGGCCTAATTACTGTCACCTGCTATAAAAGCAGGCCACCAACTCTGAGCAGGAGGGTGTGCTGGTGAACATGCTGTCCTGATTTTAACACAAAAATGTAAATATTGTAAATAAACTTTCACCGGATCTGCACTGGAAGCTGCCTCTGCGTAACTTTGTTCCTCCTAACATCCTCATAAGTGCCATCCTGACATGACAAGTGTCACATTCCCACAAACACGATTAAGATTAAGATTAAGATTAAGAGATCCTTACTTTGTCCCTCAGTGGGGAAGTTTCAGTATCGCATCACCGGATACAGAACAGTAGGAATGAGGAGCACACAACACAAGATACATGGACAATAACCCTATACTAAAATAAAACAAATAAAAACTAACTTAGCATAATAATCAAGGAAATCTAAAATATCTAACTTTAGTATGATGAAGAAGCAAGATTTAAAGGAGCAGTGTGTACAAATGTGGCCAAAATTGGTACTGCAACCTCTCCAACTCTCCCTGACTCAGGTTTCCAGATATGCAGATGAATCCAGCTGGAACCATAAAAATAATTACTGAATAGGCAAGAGTTTTATCAACAACAAATCTTAAACCAACTCCTTTTTCACAAAGATAGAATGTTTAATTCCTTGTTTTGTCATTATTGATTTGAGAATCATAACAAGACCTTTTTTGCCACATGTCACATGTTACTTTACCATGAGATTAGCCCGACGCAGTGAGTTCTGGCAAAGTGATGGATCTGTCTATCTCTTGAATGCTATACTGAAATTAATTATTCAGACAATGTGAGAAACAGAAAAGAAATGAAAAATTTACACCCAGAGTCAAGCTTTCCTTTTTGAACACCCAGTTTTTCCATTGTGCTCCTTGTGACATTTACAGCATACTGGAATCATATGAATTATCAGACTGCACAGGCATATTACAGTAGTTGGCCCAAAAGGTCAAGGATAGACTTAAATATATCATTTATAACTTGAACCACTCATGTGCAATTATAGTACAGCAAAGATGCCTGAATGTGACGCCTGGGGCAAATGGGAAGTTCTTTGCATCATCCACCACACCCAGAAGCCTTCTCTCTCTCTTATGTTTACACAGGCCGATCCCGTCTCTTGACTCCACCCTCCCATGGCATGTCACTTTTTGTATAGCCTTAAGATATCAGCATGTCCCACCTTAAGCCTCCCCCAGCCTCATTGCCTGTTGGACTCTATTCTTGTAATATATTTGTGATACAGATGAGTTTGACTCATGTGTAGCTTCACAATTTGCACCTTCCTTTAATCTAGAGTTGTGTTTGTTACAGGTGTGGACCACTCAGAGCTGTTTACTCGGGCATACGTTATCACAAAGTCTTAATGCAATGAAAATATGCATGGATAAAGTTTATGATTGGTCCTGAGAGGAGAAACCAGAGGGAACCTACAGGTAAGGGTAGAACATGCAAACTCAATCTCCAGACTCTCTTGCTATAAGGCGCGAGCAATGGTCACAAAGGGAATAACCAGGAGCAAACAGTCATATAGATGTCAACAGAACTTTAAACGCAAAACTGCTGGTGTTAACAGATTTCACAGAAGTTCATCTTATACTGAGTTTTCTGCCCCCAGTGTTGTTTTTGAATCCTCATTATCTTTCACAACATGGTTTCTGGACTGTCTTCGTGCTCTCCGTACGCTCTTGCACACACTGCTCTTTGAGGTTAATCCACAGATTTACTATTGTGTGTACAAGTCTAGGTCAGGTGATAATGAAAGCCTATGCGACATTCTCAGCTTGTGTCTCTTTCTCGCTGATGATGCAAAATTACTTACAAAGTTGTTGGATCCAGTCTGATTCTTAACAGTTGGACAGCTGCTCTCTTCATTAAATTCTGCATCTTTCTTCTCCATATGTGCCTGTAATGATTCCAGATTATCCAAAACATATGACATGTCTAAATACTCATTTGGGCATGTAGGAGAAACCTTTTCCTGGGGACTCTTCCATAAAGACCATATTTATTTGTGCATAATTAAGAAGTGTCTTCAAGATCTTTTTGAGGGATTTTCCTGATCGACCCCTTTATTTTTTGTTATTTACCTGTTATTTTCCTGCAGAATTCTCCTTCTTTGTGAGCATCATTCAGGGTTAGGGGACTGCTTTGAGTAATGTATGTCTGCAGATTGTCAAGAAAAATGGGGTCTAGCTTTGAAATCAAACCAGAAAGAAAGGGCTATAACTGTGAAAAAAAACCATGGTCTTATCAAGTTAAGAAAAGTCTTATCTTTAAACAGATCCCTCAGTTGGATTCAGGCTGTTTAGAGCTTTAGGAGCTATTGCATGAACATGTGATTTACTGATGGAGCTAAAGTTGCCAGAATGATGATTGTTTATTATTTCACTAACTCATAACCAAGGTGTGGATTCTAAGATGTTGAGTTATTCCCTAACCCTCACCATTAATCCTTTAAAATGAGGTATATCATGCTTATCATACATTTTTGGCAATATGAATCAATTTGTCTTACCAGACTTGATTTAGAATAGAGTTCTTCTGAGACCGCACCATTGTACAGTCCAATACTTGAACATATTGTCCCTCATACATTTTGTCACATTTACTTTTTAGTGACCAGGATTATGGACAGATTTATAGTTTTTTCTAGTGTTTTGACGTTTTTTGAGTTATTTTTAAATCGATGTGGTTATTGAACAACTGGAGGAAAAGTCACCTGCTATTTATCGTAAAGTGAACACAGATCAATATTGCACACTTTAAAGGGCGCCCAGTTCTCGTGACCTGTTTGATGAGCTTGAGTAAAGAACATTGTATGAGACCAGAACACAATACCAGAGCTGACATCGGTGGCAGTCCTCCTTGTAAAGTGAATTAGATCCAAATGTACTGATTATTGATATTGATATTGAAACATAATGCCACGGCCCTCAACATGAACAAAAGATGAACATTTGTCTTTGTCCACATAGTCAGTGGAAACGAGGAAATACAGGTGGTTTGATTTGACACTATTGCACCAAATATTGATTAATTAATTAGCATATTGACATGACTAAACGTGGTCAGTTTGTTAGAAAACAAATAACGCTGCATTATCACCACTGTCCAAGTAGTCACTGTGACATGGCATTATGGAGCTGCTCCTTCCTCATTACTCTTCTACTAAATCCTAACCCTGTCAACCATGACTTAGAAGATTCCAGGAAATATAAAATACTATGATGCAAAGGAGTTCTTCCTCAAGCCTTCATCCACATCGGTATCTAGACGTGACTTTACTGCTAGGGAAACACCAGTGTTTGTAAAGAGGTTACTAAGTAACCAGTCGGCAGCCGTTACACTTGACCACTGCCGCCAGTTCAGCTGCTGTGATGTGTTGGTATATGGGTAAAACAGACTTTTCTCTTCCTTATGGAAAACATAATATCAAGATATTTGGAAAACAAATATCAAGTTACCAGAGTGTTTGGTAGGTAATTTGAATACAATGGAATGTAAGAATGTATAGTTCTTAAAATACTGGTGGCACCACAGACTCCTTTCAGTCAAAAATATATATGTTTCATGGAGCCGAATAAAACGCTTGTTCTAAAACACTCTTTTTTTAAGTAGTAAAATTGACCTAACTTATTCCCAGGTCTCAAAACATATATATCAACTAAGAAGTGAAAACGAGAGGACTGTTCTTGCTCAACCAATCAGCTTTCAGAGAAAGCTTCAAACAGTGACTCAGGGCTCTTTCTTACACTATTTATTTATCATTTTCTAATAAGATGAAGGCAGCATGTTGAGACTAATTTCACCAAAACACAGTTAAGATGGACAAATTGCAATTTTTTATAATCTTTAAGTTTGGTCAAGTTTCAATGTATTATTGTGAATTCCATTTTACATCAAAACAACTTCCTGTATATTTTCCTGATTTTCTTTTGTCACAATCTGAGCCTTGATGTAAGTATAGTGCTAGGAATAACTGCAGGGCTTCTATGTGGCCGTGGTGGTGGTGTAAGGCGGCACGGTGGCTGAGTGGATAGCACTCTCGCCTCTCAGCAAGAAGGTCCTGGGTTCGAATCCCGGTCGGACCAGGGCCTTTCTGAGTGGAGTTTGCATGTTCTCCCCGTGTCAGCGTAGGTTTCCTCCGGGTACTCCGGTTTCCCCTACCACTAAAAATATGTACAATAGATCTGGCATGCGCCTCCTGTTCGGCGACCCCGCTCCCATCTCTGTGTGGAGTGAGAGGACAATTGCCCAAAAAAATAATAACAATTGTAAACCGCTTTGTGGCCCTTGTCTGTGAAAGGCGGTATATAAATAAACATTTCTTACTTACTTACTAAGCCTAATTAACTCACAAAAGCAACAACAGAAATGCAGACATCATTTGAATAGGCCTTCTGTGTTTACATGCAGACATTAGCAATCTTACAAAGACAATTTTCTTCCATAACGTGGACCAGCACTCTTACCTCTGACCCAATAGAGACTTGTGAGCAGCTACAAAGGAGTAGAGTGGTTTTTCAGTTTGCTGTAGTCCTGTTTATGTGGCCACCGCCTTTGTCTTTACAAGTTAAGACTGTTGGCAGCAGAAGATTTCCTGCTGTCAGTTGCTGTGTTAAAGATAAAAGCAGGAGATAAGAGGAAGCTCTTTCCCAAACGGGCAATAACAGTCGAAAGGTTGAACACTGTCATCCAAAATGCATGGAGTCTGCAACTTTTTGGAGGCGGTAAAATGCTTGTAAAATAACAAACAGAGGAACTATAGTCCATATTATCTGTCAGTTCCTATTCAGTCAAAGGAAAGGGCTAAGGAGGCTGTTTTAAAAAGAAAAAAACGATGTATAGAAGCTTAATAACCTGACATTATCTGACACGACAGGTAATGAAGCACCTTTAAAACAACCTTCTAACCTTTGAACACAAAAAAAGGCATTATTCATGTTTTATATTTGGTTTCTTTCAGTCACACAATGGCAGAAACTGGATCTAACTGGATTTGACATGAGCAGTTGTCAGGGATGAAGCAGACAGAGACGGATCGTGGTGCGCCAAACTCTGGAAGTTTATTTAAGTTTCTCTCAAGTTCCAGTTGTTTCAATTGTTTCTTTCTCTCAGACAGAATAAAGGCAGTACACAGTTTATATAGTCATTGTCACGTCACACATCGAAAGACGTACGTGTCACACAGAGACAGTCACATCATAGTCATACTAATCAGAGTCATAGTCAGAGTCCTTGTACAGTTCTGCACGTAGGCCATATTGCTATGTAATACTAACACAGTTATTGATATTTCTGAACGGGATGGAGAGTAAACCAAACACTCATAAATCAAGTTGACAAATTCAAACATACACACGTTATATGTTACTGGATAATTAGAAAATGTGAAATTATATCTATCTTACTTTTGCGCAGTATACAGGTGAATGCGCATGTTTTTCAAATATTGTGCAAGAGAAGTATGAACATCTATGAATACATGAATAATGAAAAGGTTTTGTGATAAAGTCAGTGTTGTGTGTGCATGCATCACCAGAAAAGCCCTTGTTTCACTAGAAATACATTTTCCCAAAGTAATTTATCTCGTTGTGGACGCTCCCATAATAGGAACAAAAGATAAAAATATACCAGGAACTGAGGAAGGTTTTATTAGAGCAGGCTGTGATTAAAAAGCCACTTGCCCCTGCCCCTCCTCCTCTGTAGGGCCAGTTCCTCCAGTTCTTCTCAACCACCCCCCACCCCACCCCCTCGCCCGGGGCATTTGCATGGAGAGCTCTGGAGCAGGTGAAACCGACCAACGGAAAGAAGCAGGAGGGTGGAGCTGAGGCAAGTGGCAGACTCAGAGTACACACCCACCAACACAAAACACGCTGAGCACCTGGGAGCCAACCACAAGGACAACGCACATGTGAATGGGACAAAGCTCCACATCTTGACTTCTCTGATCCGGAGGGCTGAGAGTGAGCGGATGTGCCAGCAAGGATCTCTGTTTATAAGGTAAGCACAAAAAAAGGCTGGTACCTGTTGTTATGGAGCTGGGCCTGGGGCACTCTCTCTGGCCTCTTGGCCCTGGTCTGAGCTGCAGAAGAGGAGTCCTGATGTGGCTTTGGTCCCGCTCATGGCAACATTTACTTAAGGTTTAGTCTGAAATCAGGTCTAGTTTTGATGTAGTTTTTGAGTGAGTGAGATTGCATGTATTTGAACAGCATTGACTACAATTGGGCATCTTGTAAATAGTATTCAAACATATAAGCGGATACATAAAGACAATATGCAGGTGACTTCTTAGCCTGTATTAAATCATCCATCCATCCATTTTCTTCCGCTTCATCCATAGCCGGGTCGCCTACACATATTAAATCATATGTATTCAAACATACTCACTTAAACTACTGCCTTCAATAGTAAACAAGAAGCTGCAAGGAGCCTTCTTATGTGGGGTAAATCAAATCCATTCCAATATGTAGGTCAGGAGGTCTTATTTGGATACACACTACCACGCTGCGTTAGTTACTCTACATGCAAATACCGCGGTAAAGTGGCCCGCATCTTTCAGCTCTATGAACAAGCGGCCCGCATCGGGGAAAATACGGTGCGCGTTTCTTCGAGAACTTACGGTAACAGCGGAACATCCTTTCGGAGTCACCCATTTTTATCGAACAGAAAGCGCGCTGGGGTCTGGGATCACGTTTTTGTGATTAAAACCTTATAGAGATGCCACCCGGTACACATAGCACCAGCCCCCTACGATTCCTCCGGCAGATTGTGAGTCCTCAGGAGGATAGCCACTCTATTGTTTACATATATAAAGTACACAATTTGGTCCACTAGTGCAATTTTCAAGTATTGTAACTATTTAAGGTGTGCGACTAATTTCACTTGACTCATGACCTTATTCTTGCCCTCTACCGCTGTACCAAAGACCAGGAACTTTTACTGTAGAAATATTTAGAAATATTTATTTAAAGTAGCCATTTTGGTCCAAAATAGCCTAAAAATTGTCAAAACATGTCACTTTTGATCTACTGTAACTTTTTACTGTAAAAAGGTGTGCGACTAATTTCACTGGATTCACGACCTCATGATTGCCCTCTACCACTGTACCAAAGACCAGGAACTTTTACTGTAGAAATATTGAGAAATATTGATTTAAAGTAGCCATTTTGGTCCAAAATAGCCTAAAAATGGTCAAAACATGTAACTTTTGGTCTACTGTAACTTTTATTGTGGAAATTTTGAGAAATAATTAGTCAAAGTACCCCCCTTGGTAAAAAATACACAAAAGGGGCTACGGCCCCTTTTGTCGACAAGCGGAGGCTCGACAAGTCGACAAGCGGAGGCTCTGCTCCGAGCTCCTTCCATGTGACTGAGCTCCTCAACCTATCTCTAAAGGTGCTTTCAGACCAATAGCTTCAAAACGCTTTTGACGCGCAATATTTGACACTGGGTCCGGTGTGAACGCCCCTTGGTGCTTGAAGCTCCTGACGCCGGGTGGGAGGAGCTTCTCTCGCTCCCGCCTGGAGCTCGCACTGATTCCTGCGGAGGAGCGCCTGTCTTTCAGTCTGCTGTGTCTGAGCCAGCTTTAGCTTGTTCTTATACTAAATAAATTACTTTAACTTCACAGCATATGTACATTGATTGTGTTACTTGCTTTTTAAGAACGTTACTATTCATACAAATAATATTACAAATAACAATAATGACAATGAAAAAGCAGTAGCAGCTACATGACAGCCCTGCTGCTGCTGCTGCTGCTTCTCCTCGTCTCCAGATTGGTTGAAGCCCGGCGTCAAGCTCCAAAAGCTTTTCTCAACTTCGGCGTTACGGGACTTTTTTACGTCAAAAGAGACGCAAGCATTACGCGTGTCAAAAGCTTCAAGTGACGCGCATAATGCTCACGTCTTTTGAAGTGCTTCAAGTGACGCCGGGCCTCTCAGCGTCACCTGACACGCTTCACTATTCATTTTCAGTGCAAAACTGACGCTTTTCAAGTCTAAGTTGAGTCCGGGGTGAAAACACCTTAAGGGAGTGCCCAACCACTCTTTCCCACCGCTTGTATCTACAATCTCGTTCTTTCGGTCATTATCCAAAGCTCATGACCAGAGGTGATGGAGGGAACAAGAATTGACCGGTAAATCGAAAGTGGCCGCATCACTGTGCACGCTGCACCAATCCACCTGTCAATCTCACGCTCCATCCTTCCGTCACTCGTGAACAAGACCCCGAGATTCTTGAACTCCTCCACGTGAGGAAGGACCTCTCCACTTTGGCGGCACGGTGGCTGAGTGGATAGCACTCTCGCTTCGCAGCAAGAAGGTCCTGGGTTCGAATCCCAGTCGGAACAGTGCCTTACTGAGTGGAGTTTGCATGTTCCCCGTGTCTGCATAGGTTTCCTTCGGGTGCTCCGGTTTCCCTTACCACTAAAAACATGCTTAATAGGTATTAATGGATAGTGAAGATTGGGGGCTGATCAGTGGGGGCGGGTCCCGGCTCGAAAGTGGCCAAAATGATGCGCTGACATGCTTGCAATACCACCCCGGGCCGATGGGGGTGGACCCGGAATAAGAATTAGCCAATGCTAACGTAAAGCATTGGCAGACCTCTCGAAAAGGATGGTCCAAAAGTTGGCTCTTGGCCCAAAGCTCCGTTCCACATGTGTGTCAATGCTGAGGGGGGTGAATTTTTTTGGACCACTCTACTTTACTCGCTGTGAATTTTTGAAGTCTCTCGTTCAAATGAATGGAGCTTGCGCCGGCTGACGCATGCGCAGATGCTTTTTTTTCCGCTATATGTATATTTTTTTATATATATAAATGCGCTATATAAATAATCATTACTCATTAATCATTTCTCATTACTCGAGAGGGCAAGGCACCTTTTTCCGGTCAGGCATCATGGCCTCGGATTTGGAGGTGCTGATTCTCATCCCAGCCGCTTCACACTCGGCTGCAACCGTCACAGTGCATGTTGCAGGTCCTGGTTCCTTGGAGCCAACAGGACAACATCGTCGGCAAACAGCAGAGATGAAATCCTGTGGTCTCCGAACCGGACCCCCTCCGGCCCCTGGCTGCACCTACAAATTCTGTCCATTATGACAGTAAACAGAAGCGGTGAAAAAGGGCCTGCACCTGCCGGCAATGCAAATACAGCTCTGGTAGAGGACAATAATGAAGTCATGAATCCAGTGAAATTAGTCGCACACCTTTTTACAGTAAGAAGTTACAGTAGATCAAAAGTGACATTTTTTGACTATTTTGGAGGTATTTTGGACCAAAATGGCTACTTTAAATCAATATTTCTCAATATTTCTACAGTAAAAGTTTCTTGTCTTTGGTACAGTGGTAGAGGGCAATCATGAGGTCATGAATCCAGTGAAATCAGTCGCACACCTTTTTACAGTAAAAAGTTACAGTAGATCAAAAGTGACATTTTTTGACCATTTTTAGGCTATTTTGGACCCAAATGGCTACTTTAAATCAAATTTTCTCAATATTTCTACAGTAAATGTTTCTTGTCTTTGGTACAGTGGTAGAGGGCAACCATGAGGTCATGAATCCAGTGAAATTAGTCGCACACCTTTTTACAGTAAAAAGTTACAGTAGATCAAAAGTGACATTTTTTGACCATTTTTAGGCTATTTTGGACCCAAATGGCTACTTTAAATAAATATTTCTACAGTAAATGTTTCTTGTCTTTGGTACAGTGGTAGAGGGCAATCATGAGGTCATGAATCCAGTGAAATTAGTCGCACACCTTTTTACAGTAAAAAGTTACAGTAGATCAAAAGCGGGAATGTTTTTACAGTTTTGTGTATTTTGCACTAAAGTGTACTTTGTCTCAATTTTACCCAACATTTCCACAGTAAAGGTGTGTGGTTGTAGGCACAGCGTTGAAGGCAGCTATATCGATGAACCCAGTGGAATAAGCCACACAAGTCTTTACTGTAAAAATGGACAGCTGCTGAAAATTTCACTTTTTGACCAAATTAAATGCTTTCCAAATATGGGTTTATTCACAAAAACGAGTCTCCCCAGCGCGCTTTCTGTTCGAGGAGAAAAGGTGACTCCGAAAGGCGGTTCCGCTATTACCGTAAGTAGTCAACAAAACGCGCACTGTTTTTCTCTCGATGCGGGCCGTTTTACTTCGGAGGTGAAAGATGCGGCCCACTTTACCGCGGTATGCAAATGCCAGGATGAAGATTCTGTGCAGTACTACACCATGATTTTGTCTTTGCAGTGTTGACAGAAGCACGTGCACAGAGCTAAGTTCATACTACTACTCTAACTACAAACTACTCTAAATACATCCTGCACACATGGCACCTGTTCTTCCACCATTGTTAAATGTTTACTATTGTTTTCAACAGTCAGGCTTCTTGCACTTGTTTGCACAGCAGCCAAAACTAGTGTTTCGCTAAACAGTACTCCTCTCCAGCGTATCAAGTTTCATCTCGCATTGAGCTTTGGAAACAGGTCGTGCAGCATGTGGGATGACAGTTGAAGTGAAATGTGCTGATGCTACACAAAGAAGCCTGAGTGAAGGAGGGTATGTCGGAATGCACTTTCTGAACGGTTATCTTGTGACCATGGCAGGGGTAGGGGTAGGTCAGTGGGCCACAGCAGAACAACAGATCTGATATGGATACGGGCTGCAACTAATCACAAGTGGTCTAGTCCATGGTAATAAAATAATTGTGTGTTTAACTGTGGGTTAATATTTGATTAATAAGTGCAATGAACTGAAGAAAAAAAATGTGTAACTGCTTGTGTCTGGATAAGACCATATATCATCTATAGACCAGGTGTCTCCAACATTTTTCACCCAGAGAGCTACTTTCCCGGGATGATGAAGGCAGAGAGCTACTCCTTTAAGCAGCCCTGGGATCAAAATCGTGATATATTGGTTTATCAGAGCATATTTGTTGCTAGTGACAAAGTAAGTGCATTTACAATCATATGTAATGATCATGAAATATACAATCTAAAATTAAGTATATTATTTAATTTTATTCATTTCTAAATCCTTTGGCAAGCTACCTGGAAGGGGATGGTGAGCTACTGGTGACTCCCGAGCTACAGGTTGGAGACCCCTGCTATGGACTCTGTGGACTTTTGTGTATAGATGTTGTGAGGGATGGGGTCAGAACAGAAGAGCTCCACCCTATCCTCTGCATGGGAATCCTAATCTAGACAAAGTGAATAAGAGGATTAAAAAAAAAGTTAGCTCACACATTTTTCATTCCTTTAGTTACACATGCGGCAACTTTGCATTTTCAAAAAGTTAGTGCAGAAGTCGGGGGTCCATGTAGCCTGTTTCCATGGGAACAGAGTCGGACACTTTGGGTAAAGTGGATGAGTGATTTGGACTGGGACTGTGGATCCATCTTGAGGCAGCTGAGTGAGCAAACAGCCTCAGGACACTGGACGAGGCGGTTAGCAACTGAAACATGTCACGGTAAATACAGGAGAGTTCTGTCGTGGCTGAAGACAAGATAACTGTTTTGATCTCTAAGGTAATGGAAGGGACAGAGATTATGGTGGCATGGCGCACATGTTCATATACTGGGTACAAAACAAGCTTAAGACCAGCTTTACAAATGACTGTCTAGTTTGGAACAGATCAGGTTCAAATATCAGATAAAGATATTAGTGAGAGATTTAGCAAAACAACTGGAAACTTTCACATTACATATACATAAAAACATAAATAATGATTAATTAGAAAACCGAACAAAAATACCAGAGATGATATTTTGTACGTTTTTTCCAATCTATTCATATTTGAAAATGTAGTGAATATACATTGCAGTAGATCTTAACACATTTCCCTCTTGATTACGTAAAACAAATCACTGGTTGTTCTAGAGGACAGAAACTTTGGTGAAATTGCTTGAAACTAATTAGCTGGCCATGGTTTATTTATTAATCATGAAACGTAATCCACTTTATGGAACCCAACATACACACCCTTCATGAGTGCACAGAAGTAATAATATCAGAATTCTTTGTATTGCCATTGGAAGTAACAGGAAGTCACAAACTAGGAATTTGCTCTGGCTCATGGTGCAATTAAGGTATAAAAGCAAAAATAGATATAAGGCCTGCATTTAAAACAAAACTTTCTTAAAATTACCACTATATACAAGTTCACTAAGTACACACAATAGACATTTAGCAGTGCAGGTTAAATGACAACAGGTAAACACATTGACTCGTGCTGCAGAGCGGTGGTTAGGGACAGACGGGGGCAGATAAAACCTCCGTAATTATCATAAAGAATTTGTCTTTGTTCTAATAACACATGTTGGATTGAGCAGAGGGCTGGAGCAGCTAGAACCGCAGCAGGAATTTCAAGGGTAGATGAAGCGATTAGGCACCAAACAAGCAGCCACTTTGTGCAACAGCAAGAATCTGGCCAGAGTGACCTGAGGGCAGGGGAAAGGCGCACAGGTGCTCCTGCCATAGGCACAATGTGTCCTTCACAGCCCAAATAAGGACATTATAACACAAGCAGCCACATATCATCACACTTTGTGCTTATTATTGAAGTCATGCTGGAGTGAGCCAGGGGCATGTGGCTCAGGATATTTGAAGCCCATTCCATCACCTGAATACTTCACATAGTATCACTGGACTGACCCCCAGCCCCATAGGTCAGCGGGGGATCATCAGGGCCAGAATACTGGACCTATATTAGACAGCATAATCTTGTGTTTTCTAATCCAGCGTCGGGCAAAACTGACGCACAGAGAGCTATATCTAAATATATTTAATACTGCAGAAAACATTAAAGTACTCTTTTGTGGTTCTAAAGTTAGGTATCCCAGCTTTAATTCCAAGCTTGTGCTAAACTATTTTGATATATTTATATTTATAGTTTTCTCAAAAGTCCAGGAACTGCTGGTGGTCCTAACGAATGTTTTTACCGCCCTGCAGTTTTTGTTGTTGAAATTTTACAAACGATTCCCACTGAGATCCATTTCAAAGCTGCATTATGCAAGAATGCAGCTGATTTCAAACAGGCACATTACTACTTTTCGAGATACAAATTTTCTACACCTACAGTACACACTGGTACATAGATCAACTCACCGGCCAAGTTCTTTTATTTTTTCATCCTCATTAAAAAAGTAAAAGAGAAACTTATGGAAATGTTTGATTGAACTAAAAACATAGCATGAGTCTGACTTTTTCTTTTTCCAACTTTCCTCTCTTACATTATTCAAAAGTGCACGTACATTTTCTTATTGACCTATGCCACACTTTCTTTCCTAATACGCTCAATCTCACTCATTATTTGCAGTCACCAGTTTACCGGAACCATCTTTGTTGTCACAAGTGCAGATGTGACTGTTGTGGGTGTACTGGATACAATCCAAGTCAAACTGACTAAAACACTTGTTGTTTTGCTTCTCTAGGTCATTCTGCAAATTGTGAGAAGACCTTCAACATGGATCAAACCCCTTATGTCTGGCACGTCCCTCCCAGCTCTGTGAATGAAGCTGGGCCCCTGGAGAAAAAGATTTCAACGGCCAACCAACCGGAATGCTCCATCTGCTACAACAGCTATGACAATGTCTTCAAGACACCCAAGCTCCTGGACTGCACCCACATGTTTTGCTTGGAGTGCTTGTCCCGTCTGATGGCTGTGTCGGTGAACCAGGGAGACGATGGAGGCAACACCTGTATTTCGTGCCCGTTTTGCCGCCACCCCACTCAGCTCTCTGCTGCTGGACCCCCAGCTTTGGCCACGAGTCGCGAGGTTCTCAACACCTTACCCATGCACCTCCAGCAAGAAGAGTCCGTGTGGATGGACGGGCAGAAACTGTGCTACAGAAGAAGCGACTCCACAAACGGCGAACCGGACAGTCCCACTGCCTTTTGCATATGTATTGACATTGGGGGGAGTAAGTCCGTCGACATCCCCACGCAGACGCAGACCAGTCGTGTGGGGTTTTTGCAGAGGGTTTCAGACTGGAAGCGAATGGTTTTGTTCATAGTGATGATAGTTTTGCTCGTGGCGGTGGTGCTATGGCCGCTGCAGTGCGTTTTCAGCACAGGGAGTATGCGTTGTGTTCCCAATGACACCACCACACCCACCACCACACCCACCCCGTTCACAAGACTGGGGGGGATCCAGTGAGCGAGCGAGAGCCCCCTCCCCTGTAGAAGCTCCCCTGTCTCTGGAGGATGTTGTCTCAGCACTACCAAAGATCACATTGTTAAACAGTTACATGCAGTTTAAGCTAGGGTTCCTCACTTTTTTGTTTCATGAATATGTCATTTTGTTTTTCCCAACAGAAATAGTCTTGTAAAGGTAACATTTTTGTGAAGAAATCATGCCACAACATATCTTAATCTCTTTTGAAAACACTTTATTATTTTTGCTTACTTGTGAGAAAGAGCCTGTCACTATTGGATTTGTTGGGCTGAGAGCTGATTGGATGGAAGTTGGTGGTCCTCTCTTTTAAACTTGAAAATGATGCACCATAAGCAAAAAAAACATGTACATGACATGTGTCAAAAGGTTCTATCACTGGAGAAATGGATTTTAATACCCAGGTACCCCAGCTTTAAAATACATTGACAAATAGAAGTTACAATACGATACATTATCTCATTGTACAGCTCCTCACAGTAGAACGATCCATTGATTTGAATGCAATTTCAAAACGTTCTACCGGTCATAGAAACTGTACGTCGAGTCCGGTTTGCTCTGTTGGTACTTATTTTCCGATAATGACCTGCGTTCCATACATTGTCCCTTATATACAAGCAAATAAGCACATCTTTCTTTGACAATTCATATTCTTAAAACAAATCTGAAAACTATAACAAATATCATAATTTATTTGCTGTACATTGAGGAAGCACCATGACGGACCAATATGTTCTCATACAACAATTGAAACTAACTGGAAAATATGTTAAGCATGCACCATTTGCTTGTATATTTACCTATACAAATTTCAGCCATACAGTTCAACGTTCATTTTCTTAACTCTTTCTGCACCAATGGAACTTTGGAACTCACTTTACATGAGCTGATGACTCCAGGACACAGCCGCTGGACTTCTACACAATTACAGTCCAATGTTTTCATGTATACTGCATATTTATTTTCTCGTTTTGGTTCATATTGGAGAACCATCAATGGACTGGTTTGATGTATTGAGCACAAAGGATGTCCACATGGTACCTCTGCTTGGTCTCACTCTCTACTGATCCACCCCATTATCCACACACACACATCTATCACAGCCGATTCTTGCACTTTAATCAACAGCTGTGATCTCGGCCGTCTCGCACAAGCAGAAAAGAGACCGTTTTCCCGGAGTGTCCTCAGCCGTGACATTCACACTGACATTTACAGATTACGTGTAAACTTTACCTTGTGCTGCTGCCAGGAAATATGTCAGAATGAAATGACAAATGTGATGTGCCAACTGTTTATAATGTCCTTTTTTTTTTACATACTTGTTTACAGAATAAAGAAGTTAAAACATGAATAAATGTTCAAATGATTGTGTGTTGGTTTAACCCTTTAATAGCTTCCTCAACCATTTGGTCACTGCAACAAGTGATGGAAATTAAGTTAAAAAAAAAGCTCAAGTTTGGCTAAATGTATCTTAATTTGAACACATTCTGACTTCCTTAAAACAAGATTGGGCAATTCTTTTAAACGACAAAAGAAATGTCTCCCTTGGAATGAGAAGATAAAGCTACAGTTCTTGAAAGAAGACTAAATGGCTTTGTCCCATTGGAGAATCTTGTTTTATAAAAAAGTCTCAATGTGTTCAGATTAAGATATAAAACCCTTGATTCAACCATTTATTACCTCATATTTTAACATTTTTTGCAGCGTATTTAAAGCTTGGAACTGAAATCTACCTCTTTGGGGAATCTCTCTCACTTGTTGTGGGTATTTTTACCATCAAACTGCATCTCAACCAGTTGGTAAAGGCCTATAATAAAAATAAAAACAAGGGAGTGAATATTAAAGTTTAATGATTGTATTTGCGATTATAATGACAGTGATGATGACAGTTAATGTGCATACGACAGGTTAGACTTCCTTCTCATGTTTGTCCAAATTACTAAATATAAAGCTGAGGTTCCAAACTTAACTTTACTGTACCAAACATCTTCTGGCATTAGATCAGCATTTTCAGACAAAAGTGAGAAAGAGAGGGCCGCCATCACTCAGCCCAAACTTTCAGCTCAAAGCATCAAATATTGGGATCTTTCTTCCAGGTGTAAAATATGTTTTCTAATCATGAGAGCATGTTGTGGTCTAAGTAAGAAAGTAATCTTTATCTCTATGCCGCCTTTCACAGACCAGAGTCACAAAGCAGTTTACAATTCACTCCACACAGAGATGGGAGCGGGGCCAGTACAGGAGGCGCATGCCAGACCTATTGTACATGTTTTTAGTGGTAGGGGAAACCAGAGTACCCAGAAGAAACCCATGCAGACATGGGGAGAACATGCAAACTCCACTCATAAAGGCCCTGTTCCGACCGGGATTCGAACTTGCAGGGCCTTCCTCCTGAGAACCGAGAGTGCTAACCACTCGACACCCCAGCTTTATATTTAGAATTGTACTTCCTGGTTGTAAATAATAACACCACAGGAGGAGTTTTTCCTCACTGTGCAGTGAACAGATTTTGCAATAAACTAAATTAGAAAATGCTTTGATTTTGTGGAGTAAATGATTAAATGCATTTCTTGTAAAAAAAAATAGCAAAACTTGACCAGGACCTGTGTTATCTTCTAGAAAACTGTTGTACTTTCTGTACATTTAAATACATTCATAAATATAAATATTTTCTTCTATAATGGCGTGGATAATTTATATTTAAAACAGGTGTCAGTCCACCAGAAAAAGTCAACATCTGAAACTGCCCTGTCCATGGAAGGACCCACGCAGAGGAGATAAGCTCGACTCAATCATTGCAAAACAGAAAAGTAACATCTTCCTCATCCCACTCTGCCGGGAACTGACAGTAAACAGAATTTAGAGGCTAATGACGCAATGTTTGTCCATAAAAAATGTTTGTGTGCAGGAGAGTAATACAATCAAGACTACACAGTGAAGTGTGTTTGTCAAAGAAACCTCAAAGATTGAAAAGTGAATAAGGAAAAAAGTCTTTATTTTACAAAAGTTTAGCCTCGTAGATGGGTGCTAGAAGTAACTAGTCTTTTCGGCTTTACATTACAACTTTATCAGAACTAATAAATAATAAGTAATTGAATGACACAACACAATGGGGTTGTTGTTTAAATAAAGATATAATAATAAGAATATATTTGAATAGACAATTACAATTCAGCCATAATTCGAGGGTGCCCTCTAGTGGTCAGTAAATATTATTTCACTCTCATTTTGGTTTTTGTAGGATCATGACAGCGTCCGGATAATCCCCTAACAGCCCTAGCATCTTATCCAAAGGGCGGGCATGGGCAGATTGATGGATTTAAAGATAAAGAGGTTTCTAAAATTATGTATGGAAAAAAATGAACATAGGCAAAGTTTCAATGGCTTTTATTGGGGTTTGGCAAGTCACAATGCTCACCAAATAAAAGTTGCAGAAAAAACACAGCATTTTCCTTTTACCGTAGCAAAACTCTGAATACAAATAAAAAACACACAGCTTTTGAGTCGACTACGAGATTCTCAGTCAGTCCACATCCACACAACCTGAGGCCAGGAGACTATAGTTTTCAAGTATCGATGTTTCACCACAACAGATAACAAAGAAATACAATACACTCCAAAACAATAAACGTGTTCTCATTCATATCACAAATCACAGTCAAAGGAGAAACAGCAGGATTCAGGACTTTACAGCAGCAAAGTCCTGCTCAGAAAACGTCAAAAAAACAGATAACAGACTTTGATGAGCGCGAGAGCAGCGGGAGTGTTCATGTTCCATCAAAGCACAGAGGCTCATGTGCTTTCATACAGAGAGATGCAGTATCTATGCACAACCTCCAAATAATTCATGTAGTTCAATGTTTTTTTTGTGTGAAATACTATCATGTATTAAAGAACAAACATGTTCTCAGTGACACTAAGGAAAGACTAACTTTATTTTGGTGCAGTTGCTACTGATGTTTTTTTAATCGGGCTTTCTTTTAACAGATTGTAGGCATACAAAATATGAAGCAGCAGACTTCTACTGAAAGTGTTGATAAGAGAAGGAATGCACTGCGTTTTCCAACACATTTACATTTGTGGATATTTCAAGGCCGACTATAAATAGCTTACAGTCCGTGTGAGCTGGTGGCTCAGCTCCAGGCGCCTTATCACTTCAGTGACGTTGTCTACCCTCCACGGCATCATCGAGCCTGGATTATAGCCAACTCCTAAATTACTTTTTGGAGACAAATCTATTCTTCAATCTGGAAAGATGGCCATCTGGCTCACAGTAATCGCACTGTGTCCCTTGTCTTCGTTGACCATCTCGGACAGATGTCCTCGTGCTTCAGACTTATTATCAGAGACACTTGACACTGTCCCATTCAGGAATTACAGAAACAGCATCTCTCTGTTTTAAGTATCAAGGTCTTACTGTACAGGCCACTGGGAAACAGTCATGTTTTGCCGGATGACTTGTTATGTAATTTATGTGGTTTTGTGTTTCCATTGGTTCACATGTTTTATGACTATGGTCACAAAGGTGAGCACAGATCTTTCCCGAGGGAGTTTATTTTCTGTCCTATATACTATTCAATATAACAGTCCAATAGTCACATAAACTGTGACAACTCTTTTCAAAAACATAAAACAAACCATCAAATTTAACCACCAAAACATAACAAAGGGCAAGATAATGAGTTTTAATGAGAACATCTGAAAGCAATGCTCAGATGCCCTCAGAATACAGCCTGACTATTTAGCTTCAGTTTGGCGAGAGAATGGCTATAGTCCTGGAGGTGTCTGCTGCAGGTTATCCACAAGCTACTGCGCTCCACAGCTCAACACACAAATCCAAATGCCCAAGGTTCAAGTCTAAGAAGTGCAGAGAGGAGGTGCAGAGAGCGCAGGCCTGACCTCACAGTGAACGCTCTGGGAAAAGGCACTTCTTGGGACAGAAGAGAGGCCAGAGGAGGAGCTGGGTGGCCCGGTCCACGGTCCACCGCAGATCAGCAGCAGCGGCAAGAGTGGGGGCAATTCCTGCATCTCCCGGACCAGACCGGGAGGGCCGACACGGGCTCCAATAACAGAACCACACAGCAACAGCTCTGGAAGACAAGGACAAGGGAACAGCTTCACAAACATGCTTCTGATAATAACACAGGACGATGGTTTGATCAGAGTTAGTGGACAATGGGCTCTGATCTGAATAAATGCACATCATCTCCACTTTGATTACAATTCATAACATTCAATCTATGAGTTTTTTAGCCTGAATTGGACAAGAATGTAACTCGACAAACACCAACAAGGGCAAGGTCACAACAAATCAAGTCTTCCTGAAAAAATAAGACACTAGTTTCTGCTATAGATTCAGGTTAAAACAGTTTTGTATATCTGAGGACAACAATGTAGTGAAGGAGAGTGAAACTTTCTACAGACAAGCACTGGTTAGATCCGCCCATGCTCCCTCCCACAGCTTCCTGATTGGTCAAAACTATTCCATATCCCTGAGGAACCTCGTCATTGGTTTAACTATTCTCCTCCAGCAGATCTTAATGGTCACACTTATGGAGTGGAAAAGGGACAGTACAATGCCCCATGGTCAAAAAATGAAAACAATTCTCTTTATCTTTAAAAAATGACTTCTTATTCATTTTCTTTTTGTTGTTTTGTATTAGATATGGATTGTCACTGTAAATGTAAAAAATACAGATACATACTGTATATATAAAAATAGAATATTCACTCCAGTTATTTCTGGAACAAAGTTATTTCTGGTGTTTTTGAAGCTGTGTCACTGTCATCAAAGATCCCAGAAGTGTAGTTTTAAATAGCAGCTGTTTATAGAAATAGAAGTGAATCGAAATGGAAGTATATTGTAATGTTATTTTTATGGTATAGTATGAGACAGTACAAAAATACTGTCAGTAAAAGTAATCATGTGTGACACAAAAGCTCTTTAGTGACAACCCCATGCGAGCACCTTTCATCCGATTCTCATCTGAACTTATTATTATCTCAAATTCATAACAGTTTGATTATGTAAAGATTTTCCTTTGTGCGTGACAGGAGCCCGAGCTGTATTTTGAAGAAGCTTTGCCACCCTGGTCCAACCTGTAATTTCAGCCCTCAATAGAGCACTTTAATCTGAACAATGAACCGCTCTATGCTTTAGACTCATTTAGAAAATCGCTCGTCTCCTTCAGTCCTCCACCAGACTTTCCTTTTCTGTTCATTTCATTTACAAAGTACATGAAGTTCCAAACTCCTAAAGTAGATCATTGTTTTTTTTTAGTTTTTTTACAAGCAAACATGTTTATGACAGCTACTCTTTCACATATAACAGTTTTACAATACACCAGAAATAGAAGTAATACATTTCACTGCAAAGAACTGTGGAATTTGAAATGTGTGTCTGTATGTTTTGGCGTCTGCTGCTACATTTAACTCGATAAAACCTGTCACTTCTAAAGAAATGTGTAATAATCACTTCAAATGAATTGCCTTCGGGGATCAATAGTTTTCTTAATCTGAAGCTGTATATCGATCATCTCCACTCAAACCCCTCTCAATTGAAGACCTCTGTTATCAGTCCGCTGTATCTGAGTACCAATCTATATCTTTGTCTTGTTCTGAGCGCCACTTGTCAATAATATTTTTTTTTCACAGCGTAAAAACAGAAATGAAAGTGATCTCCTACGACCCTCAGATTACTCACAGAGAAGTACAACGTGACCATGTTTGTCCATGTTCTACCTCCGGGTGTTACTGCTGAACGACGCCTGAGGAGTTTTGAAGTTGATGTTCTCATAAACACTGGACGCGTCATCATTTGTCAATCTGAAAAAAAGAAGAGAGAAAACAGAGTGAAGTGAAGGAAAAGAGGGCTCACTGCAAAAAAAAAACAAAAAACAGGTAAAATATGAGGTAATAATTGCTTGAATCAAGTGGGGTTTTTTTCATCTTAATTTTATTACATTCTGACAAAAGTCTTATTTCAAGAACGTTTGCTTTGTTGTCTCAAAGCAAGGGGGACTTTTCATGTATCTTTTTGAAACAAGAATTATGCTTGTCCCATTGGCAAATCTTGTGTTAACCCTTTCATGCTTTTTTAATCCCTAGATTTGGTAAATTAAAGGCCTTTACCAAATGGTTGGGATGCAGTTTGATGGAAAAAGAGCCTAAAACCAAATGACATGCCCCAAAAGAGATAGATTTCAGTTCCAAACTACTGTAGCTTAAATAAAAAAATAAAAATAGTGACTTAAAACTCAAAAGGATGATCTATTAAATGGTTGCGGTCTAAATGTGCTCAATTTTGACTTTTTCATCACTTTTTGCAGTGTAGGTGTTACTTCCAATAAGACTTACACAGATGATGATCGAGAGGAGGCCATGTTGCTCTTGGACCTGGAGTTTGTCATGTGACCATACTGGATGTTGGAGTACTCCCTCTCCTTCATCTTATTCCTCTGTAGATTCAAATAAGAAACATAAGAAGTGAAAATCTGGTCTTTCTATTTGTATGTTTTATATGCATTTGTTTGATTATCTGACCAGTTTGACGTCATTTATCGCAAGTACTCATTTGCAGATGTTCCAACAATCATTTATCATGTGTTGAAAATAAAAAGAATCATTGTGAAATAAAGTATAATAAAAGAGAATGTGCGGAAGCAACATTCTGAACAAAAGGAGCTTGGGAAAATAATCTCACACTTAAAAATAAAGTATGAAGTGCCTTGATATACAAAAAAGAGCCTTATGAATAAAGTCTAATAGATGCATGGAGATAAACTCATCCGAGTAAATGTCCCAAAATCAATCCTTTGCTTATGTAAAAGTACAAGATTGTATAAGCTTTTAAATGAACTAAAGTATAAACGTAAAAAGTAAAATGTTTAGACTGATAATGCACTTGTAGAAACAACTGTTAAATCACTCTGCAGGTGTTTCATATTTGCACCAAATACAAGTTCCGAATGATTTGAACTTAGAAGCATGGCTAACCACTTCAAATGATTCGATGGCGCTCCCTCATCATACAAAACATTGAAACATGCACTAGTGTGAATCTGATGAATGAGCGGTGATGATGGTGGGAGGGGCCAGTGACACAGACTGCTCCCTCGCTTCAGTCAAGGTATTATTATCATTAACTACTGATAACTAACTGTGTGGCCCTCATAGAGGGGCTTGGCGCGTTATGACCAATCAGTGCTGCTGATCAGAGCGGATTTAGTGCGGAGTTAGTGCGGAAACCAAACGAGCAGAGTTTGTTGCATTAAAGTGTAGATTTATAGAAAACCAAAGGATTTAACAAGAAAAAAAGTTGTACAGGACAGCTGTAGCTATAATATCTGGATCAGGCTCCCCCCCTCGCCGCTGTGGTCCCACCTGCTCCTCCTCCAGCCTCTTCTGTGCTGTGTCGATGTACTGCTGCACGGCCATGTAGATAAACTTGTACTGGGCCTCGGTTTGCACCATGCCAGACCTCTGCTGCCGCACCCACTGGATCGTCTTTGGAACGTCGATGTCACAGTCCAGCCCTAAACACACACACAAACACGGACACACACACGCACACACCACACACACAGGAACCCCCCCACACACACACACATACATACGGGAATACATAAATACACACGTAGACACATCCACACACATACCCTCGCGCACACACACACGCATATACACATGCACACATACACAGGAGCACACATAAACACAAATACAAACATGAACACACACACACACAGGAACACACATTGTGATTTTGATGTACAAAATGTCCCATATGGAAACATCAATCCACTTAGCACCTCGTACCTTGGCGGTTAATGATGTCAATGAGAATGTCGATGACGATAATGGTTCCTGTCCGCCCAATGCCCGCACTGCAAACATACATGGTAAAGAACTTGAAAATACTGAATACAAGCAACAACAAAAACACAGATCAAGACAAAACAAGATTCATACATGGTACAGGGGCACACACACACACACACACACACACACACACACACACAATACCTGCAGTGCACCACAATGGGTCCTGCAGTGGGCAAAGTGCTCTGTGTGCGGTTGACCTCCTCCAGGAACCACAGCACCCCTCCTGGCTCGTTCGGAACCCCGTGATCCGGCCACGTCAGGTACTGGTAGTGCCAAATGTACCGCACCGGCTCCTTCTGCACAGATAGATACACCCAACATTCAATGATAGTATTCTAACCTGGACATTGACTGTCATATGGCATACAAATCAAACATAACTTTTTTCTACCTAATAAAAAAAAAAAAACATGCCACATCACACACACATACAAATGCGCGCACACACACATAGATTGGAGACCTCTAGATAAGACAGTGTTGGGTAAGTTACTCCAAAATTTTAATGTATTTATTCTATTAGTTGAAAATGAAATATATCACACTGAGTAATCTTTGTTTCAGCTTCCAAAAAGCAAACATTACTAATTAGTTACTCCCGACTCTGAGTTCAGTGAATCTATTGTTACTCTGAAATCTGTGTGTGCAAATATTCTGATTGTGCACTGCAAAAAGTAAAATATACAGTAGACTAGTGCAGTCGACTGGATTTAAGGGTATTTGTCTAATCACAACAGTATTTTCACTTTTTTACTCATGCAGGCTGAAGCAGGCTGAGGAAATATATGTAAGATTAGGATTTTTAATGATATATACAAAACTAAACTCTTTTATATACATTTTATAAAGATAATGTGACTTGCTTTAATTAATATTTTCCTCTTGTTTTAAGAAATATTAACAAGCGGAAACATCATGATCTACAGGCAGATCATTTTGTCTGAAACAAGTACATTTTTTGTGTCAATCTGTTTTAACTGATGTGCAACTTCCGCAATACACCACAACCCCATCTTGAATGAATGACAGCAGTTTCCCAGCATACATCACTTTACTTTGCTTTAGACAGATTACTTGTTTATGGTGTTAAGAGAGGACTTCACTCTCTTAATCTCTTGTCTGGTGCTGTTACAGTAAACTCCACACAGACGTAGTTGCACTGACCCTGTCCACGCGGGTCACCTCCAGCTTCCTCAGAATGTAGTCCTGCGCCGGCCTCTCGTCCACATTCTTCACCAGGATTCTGCCGTAATCTTTAGTGGCCTGGAGGTCGGGCCAGTATCGCACACACTTGTTCTGTTGGGGATTGGGGCACAGAGAAGGAGGATGAATTAGATAAAGTAGAACACATCCCGACCAAGCTGTTTTCCAATCAGCTTATGTGTCGTAGTATTCTGCAGCCTCCAGACGAGCGAGCGAGACGGTCTGAATGAGCTTATGTTCTCCAATAACCTCTGCGTCAAGGATCATGTGTAAACACTGGAGGATTCACACTGGGTTTGTACAACACTGTTTAGCATTGTTACTGTTAGATTTGGATACGGGTCAGATTACGTGTTGGGCTGGGTCCAGGTCCGGCTTCAGGAGGAATGTTGGATACGATATATTCACAATACAACATTTCAAACTCCATTTTGAAGAATCAGAAAGTACTTGATATTGTGGAAATTCTTTATAAATGATCTTTAATAACTCAAATGAATAGTTGTATAGACGTTTTGATTTATAATACTTTTAATAGGGCCACATTGTCTTATGCAAGTTCTTCTGATATAGTTTAAACACATTTATGTCAAACTTATATTTAGTATCAGTACATGCTTCTAGTTTTAGTAACAAAACTAGATACTAATCTGAAATTTGATACTGTTGACAACAAATCACATTCCAATGTAAGTCAGTTTTAAGTCAACATTTACATTTATAATTTATCCTCATTTGTCATGACTATAACTATCTAATCAAAGTCTCTATTTGAGGAGCCACATCCTCCATTTTCAGTGCAGTTATATCATATTACACACTACTCAGACTACAGATGAAGGCCTCACCCGCCCTCTCTCCATCTCTTTGGTCGTCATGACGATGACCCGTGTGTTTTCCTGATAGACCATTTTCCAGAAGTCCACGACGGTGGCCTGCAGACAGCCCTGTGTCGCAATGAAGACTTTAGATGGATCTCCCTCTTCATGGAAACTCTGCAGAACAGAGGGGCCCCCAGAAAAAAATATAAAGAATTAATATGTTAAGCCAACATATTTGAATCACTATTTTCATAAAGTCATGCATCACTATTTTGTACAGGTGAAAATTACAATGTTGTTCAAAAGTCCTTTTACTTCTATTTTTTAACTTCCATCCATCCATCCATCCATTTTCTTCCCCTTAATCCATTTCTGGGTCAGGGGGGTGGCAGTCAGAGCTGCACCCAGTCCACTTAGCACCAGCCCCTCACTGATCCTCCTGCAGGTGGTGAGTCCACAGGAGCTGAGATCTTTCAGTGGGAGCTTCAGGCAAAGTGGGGTTAAGTGTCTTGCCCAAGGACACAACGACAGCAGTCATCAGTGGGAGTCGTGAAGTAGGTCTTATGGTGGGCTTGAACCCACGACCTTCAGGCCCAAAGGCCAATGCTCTACCAACTGAGCTACTGTAACTTACTGTTGTAAGTTAACTTATAACTTACAATGTGAAACAAATATATGACAGATTAATTGCATTCAAAATTAGATAAAGCAAGCTTTTATTTGTTATAATGTTGATCATTGGCTCACAGCTGTAAAAACCCAAAAACCAAACATTTCAGCTTGCAAGCCATAATCACCAAAATTATAACAAACAAAAGCTTGTGCCTTTTTGTTCATAATGAGTCCACATCATATTTTGTTTCACATTGTAAGTTATTATTACTCTAATTATCTGAGTTGTACATCCCACATTTTTCCACTTACTTGGATGTAGTTGGCATTAATGTAGTCAGACCCGAGAACATTTGCATCGCTTTCTCTGATTTCAACACGTGTCGTATCAACTAGAAACACACAAAACATAAACAATGAGATATTTCTGTAAAACAAAGTACATCGACACTACCAAATGGTTTGTATTTGTGTTCCGATTGTGCAGTGAGTGCAGCGTGGTGATAGTTTCCACAGGAAGCTGGAGTGACAGGAAGTGGCAGTGCAGTGACTCACAGGGTAGGATATTCTTGTAGCGGTTTTTACTCTTGTTCTCTGCCTTCTGGCCTTCTTTCCGGGGATACAGAAGTTTACACTCCTGCTGCTGTAGTACCTGAAGCAAAGACACAACAAAAGACAAAAACAGGTTGTAAAAGGAATCATAAAGGAATATCTTTTAAAACCCACTCTCCTGAGCAGTGGTGAGTGGGTGATAAATTGTCAAATCAACTCAATTTAAGATTATTTAAGAAATTATCATGCTGATTTAACGAAATAAAAAATAGATAATGTAAGATATCACTCCGAATGAACTAGAATATACTTTACTATACAACAAAACAAATGGACCTGGCTATAGCTAAATCAGAAGAAAAGGGATGGACTATCAAGATACGACTAATGCATAACTACACCTCAGACTTTCAAAACAAGTTAAACCGTTAAATTAATCAAATTTTTTAGTAAAAGTTATGGAAATTCTAGTTTTGCTTATGCATATTTTTAACCTTGAATACTTGTAATACTCATTGAATACTTGTAGCACCCAATACTGCAACTGTAATAAATAAGTATACAACTTCTTTAGAATTCAATGCCAAGATGGATCATTTCCAAAACCACACTGTTATATTTGTATATTCTATAACTCAAGCTTGATGTAAAAGAATGTTACAAAAGAGTCCGCACTTCTGTCTTCAGTCTGGTTTTGCGCACTGCTCCTTATTTATGTATTTATGTCAGAAAAGACTCATGACAACTTAGTACGATCTGAGAGTTGTCGCTGAGCTCGTAAATAGTGTAGCAGCAGATCTGTCATCCGCGCAGACACTCATTGACTTTACACAACGGATATGAGTGACATTTATGACTTCAGCACTGGATCAAAGTGACAGACACAGAAACGTGCAGCGGTCTGGAGATAAGGTCGAGCCCACATCATCTCTCACAGATACAGCCCAGACTTAAAGAACTTGTTCTATTTGTGTTGATGTAGGCCATGATATGTACTTCGGTGAAATTATTTATTTTACTTATAATATTAAGGGTAAACAAACATATATATTGAGAGGTTTTTCACTACTAATGATGATTTCTTTATTCATTTAGTGGTAAGTATTGATGGCACAGTTTCATTGAAGATGTGCAGTTGTAATGAATAGTTGGTGATACATTTGTTTTAATAATGTGGCTCTGTCTTTAATATCAAAGGACAGTTGAGTCCAAAACTGGACCCACAGTCACTTAGGGTTAGAAAACCATTTAATTTGTCAAGATGTGAAACCACCAAACACATTTCAGTAGTAATTTATGTCATTTTGCTAGTTTAATATCTCCAAAAGTGAAGTATTCTTGCCCTAATGAGTTCACTTGAGAAAAGTGAGAAAGATGCAACTCCAGCGACTGTATGTCTTTGATAAAATAGGGAAACAATGTTATGATAAATGTGCATAAAATGTGTCTTAATAAAACATTACTATAATGTATTTTGTGACTGCTGAATACCAGCTTTCAATAGATACAAACCAACACAGACCTGATAACTGCTGAAGCCTCTATCAAGCCTTCTGAGCTCATCAATACTGTCACACTGTAGGCGTATAGTAATAGCCTAGCAGCAGTGTTAATGGACAGTAGTGGTAGTAGTAGTGGGTGTAGTCGTAAGAGAGTCCGTTTACAAGATAAAAACGGGCCCCAAAACAGTAGAAGTAAGAGCAGGAGCAGCAGTAGGGTTAGTACAAGGTGTAGGAGCGATAAACGTGTCAGTAGTAGTAATAATAGCATTAGTAGTAGTAATAGTGGTTATCTGGAGTACCTCAAATTCCTCCCAGAATCCTTGCTTGGGCTTCTCCGAGTTGTCAGCCACCTTGTTAAGTTCTCGCACTCGATTCTCTATGCTGGCTGCGTTAATTCTGGTCGCGTTAAACGGCTGCCGTAAAACAGTCATTCAAAACACTCATTACATTTCAAAAAGTTTATGCAAAGTACAGCAATCGCTTTATCCACCTGCTTTAAGTGGACCACAATGCCGCTCTTCTCCACCATGGGGTTCTTCCTGTAGTGATCCACCAGGTCCGCCAGCGTGTCGAAGCGCTCTCCGCCGCCCACGTCATACTTAACGTCCTGAGAAAGAAAAGTCTGCAGTAGATGAAGAGGTTTGTGCTCAGGCAGGTCTAGCACAGGCTTTGGAAAGGCCTATTGACCCAGCTGTTAAATGGCTCGCAGAAAATTCTATCAGGAATGCATTAGACTTTTCTGAACGCTGAGAACAGAGAGGCTTCGTTACAGAAAGTGGAGGTCGTGGGAAAAGTAGTGTCAAAAAATACATACGTGAATGCACAAAGGAATAGAGGAGAAACTTGATGTAGATATAATAATGCAGACTAAATATGTTCCGGAGGTGGATTCTGTTTCAGTTATTATTCTATATAGAGAGGTTATTCACACATACTGTAGGAGCAAAGACATATGCAGGGGTACTTGGACTTTTCACACAGGGGCCTCCAAAATATTCTTGAAATCAACGTTGATCGCCGCTGCTGAATACAATTTACAGCCATAATAAGTTTTAAAACATGCCTTTGTAATGCAATTGTTAATTTGAGTCATTCATTAACTTATTATATACCCAATTTCACAATTAACAGGTCAAATGTTTAGAAAAATAGGAAACTGAACAGCCATGAGACTGCTGAACTCAAACTAGATTAAATATTACACTGCAAGGATTTAGGAAGATTTATAAGCAAATAATTGTCAGGATAAAAATAAAATAAGATAAAAAAACTAATAAAAGGTTTTCGGGTTATGCGATTGTAGACACTTTTAAACAGAGTCAGGATTTCATTCAGTGTATTTTGTCGTTGATGTCTTTCTAGAAAATTAGAAAGAAAAGCTTTAAGAATTCTATCTTTGGATCATCTCTCAGCTCAGTGTCTTGCATCACCATAACTCTAGGTTATGTTTCATGTCTGGATGGATGTTAGATGTAAAGTAGGGAAAGGTAAGGTGTACTTTATAGTTCCTGTAAATATGTCCGTCTGCATCAATACCACTACTCTCCAGATGTTGATGCTCTGCTTGGTCGGAACTACATAAGAAACGGGGAGAAACTCTGGCTCAGGAATGAAACCCCCAACCTTCTTGCAGTGAGGTATGAGCACGACCCAGTCAGCTAATGCCATTTCAAAGGACTTTACAAATGGATAATAATTGAAAATGTATTTTGAAGGCTGTGCTTTTTTCCTAATTTGTTGCCCTTTTTCACATGTCACAGTTTTAAATGCTCTTTACATTAAATATTTATCTAACCTTATTTATTGGATCAGGGACAACACACAGTAAAAAAATAACATTGATTGATATCTTAGGAAATGTATCATATTTGCTGTGGCGAGATTTTCAGATGATTAACTAGAGAAAAATACCTTTCCACATTTACGACAGCCAAACTTCTAAATTCTGTCTCACGGTGTTTATGAGTGTTGGCACATATTCTCACCTGGTAGCGTATCATCACATGTGTAACTTTGGTCTTGCGATCGTTGTCGTGCTTTTCTTCATTGGTGAGCACAGACAGCACAAAGTCTCCTGGTTTACTCTGGCTCTCGCGTACCAGAAAACTTCCAGCTTTGCCTTTTTCCATGAGGAGTTTCTCTGCGTCTCGGCCCGACAGATGCCCATGATACCACCTGCACAAACACATCAACACAAATGGCTTTTTAATGTCAGCACACAGCTTGGACAATCATACCACCATCATGTAAGTAAGTACAAATCTGTGGTCTACTTTGAGGCGTGTAACTTGACATAAGGTGCCTGGTGGTTACTTATATTTTGAGCCGGAACTCCCACTCAGTGCAGAGTGTCTGGAACAGGCCTGTATGTGCTGTTTATGTGTCTGATATTGTTTTCGCTGAGGGAGAGTGTGTAGGAGGCAGCGACACGAGCCACACATCGAACGGAAAAACCACACACACCAACAATACACCGTTGTTTTTCAACCTAGAGAGAATGTAAACATATGGCTGATGGTATTTTAGTGAACTAGCTGTACCTAAAATGAACATTATTATGTTAAGACGTGTAAAAGGATTAAATACACGTGCGTGTGTGTCTAATGAGTAGAAACAGCATGATATTCCAGGCCATCTTTGAAGGTGGCCAATATTTATACTTTTTGCTGCTTAAAATAACAGCAGTGAGTTTACGTAATGACTTAAAGAAGACATAACATGCTTCTGTCTACTATAGAAAGCTTACTCAAACTATGGACTCTGGTCAGGATCCCATTTTGTATATGGACCACAGAGCCTGTCCCTCACTCGTAAATTGCTGTCAGCGCAACCCGGGGAAGCTCTGATTGTCTTGTATTTTCTCTCAAATCCACCTTTTAGGTTGAAATCCCTGCCACATTTTCCACATTTTGCATAAAATTTGCTCATTTGCACCAGACAGACCCCTGGCATATTCAGTGCTCTTAAAGTATGAAGCAAAACGAGGAGTTGATTACAAGTGTGTGCCACAGAAGAACATAGTGTTGTAGAGGCATGAATACAATCTGTGGATTTACATCAAGACACGCAGCGAGCTGCAGCCACAGGCTCAGAGCAGCGAGTCTGATCTACACCAAAACCAACACCACTTCTCTTCTCTCTGCGTTCCACACAGAGGCTGCCCTTGACTTTGCTAACCTCCCTCTGGGCCGGAGTCAGACACAAATCTTAGACAAATGTGTCCTTCTGCCGCACTCCACTTCACGCCTTTTCCAAACTGTCTTTTGCTGCAGCTAAAAATCATTTTAAAAAGTTCCACAGTGATCAGTGATCAGGACGAACTGAGAAAGTTCACTCCAGTGTTTTTTAGTGCACCTAAAGTTGTTATCATTGGATTCTCTTTATTATTATTATTTTTATCATTTAGTGTTAGCTCAATATTAAGTTCAAACCAGATAAAAATAAATACATTTCAAAATAGTGATGGTACAGCAGAAGAAATTAGAAACACATGTTTTAAAACATCTGTGAACTGAAGTGAGGCCGGGTAGGCCCTGAGAAGCTTGTGATTCTACATACTGCCGGCGGCACGGTGGCTGAGTGGATAGCACTCTTGCCTCTCAGCAAGAAGGTCCTGGGTTCGAATCCCGGTCGGACCAGGGCCTTTCTGAGTGGAGTTTGCATGTTCTCCCCGTGTCTGCGTAGGTTTCCTCCGGGTACTCCGGTTTCCCCTACCACTAAAAATATGTCCAATAGTTCTAGCATGCGCCTCCTGTACCGGCGACCCCGCTCCCATCTCTGTGTGGAGTGAGAGATAAATGCCCATAATTAACAATTGTAAACCGCTTTGAGACTCTGATCTGCAGTGAAAAGGCGGTATATAAATAAAGATTACTTACTTACATACTCTTTTCTGAGCTTTACCTTTTTTCTCAATGTAAACAGAACCTGAAACACTGTTATCTATAGACAAACAAATAAGGGCTCTGTTCCTTTACTCAGTGACAGTGACATACGAACATGTGGGCACATGGAACATAGGCTTCGCTGCTTTTTCAAGAACAGTGGAACATTTTCCATCAAGTGAAAATTACTTTCTAACACTCCTCGTGTCAAAATCACTGAACAAAATGAGTAAACTCAGTGGGGTGTCTTGGCGGCGACGGTCAGAAGAAGCTTAAGAGAATATACATTTTTCAAAGTCATTCTAAAAACATAGTATGAGAGAGTGAAGCACGAGGAAACACATCTATACCATTGTATCCAGTATAATCATGTCCCCTTTAACACCTTCATGTACCTCTCTGAAGTGGGGTCTTTACAGTTGAGTGGGTACTTCAGCTCGATGACATGTCCGTTCCTCTCCCGGAGCAGATCTTGTTGCTCGGTGTAATACTGCACGAGTTCGGCCAGCGTGGCAAACTTCTCGCCTCCGTACAGGTCGTAGTAGTCCCCTGAGTTCTGGATCTTGATGTGGGTCACCTCATCGTCCCGCCTGAGCACACCCACACAAAGGTAATCTAATCATTTATTTACCTGCGGAACAAGCGCATCTCCTGTTCTCTCGAAGCAAATGGCCTCTCACACGAGCAAGACAACCCATGGGTGACTACTGTGGAACAAGTGTGAGGCTGCACATGTATTTCACCTGCCAGCCACGGACATTTGCAATAACAATATAATTACCTAAAGTTACAGATGGTTATTCAAGACACTGTAAATAGAATATAATCATGTGAGTGGGATTGCCTCTCCACAAACCTGAGTTCTGCTAGAATTCACAATATTGCATCAAACAAATCATGATAAAAGCTATTTAATTGACAGTTTAAAGCTATACTTTCTGCTTCTACTCAAATCCTCTCCATAAATCCATCCGGTCTTGTTTTCAGGATCTGCAGTCAGTAAAGTCAGATTATAACTGGGATACGTCACTTTTTTTGGTTTCTAAAATAATCCATGTTGTTTGTCGTAACAGAATGTTTGGTGAAAGTAAAATGTTGTGAACAAATATGTTGCAAGACGGTAAGAAATAGCAAATAGCCAGTAGAAAAGTCAATATCTGATGCGTTGTGCTGGTTGACTGAAAACATACCCAAAAATACATGTGCATGAAAACGAATGGTAGTTTTTACATAGTGATTTATAACAGTTTTGTGGATTGGAATTAAGGTTCTCCTGCCTCAATGTATTGTAAAATCTCAACAATAAAACCTCATTCACCATTGAATTCAGGGGCCTCCAACTTTTTTCGAGCGACTTTTACAAAACAGAAATGGCAGAGAGCTACTTCCATTTCAAAGAATAGAGTCTATGCAGGTCATGTCCAACCAACTTCAACCCCACCAATATAATAATAATAATAATAATACACCCTACAGTAAAGCTCAGAGCCTTTGGAATACTGTTGTAAACTTTATTTGTATATATACTGACATTTGTTTTGGATTGAGTCACACACATCCAGGTTGTCGGCCCCTGGACAAGTCTGGTGAACTGAAGAGGCCCTCTAACAATAAGTTGGTCTATGCGATAATGAAGGCAACACATATACCATTATAATGTATATCTCTATTATCCTTAAAACACACTGCTGCTAATGTACAGATGTAAACACACTACTATATTTTGCAACAAACAGTACTTTATACTTGCTTCTTATTTTTTCTTATTTTGCAAAAAGGTAGATATGTAATACTTCTTTATATGTTGAAGATAGATATTTTATACTTGTTTATTTTGATGCACGAGTGAGAGCTTTTATTTTATTTTTATGTAGTATAGCTTTTGTTCATTAATCTTGTGCTGTGTGCTCCTCATTCCTACTGTTCTGTAACCGGTAATGCAACACTGACATTTCCCCACTATGAGTTTGAGGAGATTAAGATAAAGAGATTGTTTCTTCAGAACATGTATTGATGGATCATAAGCGATGTAAGGCTCACATCTAGAACAAACCTACACTGTAAAAATTATCATCTTTCCTCATTAGTTATTAGTTGCGTTTGGATTTTTTCAATTGTAAAACAAATATTTTAAGACAATGGATGACAGCAGAACAGGAGGGTGCTTATGGCTCAGAATGGCCATTTTCTATTTGAACCGGTTTGAGCATAACCTGCATTGTCTGATCATTTGAAATATTATAATCTCTATGTATCAGGTCCAGACTCTCACTCGGAGGCAATTCTATTCCTCCCATTCTTTCTCATTATGGCAAGCTTGATAAAAAGTTTCTGAAGTAAGAAACTTTAAGACGTTATTTTTGTCAAGGGTTTGGTGGTTACAGATGTCTTGATACACTGGAGGAACAATTTTGCTAGAAAAAGTTTTCAGACTGGTACATAATTCGCTTTGATGTTTTCCGAGTGTGACTTCAAATGTGAACACGATTCTCGCTGTGAAAAACTCATTTCTGTGATGAACTGGCTTTGACCTTTTCAGCTTTTCCACTGGAAAGACAAGTTATTACAAGCTTTACAAACGCACACCAAAAGCCTGCAAAGATATTGGGATTAAAAACAACCACTTTATCACACAGGCGCACTATTTTTTGTATATAAATCCGTAAAACAAAGCGATGTAAATGCTGAGACAATGCAGCCTGGGATGCGATTGTTGCAGAAGAGAAAGTGAGTGCGTGCACGGAGACAGATAAGGCCCAACATTTGATAGTACTTTACATATTCAAAGTACTCTGGCGGCTTTCAAAAGACGCACACAATGGCGGCGTGCACAGACGGCCGTGCACGAGGGATCTCTCTAACAAACACGAGGTTTGGTAGCTGAATAAGACTGTTGCAAGACTTCAATCTAAGAAACATGGACCAAGTGAAGAGTCAATGCAAATAAATGCAGAAAAAGTGGAAAAAGTCCCATTCTCTGCACAGGGGCCTCTGTAAAGGCTTTGGTTGAACAGATACAACAGCGAAACTGTGAGCATTTGGGTGAAGTTAAATGTTTTCACAATGTGCTTGGTTTGCAAAATAACTACAGGAAAATCAAGGCAAAATGTACTTTATTCTAATCTAATCTAAGGCAGAGAAAAGTTGTTTTTTTACATTATCTATTTCAAACAAACATTACTTTGTTTTGACAATATTGTATGTATCCAGTCACACAATGTCCCAAGTACTTAACTTTTTTAACCCTTCAAATGACATGCAGTTTGCCCCAACAGAAAGAGTCTTGTAAAAGTAAAATGTTGAGAACACAGATCACAACAAGCTGTCTTTATCTCATTTTGGGCGACAGTAGCTCAGTTGGTAGAGCATTAGCCAAGACACTTCCCCACATTGCCTAGAATGAGACTGGTGTGTGTGTGAATGGTTGGTGGTGGTCGGAGGGGCAGATGGCGCATACTGGTTGCCTCGCTTCTGTCAGTGTGCCCCAGGGCAGCTGTGGCTACAGTAGTAGTTTATCACCACCGTGAATGGAGTGAATGAATAATGAAGCATCTTTGAGTGTCCAAAAAAGCGCTATATAAACCAATTATTATTATATTTTGCATAATTGTAAGAATTTGAAACAAAACTGCTTTAGTTACATGGATTCTAATTGCATAGTTCAATGTTGTGGTTTGTGAGTTATGTATCCCAGATTATACCTCTAAGGACTACACTGATAGACCTAAAAAAAAAGTAATATTATTATTTCCCCCAATGCCAAAGAAAAGTCCAAGCTTTTTAATTACCTGTAGCTAAATAAAACGATTCTCCTCTTGCCATGAATGTTATGTTGAGATTAGATTTTTTTCATTTCAAACAAATTGGTTAAAAACTACAGTATGCCATTTCCATTCAGTATAATTATTTACAACAGCACTAGTGGACTCAAAGGGCATCACAGAGACGTCAATTCGCGTACAAGATTAGAAAATCAAACCGTACGGGACACAGGTTAACCAAAGTTCCTAAATGTCCCGGAGCATCCCCTATCCTTAGACAATCCTGCCTCGACGAAGAAAAACTCACAAACCCAGTGGGGAAATCCAACTAGACCTTTTGATGAAACAATAACTACGACAAGCTGCTACAACAAAAGGGGATGATGTTGTTTGTTTTTTTCTCTTTTTCTCACTATAATCTTTTCTATTGCTCTGCTCTTCCCTTCCAAAACCCACACCACCTCTCTAGAACTACTCCTCGGCCCGAGAAGCTCCATCACTGTCCCCCTCTGCTCCCTCCCGTTGGACTTCCTGCTAATTGCTTTATGTGTCTTTTAGCCGGAGTTGGCAGAGTTCCTCAGGTCCGCTCTCTCCCCACTCAGCGTTTAACACCACTATCTGAATCCATCCAATTAGATTTTGATTCACTTCCCTGCGCCCTGCCTGGCTCGGACCTCCATAACTTTTATAGATTTATTACGGCGGGGAGATGCTTTTAAACATATGACTCATGGCTATCACTTTTCTCAGATGGACATTTTCAGACTTTTATGAAAATGTTCTGAAGGATACATAAAGCCTAACACGAGACAATGAGGCTATTACCATGCTAATGCAGTCATTAAAGGAGACGTGAATAGGGATGTTTAAAGTGTGCTACTTAATATTTCAGAGCACAGGAGGTCACTTTCTGTTAAAGTGCAATTGGAAAGTGGGTTTATAGAACGGAAAGGCATGAGCTTCATGTCGGAGCTGTATTGAGTGATTATTTTCATTATCATTTGAGCCATTACAGTTTTGATTGATTGATCAGTTTTCTAGACTGCATAAAGGTGGGTGATTAAAACTATATATTTAATGGATTAATCTTAAATGATTCCACTTGACCATCCAGATGAAGTATTAATATTCGGTTTACAGAATTTTGATATCATTTTATAAGTCTGAGTTATAAAATCCCAATCAGTTTGTTTTAACATCGCCCAAAAATCATTCAACCATCATAGCTAAATTAGTTTCCAATTACCTCAGTAATCAAGCAGTGTTCTTTTTAGACTGATTTATTCATTCAATGTTTTAGTTTTTTTTAACGTGACACATTTCTGTAAAAGTTTCATTACAAAGCAAGTTTTTACTCAAAGTGAAATCTATGAATTCACTTTCGGGCCACAAAACACATGGACCAATCATGGACCAATCATGGAAACATAGTATAGTAACATAGTAATAATTAAAACGATTTCTACTTTAATCAGGTTTGAGCTAATATGCGTGTCCTTGGTCTTCCCCGGGGACTTCTCAGCTGACCTGGGAACGCCTTGGGGTCCCCCCCTGGATGAGCTGCAGGAGGTGTAGGGAATGTCTGGGTGTCTCTGCTTAGACTGCTGCCCCCTCGACCCGGCAACGGAGGAAGCGAAAGAAAATTGATGAATGGATGCGCTTATCTGAAACCGCTGCCTAAAGAATATGCAGATGTAATGTACACTTATATACACATCTCTAGTTAATGGTGAAACAGGGCTTTGGATTATAATAATATCATTTGAGTGGGACTGTAAGTTAAAACCAAATAATCACATTTATCCATCATTATCTATTATCTTTATCTT